CAGCGCTAAAAATGGCAAACTCGAAGCTATACGGATGCAACGACATCAAAGCAGGCGAGGAACTCTGTCTCCCTCTGACTTGTCCCAAACTGTACACCCTCCAAAAGGACGACTCGTGCGTTTCCATCGAAATGGCTCAGAACCTGACGCTGGGCGATATCAGACGCTACAACCCGTGGCTGAACCTCGACTGTCCAAACCTCCACGTCGCAACGCCTGTGTTGGGGAGTGTCCTCTGTCTGGGGCCGCAGGGCGCCAATGTTACCACAACTGCCACGCTCCCCAGCGGCCCCACAGCAGCACCTGCGCCAGGCGACGGGTACACAGATGTCCCTGTCGATCCGCCCAAGGGGGCAACTGTTGCTGAGGGTACTACACTGCGCTGTGGACGATGGTTCGTGGTTACCGATGCGGAGCAGACATGCACGAGCATGTGTGTCCAAAATGGCATTACGTCGGAGCTCTTTTTGGCGGCCAATCCGTCCCTCAATGCAGCGGACTGCTCGGCCTCGCTCAAGATGAGCAAGGCGTATTGTGTCGGGCCCGTCTGGCAATGGCAATCCGATCCTATTACGAGTATGCCGGAGCTGACTTCGACTGCTGTGCCGCAGCAGACTCGATCCGCTAGTGGTATTTAGATAGTGTCTTTCCTTGTAGAAGATGTATTCACCACCTCCACAAGAAATATGGCACAGCAAAGATTAGTGCTGTGAGAATTTTTGGCAGCAGCCAACGACGAGGAGTAAGAATATCCACTACATCTGCAAAGTAGTACTCTTGGGTGGTGTGTTATCTATGTTTGTTGTTCAAGTGTATCCATACTCTACATATTCATTATTCTTGTATCTCGGTTTCGCGGTAGCAGTCACCTCCATCGTCGTCCCCAGTCTAACCAAGCAGTCGCCAACTCGCTGACAGTAAAGTCGAACCCAAAATCTCCAGTCTACATAGCGATTTGAATGATCAGCAAAGATAAGAAGGTGGACGCATTCTCCAAGATGTTATTCACAAGTCAATCATTACTTGTGTATATCATTATTATCTATCCAATTCGGCCATGTATATATCCCAGCCATACCCACAATATCCTTTATACAAAGTTCTCATCATCGCTCATGAAACGGAATGTAAAAAAAGGAAAAAAAGGAAAACGCAACCAGGCGTCCCCATCCATCCATCCGTCCACATCCCATTCAATCCATCAATCAATCCCTATTAATAACCCTCAAACTCCGCCTAGGATTCAACAAAACACCCTTCGCGCCCCAGAAACTCGGCTCTTGACCATCCAACAATCCATCCACAACACTGCCTTCACTATTCCTCCTCCCCCACTGATCCCCCGCGCCTCCATAAGCAGTTGCATCACCAGCACCGCTATTTCTTCTCCCAATGTCAAAGGAGCCAGCAGCAGCGCCACCATGGCTACTCGTACCGCCCATGGTACCCGGCGGCCTCTCCGAACTGTTTTTACCAGAAGAAGACGTAAAAGTGCCCCCTTGCTTCTCCGCAGCATTAGCCCGCGTTTGCACAGCGGCGGCATGTGACTTCCAGATCTGGACTTGGCGGCGGTAGATCCACGCGCAAAACGCAAAGTACGCAGCGATAACCGCAAAGACACCTGCAATCACACCAGCAATGATGGCACCAACGTTCGGTCCGCTGTCGCCTGATGAGGTGCCCTGAGGGTTCCCGTTGATGACATTGGTAATCGTCGCACCGTCCGGTCCAGTCATGGTGTACGTCTGCGGTTTGCCGGTTGCGAGCGGGCCTTGGGTGGGTGTCTGGACGGGAGCAGTGAGCGTTGCGCCGCCTGTTGCTGCGCCACCAATGACAGACTGGACGGCGTCGGGGACAGCATAACCATAAGAGCCCTCGATACCCGCATTGACGCCGAAACCGCGTTGGTTGATTTGTTGCGCGAGAGGGTTACCGGTGCTACCTTTGTCCTTGGCGTTGTATCCCTGAAGCGCGTTCTTGCCCGTTACGGCAGTGAATTGGTTGCTCCAGCCCAAACTGCTCATGTTGAAGACGTAGATGCCGGGGGCATCGCAGCCGAGATCTGTGTTGTAGCCGCCGAGAACAATCATCTGAGCGTCCCAGACTTGGCAGAGGTGGCCGGCACGAGGAGGGGGAATGGAGGCTTTGTCGGTGCCTTGGTCGACCTCGATCCAGGAGAATGAGGGGATGGAGAGGATCCACATGTCATCACGTTGGGTTTGGGTGCCTGGATCGCCGAGATCCTGGCCGGCGAACATGTAGATGTTGTATGATGAGCCGCTGGCGGTGGAGTTAGTACGGATATCGAGTAAGAATGAAGCTTGGCTGGACTCACTCTGCAGCAGCTCCTACGACAGTACAAGGGTTGACTCGGTACTTGGGCGTCTTCCCGGAGGTACTTTGCTTGTACCAAGTCGATGTCGAAATATCGTAAACATCGATGGTGTTCATTTGCGTCTGAATTCTGTTAGTATCTTGAAGTCATCTCGGCACAACCGAACCTACAAAAGTAGCATTATCACCGCCCGTCAACCCAATTAGGAGACCCTCGTCGCCAAAACCAGGAACGTAGACAAGAGAACTATCCGCGCGTTCAGGGAACGAGGCCGTGTTCTGCAATCCACCGTAGGTAATATTGCGCCATGCACCATCGGATCCAGCCGTCTTTCCATCGCCCAGCGACTCAACAGCATTGTTAGTCTGTCCCGGGAAAGTAAACTCCAGCAAGCTCTTCAGGTACACTCGCGGGGTCTGAATGCTCCAGCCCTCGGTCGTGAGAAAGTCGAGATGACCAGCAAAGTAGAAGCCCCTGCCCAGCGTAGGAACAGTAAGACCAGCACCTTCGGCAACGCGTTGTACGGATTGGCCAGCGTCCTCCGCCTCCTGTCCAGCTGAGGTCTTCGGGTCGGCGTGTTCGATCCATTGTTTGCCGCCAATGTTGTATTCCCAAATAGAGTTGTTCGTGGGGTCGGCTTGCGGACTATCAGAGAACTGACCGCCGTATAACCAGAGCGAATCGTGCGATGCCCAGAGTTGGCCGAGCGAGACGGCCGGTGGACCTTGTGGCTTGGGCAGACCGGTCAGAGCGGGAGAGCTGACTTGCCAGGATTCGGTGAGATCGAGCGTGAGGAAGTCGTTGTCTGGGTCAAGTTAGCATTGCGCGCAAATGCAATGATTTGCAATTCGCTACATACTCCATGTGTCCTGGGTCTGTTGGCCATCGGTGGTTCGGCGGAATCCGTACATGTATAGTGTTCCGTTGACGACGGCGCTTTGTCCGCTCCACCGTCTACACGCATCAGTCGGGCTATCCTCTCGTCGCACGAGCATCGAGCGTTCAGAGTTGGCCTGAATGGCGTGTGTTGGAATAGTACCACCCCGTACTCCAATGTGTTTGAGGGGGTTGAGTTGGATAATTGGTAGCATCAGTGCCAGTAAGACACTGAAGAGGCCAAATCGATATAGCTTGGTCGGCATAAACGATTGCGATGTGGTGATGTACGAATCGTTTGCGTCGTCCTCATCGCATGATTCCCAGTCGTCTTCGTCGTCGGCCAACCTCTCTCCATCGGCATTGAAGATACTGTTCGTACTCCTAAACCTGAGCATCTTCGCTGGCCGCAGCCGCCTCAGGCTCTTCCCATGTGTCGGTACAGGACTCCTCTCCTCTTGGATTCTGTTCTCGTCCACCAATCCAACCTCTGTGAATATCGACATGCGACGGCCCTCAGCACGTGTCGCAGGCTGTGCTCGAACCCGCTCCATGACTATCAAAGTATTATCGCAAACTGCAAACCCGGTGGTGCAACGCCTGTGATCGCGTGCGCGCGTGCAAAGAGCGTAAAACGGGCCGTTTAAAAGCGAATACGAATCGTGTGTCGCAAACGTAAAAGGGTTTCCGTCGTCAAGTGAATGAGGTGCAAAGGGTTCGCGGCTAAATGGTCAAGATGACGTCGTGTTGTTCAGGAACAAGGTCCGCACCCTTGACCAATTCCGCCTCTTCACTCGTCGAGGGACGGGATAACAGCCGGGGACTATATGTGCCGATGGGCGTGAAAAGAAAATGGTTCGATTCGACAGCGACTGGTGACAAGGGATCCGATCGGTACGCAAGCGCAGGACGCTGATTTGCGTCGAGGTCAAACAGCCGGAATGACAAGCAGGTGTTGTGTTAGCGAACGACGACGGCCACAACGGAATGGTTTGTAGCGAGCAGGGCAGTGCAGAAATGAATCAACAGAGCCAGATCAGAGATGATTAGAATAGTACGAGTAAGATGGAAGGGGAAAGGCAAACACTCCAAATGTGGAGTGCATACTGACGGCCTCGCTTCATCCCCTCGCCTCATTGAACCCGAGAGACGACGCTGACTGGCCCGCGCAGCCGTGGATAGACAAGGTGCGTCATGGAGGGCGCCGGCAGGGTACGACTACGTGAGCAGGGTACACCAAGAACGGCAACGATCGATAATGCTGATAAAGGCGATTGGCTTTGCAACGGTCCAAGCCCGCGCCGCATTGGTCACGACACGGCGGTTTGGCAAGGAGAGGAGCAGTCGGACGAGTGATGGACTAGGGATCATTCCCTGCGCTAGGGCCCACTTGGCTTGGCCTATGTCAGGCGCTGCGGGCATGTCATCCTGGAGTAGACTTGGAAGGTCGTTGTGACGAGGCGGTCATGTTGTCCTCAGCCTATGACATTTGTTTCCGCCGCCAGCTTTTCGACCTTCCTCTTTTCTACCTTTGACTTTGTCTTGAACGTTTCGCAATCTCCATGTCCAGCAGTAGAATGTGACTGGGTTCTGCCTTCCCCCTCCTCCGACACCCACTTTCAATCAAAGCAATAAATCACACCACCCACCCGTACGGCGCGAACAGCGTATGTCCGTATTGTAGACCCTAGCTAATACGTTTACGGGTCCCCCGGAGATTTCGATAGCCTGTGCAGCGTGCAGTAGCTCTTTGCGCGTGTTTCGTGACCCCTCTAGAATTCTAGTCCATGTTTAAATCTATTTTCGCGCATCCGTTGCGCGTGTGCCACGGTGCTGGAATGCACCGTACTCTTTTTTTTTCCTCCCTTTCTTGTTACCGACCGCCGTTGTTGTGCTGGGTCAACGGGCGTAAGCGCGTTGAGGGTGGCGGTGCAGCTATTTCGTTTGTTCTAGATGTTTTCGGACCGCACTGCATCCGAATGTACAACAGCGACTTTGCCTTCGCCTTCGCCCGTCGCATCGAGTGATGCAGGGTTTTCGCTAGGCATAGCCATGACTGCGCTACGCATGCGAAGCGACTATCGTGTGGCTCGGCGTGGGTAACAATGGGGAAGGCGCGATCTCGGGTGCCAACCGAGTCAAGTAGCGATGGGCTTGCTTGGGTACTGGCTTCGTCCATACAGGTCACGACGACAAGGAATACGCGGCTGAAGGTACTGTGGTGTTCGACAACACACTGCCTCTGGTGGACCATGAATGAAATGGAAAGATCCGTAATATACGATGCAATAATCATCGAATGTGTTCGAGCAGTTTCCATATTAGTCTTCCAGAGCAACGATGCATTGCATGCATGTAGACAATACAGCACGAAGTCGAACTGCTCGAGCATTGCGGGACCGAAACATGTAGTGACCAGCTTAGCTTTGGTAGTAGTGTTGGCTTAGTCCTATAGGCCAGAGGTCACGCAGACAAGGAATACGAGGCTGGAGATACTACTAGATAAGCTAACACACTGCCTCGTAGGTTGGAAGTCAAACGTATGCTTATAGTGGACAATCTCAATGACATCCATCTAGGTGCTCTTTTGTAGATTACAATACTTGCAAAACACAACAGATCTCTGCTTAACCCAATGTCTCGCGATTTACATCAACTTTAATTGTCCCTCACACGCGCTACTTGTAAATTATTCACATGGCAGGGGTAGGCAAAAGCAGCGAGAAGTGCTCACGGGTTTATTGTGCCTTGTAAAGCACCTGCAAGCACACTACAATAGATATGAAAACGTATATTGTACCATCTCGGTACTTTACAAATTAGGAAAATCTATGCATACTTCATTTCAGAACACAGATATCCAACGTTGGTAGCTGACAGCTTTTCTTCAAATCTCTTGCCCAAGTCTTCACTCTTGTACCAAAAGCGTACCATGTCACGCATCAGTCAAACTACGCCTTATGCATAACCATGTATTTCTACCACTATTATACAAACGAAAATGCGAAATCAATCATTCCCAAGTCAACAACAACCCGAGGGTGGCAGAGAGAGACTGGAGCCGCTGTGGTCCAGGCTGGCTAATCTTTTCTAGGTTTTTGGAGGCATAAGCGCCTCTCGAAGAGTTCTGATATCTCCAAGCAGTAGTTCGTTGTTACGTGTTTCCGAGGTTTCCGAGTACATCGAGATAAGGACGGTTGCTGTTACCATCTCGACCCGATAGCCTTTTATTCCACCAGTAGAAAAAAAAAGGACGAAAAAAACCCTCCCTACTCCAGCGAATAATACTCCTCAATCTCACCCCCATGCTCCCCACTAACAAAATCCATAATATCATCCACCGTCCCGGGGAGATCCTCCGTATCAACCTCCTTCCCATTATCCCTAATCAACTGAACCATGTCCTCAAACGCCGTCCTCAGCGTCTCTTCCGACCAGATGTAATTGCGATCCTCGGTTGACATTTCTTCGGCGACACCTTCCCAGTCGATATCGCCTTCTTCCTCATCACGACGCTCTTGCAGTCTGGCAATGAGGTCGTAGAGGTCGCCCCATTGCATTTTGGACGAGTCCGACACGGTGGGTTTTGAGGAACCGGGGTTGATGGTTGGAGGAGGGCTGGATTGAGACTTTTCCTCGTCAAGGGGCGGGGTTTCGTCTTGCTTCTGGGGCGGCGTGGCATCGCCGTTCGCGTCGGGCTGATTGTCGTTCACGTCCGCTGCTGGGCTTCGGGGCGAGATGCTCGCTTGATCCACCTCTTCGCCGGAGTGCTCCTCATTCTCCTTTTGAGATGTAGCATCACTGTCTGCTTCTGACTGGTCGTCGTCCAAGTTTTCTGCAGAGCCGTTGTGCGTGACATCGAGTTGTTTCTCTTCCTCATCAAGCTCCTCATCATCCTTCTGCGACACAGCGTCACCACTGTCCGCTTCTGACTGCTCAGCGTCCACGTCTTTTGCTGGACTGTCGGGCGCAACACGGGGCTGATCGTCTTCATCCTCAATGGGATCCTCGTCTTCGTCAATATCCCGTGGTTCTTCGTGGCCATCGTCCAGTCGTTGATTTGGAACATTGTTGGGCCTGATGCTAGATGCGGATGTTGTATTTTCTCCCACATCGTTGCCATTGCTCCCTACTTGCTCAGACTGGTCTTCCTCTCGAAGCTCCAGATCTTCAACCGATTCCGTTGCCGCTTTTGATTTCCGCCGTTTCTTCGGCTCCTCCGAGTTCGTATTGCCATTCTTCCGTGATCGCCCACGTTTCTTGGATGGCGGCGACGAACGTGTCGCGTTTTGATCGCCATTAACCTCCTCGTCATCAGGATCCTCGATTTCATCCCTGATCTTACTCTTCTTCGACTTTTTAAGCTTCTCACCTTCCATACCCTGACTCTTCCCGGACTTTCGACGTTTCTTCTTCGTCGGCGAGCCATTCGTTTCCCAGTTCGCTTGTTCGTCTTCGTCTGAATCATCAACGATATCGTCTGGCTCAGTCGTACGGAAGTTCATCGACTTCTTCACGACCGAGCTCTCGCCCAGAGAAGGGCGACCACGTTCCTCCGATGGAGGCCCGTCGTCGACTCCACTGTCGTCCGACTTGTTAATAAACATCTGCGACTTGATAACATGATGACCTCTAGGTGTCTGACCCTCGCCCTGCTGTGGTCGACCACGTTTCCTAGGCGTCGGGTCGGAAGCAGTAAGTCCAGAAAGAGCGGACTTGTTCTTTCTCGGCTTGTGCTCCACCTGAATGTGTGGTGGAGGGTTGCGTTTCTGTAGGTTCTTCCATTTCGCCACGACCTGTATCCGGCTTCGAGTGTTGTCCATCTCACGACTGACTTGTTGCCAATTGATGTGTTTGATCGTATATTCATCCACGGGCGGCAGTCCTTGTTCAGCGCGGTAGTCTTCATCTCTCTGGGCAACTGTTGTGATGGCACGGATGAAGAGCTCTTCTTCTTCTGGCTCCCAGCGTGAAGATTTCAGCTTGTCGCCATATTGCAAGTAGTCGCGCCATCGGTTTTGACAGTCGTGCATTGATCGATCGCCCATACCTACTTCAATCACTTTCCACTTGTTTGGGTGTTGCGAGTACAGATCCCTGAGTAGCTGGTCCTCTTCATCCGTCCATGCTCCACTCTTGAACATGTGGTATGTTTGTCGGATGTGTCTTCTCATTCTGTCAAAGGAACGTTTCGTGGTAATGTTTTTTATGTCGTTCCAGAACTCGGCACTCTCCCGCGCATTGTCCATATCTTGTGGCGTCCAGTCATTCTTTCCCGATACTTCACCGTTGGTACGGTTGAGGGCGGGGTCTTGCTTACTCCATTGGATAATCCTTACGAGCTGAGGTATCTCCAACTCCTTTCTATCTTGATAATCCCGGACAGCTCTTCGGATCAGCTCTTCTTCATCCGCAGTGAAATCGCCGGTCGTCCGGAGATCTGGGGGATAGTTCACGGTATGATCCACGCCTGCTAGAGCCCTCTCCGCTGCGGTACCCGTTTGAACATTTTTTCTCTTGTAACTGAACTTGCCACTCTCGCGCCGCGGCGTAGCTTTCTTCGTGGTTGATTGTCTCTTCTTCTTTCTCTCCTTCTTCTCAAATTCGTCGCGACTGCTGTCGTCGGGTGGAGGGTCGCGGGAATCGTCTTCGTCGCTAGAAATAGGCTCCCGCATGATAGTGTCTTCGTCATCGTCGTCGCCCAATGGCTGCCCGGGTGTCCGTACAGCAGTAGCTGAGTTATGAGCCTCGTCGTTGGTCTTCCTTGCCTTCTTCAGACTGCTACGCGGCTTACGGGTAGAAGCCACCTTGGGAGTACTAAGTTGTCCAACACCTCCAGGCTGTGCAGGGCTGTGCAGGGCATCCGCAACTCCAGTATTCATAGCGTTTTTGTCCCGGGCGTCACCGTTCTCGCCGTGACCATTCGTGGGACGTGGATCATCGTCGGGAATCTCGTAGATGTTCTTCGACTTCGCGATCGGGGTTCGCGGCTTTTTGATTCGTTTCAGTTTGGTCTTCTCGGTGCTCCGTAATAAGTCGCCGTCTTCATCGTTGCCGTCGTGAGGACCATCTTGGATGAGATCCCTTACTCTAGTCGCACTTTTCGCGCTACCAATCTTCCGCCGCTTGGGTGTGGGTGTTCCGTTTACAGGTTCAGTCGCAGCTTTGCGCGAATGTCCGCTTTCCAAATCTGGTGTATCCTTCGACTCCATGTGCGATCCCGATTCTGCATCGTCGCCTTGTGAAGGCCTGTGTCTAGACGGCGCGCGCGAAGGAGATAGTGCCTTTTCCAGGAGCATGCTTATGTCTCTATCGTGGTCAAAGTCGTCTTCCTGAATGTTGTCGCGGCTGAGTCGATCCCGTTTTGTGCGCTTGCTCTGCTTGTATGTGCGTTTGCTTTTCGTGGCGCTGGACGGGACGATGTTGCTGGACGGAATGACATGGTTGGCAGTGGGCGACGCGGCGGACGTATGCAGAAACTGTGCAGGAACTTGCGAGTCCGGCACTTCGATGGCAGTCGAACGCATGAGGCCGTTGGTAGTGGAAAGTTCGGGTTCCGGTTGAGACGCTGGGAAGGGAAACGGAGAGTCGTCTCTCTGAGCTAGCAAGTCCTGAGTCGCAGCCGGAGATAGCGCAATACTATTCTGACCAGACTTGTGCGCGCCTTTTCGCTTGCGCTTCTTTGGTTTGAGCGACGAGGGGTCGTGGCTGCCGTTGACCTGAGAGAGGGTCATGTTTTCGCGATTGGTGCCATCGGCGGCGGCGCGTGTGTCTTCCTCGTCCATGAGCTGCTGCGACGCGGCTACATCATCCATGTTGGGGTCTACAACTCCAATGCGTTAGCCGTGTCCTCGCCCAAGAAAACGTACTTTGGTGGAGCCAGACAGTAGCATCAAAAGCGCGTCAGGCTCGTGTACTTACTAAAGTGGGCCTTGCGCTTGGTGGCGGGGGAAGCTACCATCGAGGTGTTTGCGACGCGACTGGGACTTGGAATAGGCTGCGAGGAGGTCATGCCCATCTTCTTCCTAAGGTCTGTGAAGAGCGCATATCCAGGGCTAGATTCGAGCATTGCTGGTGCCGTGGTTCGTCTTATACCACAAACCTTGGTGACAACTCGAGAAAGTGACATGTCGCGTTGCATGCACTTGTGGTCCCTGGCTAGTAAAAGTGGGGCCGCACCATCTCCGATCACCGGTTCATCCATACAGAGCAGCCGTTCTCCCCACTCACTCTGCACATGGCTTATCTCGCATCACATCTCTTCAAGGTAGACTCGCGGCGCAGGCTTTTGGTATCGCATATGGTGCTCCGAAGATGACAGGTCGACGTCTTCTTTCGACACCATGCTGGAGTGAAGAGGAAAACGAACTGACTAGGATATACAGCAAAGCAAAAGGGTGGGTGACGACTGATATGATGACAATTTGGGGCTGTGATGCTCCTCAAAACTACGCTTTCTAACTTGAACCTTTCTATACGCGTTAAACCTGTCCTTTATGCTCTCCACTCCTCCTGCAATCTGTCAATGACCTTCCTTACATACTCCACATCCGTCACACTTGGAATGGCCCTCATGCTCTCGCTCTTCGCGCTCGTCTTTTCCGTTTCATATACCAAAACGCCTTTGTTCTTCGTACTCGAGCCATGCCCGTACTTGCTCTCGAACCAATCGAGCAGCTTGATGGGAGGATTCTTCTTGGGATCCTGCTCCGAGTTGCGCAGCCTCTCCATCCACTGGTCTGTAGGCAGGGTTTCGAATTTGAAACCAGCAGCAGCAAGAGCAGGAAGCATGTCGCGCGTCCAGTGGAAGCGGGTGGGGTTGAGAACGTGGTAGACGAGGTCAGGTGGAGGAACCTCGACGAAGCTAGGGCGTCTGGGGCGTCGGCGACTACGAGGAGTGTAGTCCGGACCTACGGGTGAATACACGGGTGAGGTAGGGTTGTTTTCGAGCTCCTCGAGTGGGTGAAGGTCGAAACCAGCACCACCCCTGTATGAGCCGGCGTCGAAATCAGATTCCGAGTCTTCGCTAGGGACGTCGCAACAATCAAGGATGATGCGGGCGGCATGATCCACAGGCAACCAGGACATCTCTTCGTCGAGAGCCGGAAGCGCTCCCAGTGTGACAGCGGTCTGAATCATGAGCGGTATGCCTTCAGTGGTATTCCACTGCCCGACTTTGGAGTCGCCGACGAGTTGGCCTACCCGTAGCACTCTGGCGTCGGCACCGACCCGTCTCGCGGCGTTGAGAACGATGTGCTCCGCAACATATTTCGAGCGCGCGTAGCCTGTTTTCTGGACGTGCGAGATATCCGTGACAGGGCCTTCTGGCACTGTTCCTGGTCGTGGTGTTGCAGCAGCGGAGGAGACAGATGAGCAAAAGAAGAAGCTACTAGGCCTTCCTCTGTATGGGTCTTCCTGGCAAAGGTTTATGAGGTTTTGCACAGCGGCTATGTGCTCTTTTTCGAAGCTCTGCACGGAGATGTTGAAATTTACCGCCCAGGCGCTATGGATTATCAGGTCGACATTCCGAGAAAGCCTCGCAAATCTCTCTTCCCCTAGGCCAAAGTCTGATTTACTGAGATCAGCTGGAAGGGCGACGACCTTCTCGAGCTGCTCTTGTGTGGGACTGAGGCCTCGCACAGATAAGCTTTCCAATGTTCGCTTTAGTGCAACGAAATCAGAGGACGCTCGAACAAGAGCATACACTTTGTTAACATCGTCGCTCCCCACCAGTTGCGCGAGCAAATGAGCACCCAGTCCTCCGGTAGCTCCGGTCAAAACAACCTGACGTCTCCCATAGTTTGACCGCTTGGTAGGTATAAACTTCGAGTACTTTGTGATCAGATCGTTCATGATCTGTTCGTGGCCTTGTGCATCTTCCGTCTCGCCTGTACGCAGCCCATGCAGGTAGCGAGCAAGCGCAGCAATGTTTCCAGTCTCATACAGCAGGTTCTGTCCCACTTCGGCTTGCTTGCCTCCCAAATCAATTTCCTTCTTGATCAAGCTCCACATTCGCAGACACTGCAGACTATCGATACCGCAGGCGAAGAAGTCTGACTCGGAAGAGCCTGGTTCCACGCCAAGCTCTTCGCGAAACCGTCGAGACAGATACGCCTCGAGTTCCGGAAGCGGCAGTGCTACGGACCCGCTGGTGTCGTTCTCAAACTTCTCGTATGCGTCTTGGATCTGCTGCTTGAACTGCTCGTAAACCTGGGCGCGGATGAAAGTGCTCTTGTCTGTGGTCGCGTACTTTGTTCCAGACGGCAGCACGACGATAAGATCTCGCGGAATGCGAGAGAAGCTTTCTGCGCGAGAGTTCGCGTCCTCGACAGCAGGCCAGATGTGCTGCAGGAACTCCTCGTCGTTCATGTCGGCCGCTGCGTCGGCCTTGATGATCAAGATACCTGGAACTGTCTTGCCGTCTCCGAAAACGATGGCTTCTTGGACAAGCGCTTCTTGACGTATCCGGCCTTCGATTGGAATTGGAAGTACCTTCTCCCCGTTGACCAATGTCAAGCGGTCGTCCAGACGTGAGACGTACTTCCAGTGATTAGGCTTTGTAGGGTGTTTCGCAAAGAGATCTCGGGTGCGGAACGAGTTAGGCGGGTCGTCTGAGTTTATGGTGCTCTTCGACTTGAGACCATCGAGAGCGACGCACTCGAATATGTTTGGGGCGACCTCGTCCATCAAGAGATACTGTTGGACTTGGGGCAGTATGCGAAGGTAGTTCCAAGCATTGTCACCTGGTGGTCGGACAGATGTCATGACGCGTCCGGTTTCGGTCGCGCCATAGTTTGCGCAGACGTTGACGCCGTGCTTCACCAGCTTGTCACCCAAGTCGTCAGGACAAGCACTGCCTCCATACATGATCAGGTCAATGTCGGCTAGCGCTTTGAGTCCTTGATCTGAATCTGCGAGAAGTTTCAGAACATAGGGTACACAGAATAAGAGATCCGGCTTTACATGCTCAATCGTGGCTAGGAGGTTCTGCTTCGTGATTGGGTAGTTGTAGTTGACGTAGTACATGGGCTTTCCGGAGTAGATTGATCGGAAGGTTTCGTAAAAACCGAAGCTGTGGAATAGCGGCTGCGTCATCAAAGCTTTCCGATCGAGGTTCAGCGCGAACGTCGCGATGCAGCTTCTGTGAGTGAGATAGATGGGTTTTGGTAGGCCTGTCGATCCCGATGAATGAATGATGACAGCTCTCTTGGGGTTCTCGCGTTCTGGGTCGTATGTGCGATGGAACACTGGTGCATCCACCTTGTAGTAATCGTGGTGCTCGAGCGTCTCGAGCACAGTGATGCTCCTCTCATTGCGCACTTGTACCAAAGCATCGTGGAATTGGGCAGTTGTGAGTATAGTGTCGCATTCGGCTTGTTCAAGCAATGAACATATTGCTGGACTGGCGAGCCGCGGGGATAGAAGAAGGGCGGCATAGCCTAGCCTGTTCAAACCAAGGAGAGTGATGATGAACTGCAGAGAAGAAGGAGCGAGTATTGCGATGGTTGGTGCCTGAGCAAGTAACGAATCCTGTTCTCGCTGTCAGATGTGACTTCTTCGCCGGTTCAGTTCCCACCTACCGCTGGCTTCAGCCCTCTCCGTTGTAACGCGTCAACTGCCGCATCAACATAACTGTCAACCGCCCGTGCTGAATGGTCTTCGTAGTCGGTGAGACCTTCTCTCGGAAAGCAAAGTAGGGGAGAATCTCCGAGTTCTGATGCTCGTCGCTTGATCAGCTCGTCGATGGTATGGATTGCGTCATCGCTTCCAGCGAGACGAAGCGCCGGCGTAATCGCGTGCTCCTTCGTTTTTGTCAATAAGCCAGGCATTATGATATGTCTGATCAGCTGGTACTTACAAAAGCAAGCTCTTGTACCATGGTATCTATACTGTCTTGAGCCGCCGTGGTTCCGATGGTCCCGATATTTCCGATCGCACGTGATATCAGCATGTCGGATAAGAATTCCGCTGGGTTGATGCCAGATTACTCACCCACATCATCACGCGAGGAATTCTTTTCCGCAGGATTCAGCCTTCATGGATGGTTTCAGGTTGTCGGGTAGCGGGGTAAGTCGATCCGCTGCAAGTAGATAAATATCCCACCAACGACTGCTGACGACCGTGTCGGGACTACTTCGGGTGGCCGAAGTTCTCGATCTCTTATCGTCTCTATCTTGTGTGCTGAGTCCGTGTATGCTCGACCAGCGCACGAGCACGTTCTTTTGCACGCCGGATATGCGAACCCCATGGGGCACGGGGCTTCCCCCGCATCTCGGCATGCAGCGATCCCTGGATCAGCAACAAGTTGCTTTGCCAAGTTCGTGGAGTCTGGGGAAGAGAAGAACTACAAAGCTGGCTGTTGTCTGGGGGTAATGAGGCATCATCAGCTCTGGAGGTCGCAAAGCTCCATCTATTCACTATGGCGACTCCATCCAATGATATCAAGTCCAAGGTCTCGATCGAGCACATCGATACACTAGACAAACCGCAAAATGTCGTTGCTTTGGACAAATTCGGAGCAGCGACCGAGTATACCCCTGAAGAGAAATCTCTGGTCAGGAAGTTGGACACCCATATGATGGTAGGCTTATTCTTGGAGCAAATGGAAAGCTCGTTGCTAACAACTACAGCCAATGCTTTGGATCATGTACTTCATGAACTTCCTTGACCGTAACGCCATTGTCAACGGAAAGATCAACAACATGCACAAGGACCTCAATCTGCAGGGGACAGAATACAACACATGCGTGAGCATCTTCTTCGTCGGGTAAGAAGTTCGTCTGCCTCACTCAGATCCTGTTTGACTCTTGCACAGTTATCTCGTAGGGCAGGTACCCTCAAACATGCTCCTGACTCGTGTCAAACCCTCCCACTACATGGCTGGTTGGACGATGGCATGGGCAATCGTATCGACACTCATGGTTCTCGTGAAAGACTACCATGGCATGTTGGCATGCAGGTATGATTAGCTTTATTACATTCGCAAGTCACGTACTCATATCGATAGACTTGTACTTGGGATGACGGAGGCACCGTTCTATCCAGGAGCACTGTACATGATCAGCTCTTTTTACACACGTAAGGAGACCGCAACAAGGATGTCGGTGTTCTATACTGGCAACTTGCTTGCGAGTTCCTTCTCTGGTCTTATCGCAGCTGGAATATTCGCCGGACTGGACGGGAAAAAGGGCCTTGAGGGGTGGCGATGGCTGTTCCTTATTCAGGGGGTCTTCACAGGTAGGTTCAAACTGGGTCCGCCTGTTATTACCATAGCTAATCCAGCCTCCAGTTCTCATCGCGGCGATGGCATTCTTCCTCCTACCTAACGCACCCCTTCAAACCCGGTGGCTCACCCCAGCCCAGCGACAACTAGCACACAGCCGCATCGAACAAGATACGACCCAGAAGCGAGACAAGGTCAACGTCTGGAAAGGTCTCCGAGAGGCAGCAGTCGACTACCGCACCTGGATCTTTGCACTCATGCAAAACCTTCACTTATCAGGTAAATTGTGCCTATACGAAATGCATGTGAGACATACACTGACTTCGTGTTTTAGCGAATGGCTTCAAAAACTTCCTACCAACAGTCGTGCAGACGTTAGGTTTCAACCGAACAATCACCCTCGTATTGACCTGCCCTCCGTATCTCATCTCAGCCTTCGTGTCTGTAGCAGTATCCTGGTCATCTGGTCGCTTCAACGAGCGCACCTGGCACATCACGCTCTCCAAAGCCGTTGCGATTGTGGGCTTCATCGTGGGGACTGCCACCTTGAACATTGGCGCGCGGTATTTCGCCATGGTGCTATTCGTAGGAGCGACCTATGGTGTCAACAACATCGTGCTGGCTTGGACCGCCGGTGTGCTCGGCCAGACGGACGAGAAGAAATCAGTCGCATTGGCTATCGTCAATACGTTGGGCAACCTCTCCTTCGTTTACACGCCGTATCTGTGGCCCGACAGCGATGCGCCGCGCTTTGGCAAGGCCATGTATGCGAGCGTGGGCTTCTCGGCGGGTGTGGTACTGTGTGCGTGGGTGATGAGACTTGTGTTAATGAGAGACAACAAGAAGATCCGTGCATCGGACAACGAGGCTATCAACTTCTATGTGTACTAGCGAAGCGAAGGAGGCCACCAGGAGATCTCTTATCATTGGCTTTTGCCTTTCATGGGATGGCAGAATGAGAGGAAATGGAAGTTGCAAAGCGTCAGGAAGCTCAAGGGAAAGTAAAAAGGAGTGATAGCCTACAATGTAACACAAATTGCTGATGTCGCGCACCAGTACGAGAGTTTGTTATCGCGTTGATGGTACATGTTGACAGCCCTTCCTCTCGAAGTCTGGTGCCTGCCATCGCTGGAGCGCTGGGGGTTGCTTTTGCATTTTGCGCACCAGACTTCTGTCAGTCATTCATACCCTCACCAGTCATTCGCGCCAGTTGCTCTGTAGACCTTGCTATGGAAATTGTAACAGGGCGTTGCGCTTGTATAAGGAAAGCTGTGCTCGAAGCAGACTTTGGTCGAAGTCGTGAGCCGGCGAATGGGTTACAGTTTGATGTTCTTGCCCCCCTGGCAACCCCCACACACCACTCGGATGCGCCAGCAGCAGCGATTTTCGCCGTGGAGCGTCAGCACATTAGAGGTTCACTTGTGAACATTTTCTCAATATTTCTTCCTCAATCGACTGGCAAGCCAGTCGCATCAATGAAAAAAAAGTAGCCTGTCAGATTGCCGTCAACGTCCTGCCTTCCAGCGCAACACGAAGTCGCAAACCAGTCAGCTGAAGATCATCGCCACGCGCGCCGAAGCACCCGTATAAAGCCTCACTCCGGGACATCGAGGCTGATAGTCATCAACCAGGATGGAGATTCTGTGGCTACTTAGAGTAACTCAGAAGAGGATGCATACTATTAGAAATGATTCTATGAAGTATGATCGACATGATGAGCAGAAAGGAGGACGAGGGACGATGGGTTTATATACCCAAGCAGAGGCTGTGCACGGGACAGGAATGCACGGATGTGCGAGCGAGTGAAAGTTTTTCGGGGGCAGGGAAGATCCACTGCATTGCCGATACTCGCCGTGGCGGCCCATCGTGGTGGCTGGAAAAAGAATTTGTTCGTGACTGTTCAGTCTATGACCATAGCTTTTCGCTGTTCGCAGACGTGATACGTTAATCTAGCAATGCATCCACTCTGCCTGGTTTTTGCGTTGATATCACGAAATTTGGTCCAGTGCGAGGACGTCAGTAAGTTCAAAACTCGGCCACCGTGAGCCGCATCGGCCTGCCTCTAGCCTATCACAGCCTCGCAACACGTTGCCGACAGAATTACAGCATCCGCTCAACGATTCCAGTTCGCCGTGTATTCAATGGTCGCCAGCAACGTTCGAATGCCCCTGATCGAAAGGACGCTTTGGACCTCTTGAGAGATGTCGAAGTCTGATTGTTAAATTGACATTGCGAGTGCTCCGCCGGACTGACTTCGGGAGTGACTATCGATTGAATCAAGATTTGGACCTCACATCTTCTCACAACCTATCACAGCCTGCGCAAAGGTCGCTGGAGAGATATTGCCTTGGCTGTCAGACCACGCAGCGATGAGGACTTTGGCGTATCCTTCGTGACTTGGAATACGCAGACCGAAATACGCATGCTAACCGACTGTTCACCCGAAACTTGCCCGTATTGGGCCGTGTAGTCCAATGAATGTACGAACGGGTAACATGTTATGCGGGGCATCATACTTTGCGGGGTAACGTCCTGTACAGAACATGTCCTAAGCTTCTAACAACGTTAAGCTTCCTGTTAAACTCCCCGATCATGCATACCGAAGCATGTTCGGATCGGTCGCATATGTACCGAGCTCACTACCTAGCCAGTACCGGAGTCAAATCGACAGCCTTTTCCCCACATTCCGCTACTTGGCCTTGCATCCGAGGCTCGAACATGGAGTGGCAGTTGTCGTAGTGTTGTAATGCATCGCAGGTACAGATGACCGCCGGCTATAATCATGGCTGTCCAGTCGGATCGTAGAATAAAGGGCTGTAAGATCGCCTCAAATGGTATCTAGGTAGCAGCGATGATCATCCTTCAGCGTCTTGCATTTTTTACAGTCTTCACCAACCCATTGGCTACTGCGTAAGCTACCGTAGACACCTTTCAAAGACGATTTACTCACCATGATAGCTTTGTCAACTATGGCTCGATTATACCCAAATCAATCCTACAGCAATCCACGCCCTCATCATCTGGCTTGAGGCCGTGGGCAAATACGAGCCTGACACTATCGTCCTCAAACCCTCTTGTTACACTCGACTACGGTACCGAAGTAGCCGGGTTTCCCTTCTTCCACGTTTCTGCAATTTCCGGAACAGTACAGATCGAAGTAAAGTACAGCGAAGAATATCGTGGAGTTGAAGAACCATTTTCAGATGGACCTTGGACATTCTCGAACGGACTATCGAACACTTTCCGTGTCGAAACTTTCAATGTCACGGAGACAGGATACATTGAGAGCTTCTTCGTCCAGGGAGGACAGCGATGGCAGACCGCACGATTAATCACAAACGGCTCTGTCACTATCGATCATCTAGGATTCCGCGCAACGAGCTCAAACCTAGACGTTGATTTGCTGCCAGGGCATTTGAAGACATCGGATGACACTTACAATCGCGTCTTCGACCTCGGAGGTCGTGTCGCACAAGTGGCATGCGTAGATGCCGGTAACGCACCGTCTACATGGGAAATCACAAAAGACGGAGCTCTCGTTCGAGGCCAAACAAGCGCACAGTCATCGCTGGGTGTTGAAGCAGCCAACTACACACTCGAGTTCGATGTGAAGATCGCTCGCGGCGGCGCCGGCTGGCGAGTAGCAAGTGCGCTGCAGCCGCTTGGGCCGTACTTTGTGCTTACATCCGAATATCCTCAGCAGAACACTTTCGCAAACACAAACCGGACTCTCCTACCACCAAACATCTTGGCGTTTAACACTGAGTGGAGCTTGGTGAACCAGAGCACGTTACCTGTGCCGGAAAACCAGTACTTCACTATCAACACAACCATCGAGGAAAACACGTGGTATCGCGTGAGCACATCAATTGAGAAAGCGGGTTATCGGATAGGCCTGAACGGGACGGAGATTGCCTTCGTACCTTTACCGCCACCGGCAGCCCCAGGAAACTTTGGCACTCCGTCTCGATACGAAGGCACATGGGGTTTCGGAGGTATGCAGGATCAAATCACGTACTACAAAGATGTGATTGTCACCGCCAGAAATGGTACGATCATTTACTCTAATCCTCTTACCAGCGAAGATTGCTTGGCCGAGTATCAGGTTGCGCCTCTCGACCACTCGGTCTGCCTTGACGGTGCCAAGCGTGATCGCCTAGTCTGGACAGGAGACTTCTATCACACTGTGCGTGTCGTCTCAACTTCGTCTGCTCGATTTGACTACCTCTTAGGCACCATCGAATACGCGCTAAACTACCAGCTGGATGAAGGCCCGTATGCTGGCTTTACCCCAATCTCCGCCAACCTCGGATCCCGACCCCAGTACAAAGAGGCAAATATTGGAAACTACGCTGGGCTAGTAGACTACCAAGACTTATTCTTGGCGGGAATAGGCCATTACTACCGTTACACGGGAGACTTGGATGGCCTGAAGCCTTACTGGAGTCAGATCAAAAGACTTGCCACCGCGAGATTGGCTTTCATCGATCCCACATCTGGTCTTATCGGAGGTTCCCCAGAGATACCATCGCCCTTCAGCTTTCTTGGACCAGCCAACGGGACTGCAACGACTGGTCTCTTCGCTTATATGCTTAACGAGATTGCGCCACTTGCTCTTGCGATCGGAGACGAAGAAGCTTCAACATCTTACTCACAAACGGCAAGCAAACTGCGCGAGGCTCTTAATCGTGAGCTATGGAACGACCAGCTTGGAACATACTCACTCTCTACCACCGATCGGGGAAACTTTTCCTTGACTGGCATCGCCTGGGCAATCATATCTGGGACGGCGAATGTGACGCAAGCAGCGTCCTCTATTGCCAAGCTTGAGGAGCTTCGCTTCGCGGTAGGTTACAAGACCGTCTCAAGTGACTTGGAGACGGATGACTATCAGCTTGCCCCTAATCCATCAGGTTTCTTATTGGAAGCTCTCTTCAAGGCACGTCGTGATCTTGGAGTGGACAGTACGTCTGCTATCACGCACCTACTCGACAACCTGTGGGGCAGCATGGTGAAGAATAACGAATACTACTCCGGAGCGAGCTGGGAATATGTAAAGCCCGACGGTTCGCCTGGTATCGATCTTTTCACTAGCTTAGCACATCCATGGGGTGCAGCTCCGACCTACGTACTGCCGGAATACCTTCTTGGTGTTGTACCGAGTTCTCCGGGGTACGAAATGGTTGTCATCACTCCTATGGTTGGGTTCCTGAACCAGTCTGAAGTTAGCGGGAGGGTACCGACACCTAATGGACCGATCAATGTGGCATGGACGTTGGATGGTACGAAAGTCGTTATGACCGTCGATATACCCAGCGGTACGACAGCTACGTTGCAACTACCAGCTGGAGCAGCTGTTGTCGGTGAAGACTTGCACGACGGACAACTCGAGCTCTCATGTGGAGTGAAGGAACTGACCATGGAAATTCAGGTATGAAGAGAGTAACTCGAGAACATTGGAACTCAAGCATGTCACAGCGTTCATGATATGGAGAAGGAACCTGAACTCGTCTGAAACCCTACCAAAATCGTATCCAGAGGAAGTAAAGTAGTCTCATGTACAATGATAGTGTTGTGGACTATCTCTGCCCATTCTATGCTGATTCCTCGTCTACCACAAGCTTTGGCCCCACACTCCTCCTTACGAATACTCCGCACCTCTTGTGTACATGAACACTTACCTCCCGACCCCGCTTCCTGAAACCCTTGATGAGCCACTTGCCAAACTCGTACAAGCAGGTCATGGTCTGCCCCTCCCCTTCCCTTGGGTAGACCCCCTCGAGATACACGTTATTAACGCTGTTGTGTTCAAGCATCGGCTCGAAATGGAAGAAGTCCAGGAAGTCTTCCAGATCTCGCGGTTGTGGGGCCCACGGAGTTTTGATAAGCTGGCGGAAGTTGAACACCATCGCGATAGTGTCTAGGTTTGTGCACTTCAGCATGAGTGTGACGTCGGGATTCTTTTCGTCGACGACACGCCCGATTCGATGTTCGTTATACTTGGACTCGTGTGGGAAACAGATACACTTGATAGCTGCAAAAGCTTCGGTGGTAGCCACGCCGTCGACCATGACAGTGGGGAAAGTGGAGAGGAAGTCTGTGAACCAACGGACGATCTTGAAAGGCTTGTGTTCCTCGTACTTGAAGTCGAACCATTTCGTTGTCGAGAGCATGCATATGGTGACTTCTCCCAGTACCTGCTTGTTCGTGAAGGCGAGATCAGGAAGCCAGGGCGCATACTTCGCCGTGGGTAGCTCGTTGCCTGAATGTCGGTCACAAATGATGAGTTCGTTGGGCCAGCGCCAAGTGCAACATGGATTGTTGAACCGGTCGACGTGCAGATGTTTCGCTAGCTCCTGGCAGCTGTGCGCAGCCTTCAACAGATGAGTATACACATTCAGGCGTAGCTCGGGTGGCAGATCGAGGAATTTATGGAATTTTAGCTCATAAACCCAGGCCGTAGCGGAGGTAGCAGCTTCGGCAATGGCAATGAACTCGATCGTTGTCGCATCGTATAGAGGGTACTCTTTCTGGGTATCGAGATAGCCAATCGCAACCTTGCAAAGGTTGCGGAAAGGAAGGAAGTCTAGTGGAAACGACCCTTCGTAGTCATAGTCGTCGTAGTCAGAGCCATAGTCACCCCAGGTGCAGTTGTAGTCATCCCAGGTGCCGTTCAAGTCATTCCAGGTGCCGCCGAAGTCGTAGTCAGAGTCAGATTCGTCTGAGGACCACATGATAGCTGATATGCATATCAGAAAGAGCTTAGAAGGGAACGTTGTTGAATGCTTACCAGTTCTGCAATATCGTGATATTTTTTCCTGGATGAAAATAGGAGTGAGGGTTACAGTGGTGTGCGGAAAGGATTCAACTCAGCCAAGAGCTGGTAAATATACAACCATGGGCTGGTTTAGTATTTAGGCAGACACCAGAAAATTGGCCCGTAGTCTGAGTCCGAACGATGCTGAATTCACTTCAGCAGCCTGTGACCTGTTTCGCTGCGAGCATTTGTGCTTTGCGCATGAGCTGTGTGTACGTCAGCCAAGCTAGCTCGCTACCACTGACTACGCGTGGAGCTGATTGAACCATTTTCTCTTTCTCCTATTGCCTGGTCGCCCAGTCGATGGAACATCTGATAAGGGAAGCCTTGCGCTTGACGTTAAGAATCTCTATTCTGGTGCTACAGGGCTGTTGAGCACCGTGAATTGCAATGTGTAGAAAAGACAAAGGTATATAGTCCTTCTATCAATCTTGTAATTCGAAGACTGCTGGTAGTCATTCCCTGAGATGGATACAGCTTCACTAGTAATAAATTGCGATGCTAATTGCGAGTTTGTAGCCTCGTTTTCCTGGTCGGTTGAGCGATCGCGAAGCGAAACTGATGATTGCAGAGTGTGAGCGAATTACGTAACATACGTCATACTATTCACTATGTTGTGATTGCGCAGATGAAATATCAAAACCCCTCTCCGGGTTACCTTTGGAGGTGTGGCGTCGTGGGAATGCTTGTTACCTTTGGAGGTGATGATGTCCGAGACGAACCTTTGGAGGCAGGCGCAGGCGAAGCGCTCCGCGCTAAACCTCCGAGGTCGCACCTGGCCAATCACGAGGAACATCCTATCGGAGACCACCAAGACTCGAGATCTATATATAAGGATCTCTGTTTCTTCCATTCGTGCGATAAAGAGTACATAAAACAGTTTCTGCTGTTCTAGATACGTTTGCGCCTCGAAGCCTTGTAAGACGAAATTATGGCGTCCACACCCCATCCGCTTGACCCGCTTACGCCGGAAGAGATAACAAAGGTTGATCATCAATACACATCCTCCCTGATCTTATGCTGATGTGGAAAAAGGTAGCCAATGCAGCTCAATCATCGTTCGAAGGTCAGGCTTTGAACTTTAGGGTCATCACTTTGAGAGAACCACCAAAAGACGAGCTCGTCACATACCTCGAAGCAGAGCATCGGCGTGATCAAGCACTACCGAAGATCAGTCGTTGCGCTCGCGTGGAGATCCTCGTGAGGAGTAAGAATGGCGCAAATGACCTATTCGAACTCATCGTTGCCATCGACAGTAATAATGTCATCGGGAAACAGCATCTTGAAGGCAAGCACTCGTACATTGACGCAGCGTATATGAAAGAGGTTGAAGAGGCGTGCTTGCGCGACCCGAAAGTCCAGGCAGAAATTGAAACCCTCAACATACCAGAAGGAGCATCTGTGATTGTCGAACCCTGGGCTTATGCTACTGACGGTTCAAATGATATGTCTCGTCGCATCTCGATGGTATTGCCTTGAACTTCCAATGTCAGATTTCCAAGATGCTGACTCAAATTGCAGTGCTGGTTTTATCTTCGACTCACAGCCCACACAGACGCAAACTACTACGCCTATCCACTTGACGTCTGCGCCGAAGTTTCTGAAGACCTGGAAGTCACCAAAATCTACCGTCTACCTACTTCAGGCAATGAACAAATTCACCACGAGATACGCTCTTTCAACCGAGGGAAGATTCACGCCACAGATGCGAGCGAGTATCATCCCGATCTGCGATCCAGTCCTCGTACGACTACAAAACCATACCAAGTTGTCCAGCCAGAAGGCCCATCATTCCAGATCAATGGCCATAGGGTTAACTGGGAGAAGTGGACGTTTAGAGTGGGTTTCAACTATCGTGAAGGTCTGACTTTGCACGACATCCGATACGACGGGCGAAGCCTATTTTACCGCCTATCTTTGGCAGAGATGTTCGTACCCTACGGTGATCCACGAGCTCCGTTTCCAAGGAAAGGAGCATTTGACCTGGGAAACGATGGCGCAGGTATCAATGCGAACAATCTGCGACTGGGCTGTGATTGCCTTGGTAGGTCTTGTTGCATCATGGAGAGCTTCGGTAGTACTGACAACGAAGCAGGCACTATCAAATACTTTGATGGTTGGCACAATACGTCCTCCGGCCTCCCACTAAAACTGCCAAATGTAGTCTGCCTGCATGAACAGGATGACGGGATACTTTGGAAGCATACAAATTTCCGTACAGGGCATGCCGTGGTGACACGCTCGCGCATTCTTGTATTGCAAACGATCATCACTGTAAGCAACTACGAATACATCTTCGCCTTCCATTTCGGTCAAGATGCGTCGATCAACTACGAAGTTCGGGCAACCGGTATCCTCTCTACCGCACCCATCGCTCTCGGTGAGCCCAAACCGCCCTTTGGTACCATTGTAGCACCCGGCGTGCTTGCACCATACCATCAACACCTTTTCTGCTTGCGAATCGACCCTGCTATTGACGGTCACAAGAATTCAGTCGTAATCGAAGAGTCACACGCGATGCCTGTTAATGATCCAGATGTACACAACCCTTTCGGCGTCGGGTATGAGACTCGCACCAATTACATCGAGCACGAAGGTGGATTCGATCTCGATCTTACCAAGAATCGCGTGTTCAAGATCGTCAACGAAGCAGAGACCAACGCCATGACACAGACGCCAGTAGGCTTCAAGCTGCTTCCCTCGTACAGCCAGATGCTTCTCGCGCATCCATCATCCTTCCACGCTCGGCGATCTGAGTACGGCAAGCATGCAGTATGGGTGACAAAGTACCGCGAAGATGAGATGTTCCCTTCAGGCAAATACACAATGCAGTCGATGGGTGGTGATGGCATTGCGAGTGCGATTGAAAAGAGAGCTGGAGACAAGAAGCAAGCGAGTGTTAGGAACGAGGATGTCGTGGTCTGGCATACTTTTGGGTCAACACATAATCCCAGGATCGAGGACTGGCCAGTCATGCCATGTGAGAAGATGGTGGTTGGACTGAAGCCGGTCAACTTCTTTGACAAGAACCCTGGACTGGATGTTGCGCCGAGCACTCAAGAGGTGAACAAGAGTGTGCTATACGATGGCGATGCGGCGAATGCGCAAGATTGTTGTACGAAATCTGCTATATAGCCAAGGGATATTAGCACTACTTTGAAGTGCTGTTGGTCTAATGCGGCTCTTATTCGAGCGGCCTAGAAGTTACCCAACTTAACGCCTATGCTAGATGCAAGCGCACAGTCTGTAAACGCACTTTGCTGATAGCGTATCAACAATCCTATACTCAGTTGGTATTTCAATGCATTCAACTCTGCGTATTCCACCACCCAACATCTACGCTCGATTCCGATAACTGCAGAAGAGTTTCATAGCTGAAGGTACACAAGCTACCATTTGGACGTAGTAAATCTGTGAAGTTTGCGCATGACACACCAACGGCTACCAAAGACTCGCGGCATCCCTCTCCCACTCTACCTCATCCTCATCCTTCCAATACTCAGTACCACTCTTCTTGAACCCCATCTTCTCCAACACTCTTCCGCTTCTCGCATTTTCTTTTTCTGTCTCAGCAATGAATCTTTTCACGCCTCTTTCAGTGGCTGCCCATTGCATGACTGCTTCCGCGGCTTCGCGAGCTACGCCTTGGCCCCAGCAGGATGGTGCAACACCGTAACGCAGTTCAACCATCTCTTCCCATGGCGGTAGCGGAGCATCCGAGGCATTGCGTGGAGGAAGAGAGGTTGTAGTAGCGTCACGGACACCCGCGTAACCCAGCCACTCAATATCGTCAAGCGTCTGACAGACACCGTCAATGTCATTTTCATCAATGACCACTACTGTATTGGTCGCATCCACCAGTTTCCGGCCTGTTGTATCCTTTATTTGTAACTTTGATCGTCGGCCTACTGCGAAATCGCCAATCGCTCTCTTGTCCCAGGATCGAGCAATGTCTCGCGTGGCAATCACTTCCTGCATCTGTTCTTGGGTTCGCGTCTGAACAGGGAAAGCATTGCCGAACCCCATGCTGCAGAAAGCGGCATTGGCGTGGAGGTCAGCGTACAGATTGACATAAGATGGTATTGAGATGGCTAATGGCGTCGGTATAAGAATGAGACGAGATGTGAGAAGGGCGAATCGCCGAGAAGGTCTTAGGGTGTCTTGGGTGCTCATGCTGAAGTCTTAGGGGATCCGAATTCTAAGTATCAGGTTTGCGCAAGTATCAATACACTGAAGAGGATCATGAACACGATGACTTGAAAGGTCTTCGGTGGATTGAGACCACCGCTAAGCACAACAAAGCCTAGCGCTGATATGACTCAGAATGATTGGTTGAAGTGAACGATACCTTGGTGACTTAGGCTGCCTTCTTTACCTTCATCGGATCGATATTGAATGGTGAGAACTCTTTGCCTCTCATACTATCCCAGCTTTGATACAATGCTTCGCACCTCCGCCACGTGTTTTCCACCAGTTTCTCATGCTGTCCTACGGTCCTCTCTACCCAGCCATCCCTCTCATCCGCCACCATCACGATTTCGTCTCCATCACCAGTGTACTTGTATTCCTTCCACGGTGTACTTCCGTTTGCGAAACTGATCCAATTTTGCGCATGTTGCGTGGAGATCTCCTTCAGTCTTTGGGTGGGGTAGCGGAATTGGTACGTCTTGAACATGAAGTAGACATCGACCCAATGATGCGCTTGTTGCCAAAAGGGACTAATAGGAAAAGGGTTACGGACGTCGAAAAGGTAACGGTAAACTTTCTTGTTCGTATGCTGGGTAAGGTATTGTGCTAGTTGGTGAGTAGGCGCTACGAGAATTAGTGACGCATGCTCCACGTTACCGATCTATAACTCACCATCGAAAACAACATCGCCCATCCAGCGTGCACCCGCTGTTAGGAACAAGTTCTGGTCGGTATTTGGAGCGACACCATAAACCTTACCGACTAGCTCCGCGCTTTGCTCGCCTAACTGAGTTGCAATGCCACTGAGGAATGCGTCCGGGCTGACGGGAACTATTTGCTGCATGAGGGTGATGCCCTGGATGATAAGTAAGCCTCTGATGCCGAGCGCGTCTGGATGCATCATTCCCTTACCTCAGAACCTGTAGTTCCCAGAATAATTTCATTGACCCAGTCGCACTTGCTGAGCAACTCAGGAATGCGATCCCAGGTTACCGATCCAGCAGCATCGCCAAACCATTCTGAATCTTGGACGATCAGCCACATGCCGCCATCCGCACGATACTCAGAAGTTGCGTCAACGATCTTTTGCACATCCACCTTGCGTAGTAGATCCAGACTGGCCTCTCCGTCTTCTTCAATTCCCATTCTTTTCAAGAAGTCCTTGTAAGTCTTGCTTGCGTTCTCCAGCGATAACGGTGCTGTTGTTGGTCCAAGAACACCAGAACACAGGATGGCTCTCTGGAAGAGTGGACCAGACGATGGAGGCGCAGACAGCATGTGGCTACATATTGACATGGAGCCAGCAGACTCTCCAAACACGGTAACTCTCTTGCTGTCTCCTCCAAATCCTGCGACAAACTTCTGGATCCAAAGAAGCGCGTTTCGCTGGTCATTCAAAGCGAGATTCGCGTTGCCAGATTCCGGAGTGTGCAGATAACCGAGCGCTCCCACCCGGTACTGTATGCTTGCTGAGATAACAGGCTGATCATCAAGAATCGATTGCTCAACCATTAGGGCTGTGCTGTGCTGCTCATCGATCTTTCCGAGCACGAAGCCACCGCCATGTATGTACACTAGCACGGGAAGCTTGGACGAAGGCGGCTGATCTTTGAGGCACGAGAGCGGTATGTTAAGCTGGAGGATGGCACATTGAAATTCGTCGGATGCGGCTGGAAAGCTTTCGCCCGGGAAATTTCCACCTCCCACTACGTTTTCACTGAATACTTGCGGACATACGTAACTGTGATTGTCAGAGTTGACCAACGACGATCGGTTATGAAGCCGACCTGGATATGAAGATAGGCTATTACCCATGTTTTGTGAAGTCGTCTTTGCCCGCAAGCGTTTCAGCGAGAACAGACTGCTTGAATCGAGCCGGTATAGTAGCATATGGCACTGCGCGGAATTGGACCACGTTGCTTGGTGTAATGACTCCAGTCATGGGACCTAGGTCGGCATGATGGAATGTAAATGTGCTTGGGTCCTTAGATTCGGTGGCCATCTCGTTATGTTGGCTTCAAACTCCAGAGGTAGTAAGGATATATAAGTTGCAGGTGATGACCATGAGCATCGTGGGGAAGAACGTTCACTATGCCTGGACAACGTTGTATAAGTACCGGGAGTGGAGTTCAGGCCCGGCGGACCGGTCAGACGCGCAGCAACGGATGCCTGCTGCCCTTGAGCCCTTTCATACTTCCTCAAGCGGCAAACTACATAGCGTAATCGAAACTGATGCCTACACACAGCCGATATGGTGGTAGCAAGCAAACCGTAAGACCAACCAGAGCACAACCAGGGAACGTGCACCTAAGTAAGCTCCAGCCCTTCGGAGCTAGAATGGTTGCCGAGCGACACATTGGGTGGAGTAGCGGGGTTGACCATCGGGGCACTTTCTTATGCGACACCGATGACGACCGGTCGTAAGACGTTACCAAAGAGCGATCAAATGATGGCCAAGTGAATATGTGCGATGAACGCGTCTCACCTCGTTAGGGATGGCATGAAAAGGGCTGATGTCTCTTGATGAAGTTCCGTCATTCATAACGCACCGATGGCGCAGTAGAGAGGAGCAGCAGAAGCAAGGATGGTCTGTGCGTAAGCGCTAGCCCACACCCGAACTAGATCTTGTGCTTTCGAAAAGTCGCGTCGCGATACTGCGCATCGCGTTTTCAACACTCTATTCATCGTCACAAAGAATGACATGCATTTCACAACGAACACATTCGTGATCACATTGATACATTAATTCGCCACTTTTCTAATGTGTCTCATGTTTGACAAAGGGAAGGGTATCGTTCTATGCAGTCGAAATGTGAGCAAAAGATCCTCCGGAACGCCCAATGGAGTAAGTGTCTACTTCGCGCTTCGCTCCCCATACGCGCCCCATTACGGAGAAGCCGGTGATATGTACACGGAAGCAGGCACCTTCTTGCTAGCGTCTTCCTTCGCAGCAGCGAGAAGAGCCTCGGCCTCATCAGCGAGATAAGCTGGATTATTCTCGAAGCGAGGATCAAGCCACACGGCATTAGGATCATTATCCTTGATCATCTTCTTGATGGTCTTTGGTTTCTTGTGGCCTCCAGCGTAGAAGATAACAGCACGGATAGCACCGAAGATCGATACAAGACTGTAAAGTTGTTTGTACAAAGGGTAGGTCATTGCAGCCCAGAACCGGGGTTGGAGATCAGGTCGGTGCCGCGCATTGAAGTATTTGAAGGCCAGAATGGGTAGAGTGGCAGCGAGCATGAGCGGAACCCCAAGTCGCCAGAAGTTTGGATCGCCGCCCATTGTGGCGAAGACGGGAATGCGCACCCAGTCAACGATGATGGTAGCGATGGAGTATAGGTGAATGAACTTCTGGGTGAAGATACCCCAAGGCGTTGTCTGTCCGTTGAGCGAAAGTAGCATGCGGTCTGCGAAAGCGATGAGACGACCATGACGACCCATTTCCCATGAACGATATCGTTGATTCCACCAGTTAAGAACTGGCCCAAGGACAGTGGTTGGAACTTCGGTCTCGAGCACGCATGTTGCATCAAAGGCAATGCGCTTCTTCATCTTCTGCATCGAAAGGCCTGTATTGACGTCTTCTGCGATGAAGTCGATGGAGTGGTAGTTGCTAATGAGATCGATGAGTGTATCTCTTTCGCAGAACCAGCCTGCACCATGTGGGTACAACACGCCACAGATGGACGACTCAGCAAGCTTGGTGAGACCGCTCATCTTATACTCGCAGTCTTGCCATGCCACGAGGCAGAGTGGCACGTCACCGTTGGCATCAACAGCTTTGAGAGGGAAGGCACACCCCTTCGTTATGTCGTCCATCTTGTCGATCGGTGGACGGAAGGTCGCTGGGATGGAGACATCATCGTCAACAGTCATGATCCAGTCGTAGTCCTTGGCCGCTATGGCACCAACGAGTTGTGCGGCGTTCTTGCTACCAATCGGCGACCAAATGTAGTTGATGTCGGGATGCTCGCTTCGAATGAAGTTACGGAACTCGGGGGAGACCGGGTGCCTAGTGCGGCCATTGTCGACGACGAAGATGTCTTGAGGTCGGAAGTGAACGAAGGCGCTCTTGAGTACCTTACTGGTAGCTTCGTGGTCACTATTGTGACATGGGATGACGAGTGCAGTGCGATGTTCTGGTGTAGCTTCGACAATGCAGATGGCCTTCTCCACATCTAGCTCGACATCCGGAGCAGCTTTTTCGACAGGCGGACCGACGGGAGGGTGAAGAGGTGGTACACGAGCAACCAGTAGGATGACAGTAATCATGATTGGTTCGAGACCGACAACTATGATGAGAACTGGTAGCATGTTGCTGCGCGTTATCTCCATGGACTTCTTGATCCAGCCGAAGTAGTGATCCGATATCGCGACTCCGACAGCAAGCGCAGCCACGATGAAGAGGATGATGTACTTCTTCCAAGTGAACGGCCAAAACACCTCACGGATATCGATCATCTGCCATATCGTCCTTGGGTGAACGTGGCTGAAGATCTTGCGCTTCATGGCCGAGAAGCCGCGAAAAACGAGATTTCGTCGATCTCGTTTCGGCACGCCTTGGCGGAGAGGAAGCGATTCGTTGCTGGACTGAGCAAGACTTGTTGTGGAGGAAGAGGGTGTCCCATATGGATAGGGCGGAGGTTGATCGTCCCAGCTGTTGACCGATCTAGATGAGCCATACGAAAGGAAAGCAGGCCGAGGATGTGGTAGGTCATTGTGATGAGAAATGGTGATCCCTGGCGAACGCAATGCAGGATGTACCGCGGTGTCTGCCGCAGAAGAGCTTGGTAGAGATGGAGAATTAATGGGCAATATCTCGTCCACGTCGACAAACGGATTGACAGGAGTCGCACCCATGGTCAAGGACGGAGTGATGTGAAGGCTTGGCCGAACGATAAATGGACGAAGAGCAATGACTAACAAAGAACTCTGAGGGTCGACTTGAACCACCTATACACAAGAAGGTACAGCATGGCTTCTCGAGCTGTTTTGAAGGTCCTATACATCCCCACCACAGACCTAGAACGAAATGTCAGAATATCGATTCTGCACTTGCCATCCCAAAACTCAACAACATCGCCGCTGCAAGTTCAGCTCTGCGCCACAACATCGTTCTGGAACACCGCAGCTAAGGATACTATTTTGATGCTGTACTCAAATCCTACACTTTGCTGTTTCGTTACTGCGCCCAGCACCAGGATTGTAGTGCGTGAACATTGCTAGCTCATCGCACATACCACTGCGGCTCAACACGAACATCCCGATCAAGGTGGTCTAGCGATGTGGGCTGTAAAAAAGAACAGTGTAGATTGGACTCGATCTGTATGTCGTGTAAGCAATGGACCTATTTGGAAGTGCCAAAACTAAAAGGGAGAAGTTTGGTTACCTAGAGATTAGTGCACGAAGTACCTGTGGCTAAAGTGACGCGCCGCCTCATCGGGACGACCGAACCAAAGTTTGAAAAATTCCCCGCATCGCTTAAATCCCGGCATTAATCATTTCCACAACGCATTACCGGGTACCAGCCGTGCAAAGGGCTGACCAGGAAGTACCTCCGGACGTTGACGTTGCGTAACATCAACCTCCACGTTCTCAACACAATTCTACGTATGGTACAACCTCGCCACACGAGCGATGTTTCAGTGAAATGAGACTGACAAGTCAACTTACACAGAAGTCGTGTCTTGTAGTCTGAAAGCTTCGTGGACATACTGCGTACTACTTCGGCCCTCGTAATCAACAACACGAAATCCTACGGCTTGTACCAACAACAGTAAACGTAACATTCGCGATATACCCATGATCGATCGATTCCGATCTCAGAGACATCCTGGCAGTATCGAGTATCAGATCAGCCTGGCGACCTTACAGCACCCTTACATGGAGTGATGTGACAAATGCCTGCTCATCCCTGTTCCGAAGTTCCAGAGCTGGGGTTGTACCAAACATGTGTAGTTGCTGGCAAACGTGCAAACGCCATGTCGTGGCCAGGCGGGATGAAAAAGTACTTGTGGCTGACACGTTTCTAGACCACTGTGGTAGACTGGCTGGTACACAACAATCCACATGTGGGATTGGCTGTCAGGCAAAACCAGGATAAACAGTCAGATATTGGAAACGCATGTTGTCAGCTTGGAGAAAAGAGCGTTCCCACTATCGAATCGAAGAGGCTTTTTACGGAGAAACTGCTGTTGAGCTGAAGCTGATAGACGAAGAAAGTTGTGGAGTCTAGATCTGGAAGCACAGTTCAGTGAGCTGTACAGGCGATGGCGAGGTCGGAAGTGTTGTGGAAGTGAAGAGAAAGCAACATACATAAAGTGCGTAGGAGACTGCAGTTGAAGAGAATACCTCCATCGCTATCGATCATCATGTCTTACTTTGAAGCTCGTCCGTTTTCATCTTCTACTGATGTATCCCCTTCTTCACCTGTATCAACTATCCTCTCTGGATACAGCACCCCTGCTTCTGAGATCGACGAGCCTTCGTCCTTCATTTCGGATGGGCCCAATGCTCGTCGATCCCAGTACGTTCTTGTCGTTGGCGGTCTAGGATACATTGGCAGTCATACGTCATTGGAGCTCCTCAGAGCCGGATACAATGTTGTCATTGTCGACAATTTGGACAATTCGTACCTGTCAACACTGGACCGCATCAAGGAGCTGCGAGATGATCACTACCGAAACACTTCATGGAATCCATCTCTCACGTTCCACGAAGCCGACTATCGAAACGAGCACGCCATGTCTGTCATTCTCAAACGGTATAGCGCTGGACTGTCGGGATCCGTCATCGAAGGCGTCATCCACTTCGCCGCCCACAAGGCTGTTTCCGAAAGTATCCAGCAGCCACTGCGATACTATTCCAATAACGTCGCAGGCATGGTCACCTTCTGCACGTTATTGGACAGCCTGAATATCAAGAACCTCATCTTTTCTTCTTCCGCCGCCGTTTATGGTGAAGTGACATCCGAGGTTGGGCTGCGGATAAGCGAGAATCATTGCCTTCACGAAACCCAGGATTGGATTGATGCTGCAGGAAAGAAGCAAGTTACGCAAGGCGGCTGCACGGCGATCTCAAATCCCTACGGTCGTTCCAAATGGATGTGCGAGGCTATTTTGAATGACTTAGCGGTCTCAGATCCAGAGTGGTCCATTGTGGCTTTGCGCTACTTCAACCCCATAGGCTGCGATGCTTCTGGCAAGCTAGGAGAATACCCTAGGACAGAACCCAGCAATCTCATGCCTAGCCTACTTCGAGTCATGAACGGACAGATGCCGCATCTCAAGATCTTCGGCACGGACTGGGACACCAGGGACGGCACGGCAATGCGCGACTTTATCCATGTCAGCGATCTGGCGTTGGGCCATGTTGCTGCTCTCAAAGCGGTTGGTGAGTCGCGGCTGGAACCAGGATTCCACACGTACAACCTAGGCACCGGCGATGGTAGCTCGGTCAAGGAAATCGTGTCAGCAATGCAAACCTGTTCAGGAAAGGTCATAGAAACGCAGGAGGTTGGACGTCGTGCGGGTGACGTAGGCGTTGTTGTGGCTGACCCCACGAGGGCAGCAGTAGAGCTCGAGTGGAAGACGGCAAAGTCGATCGAAAACTGCTGCCAGGATCTGTGCCGCTTTCTTCAGATTGATGCGTCTGCGGCATATAGTTGACACTTTTACAAGTTCCTTTTGCGAGCGGGAGTCGAGACCGATGAGCGGGTTTTGTTTTCGGGTACGGTACCTTTTAGCGCTAGGACGGGCGGAGCCGCGGGAGTCAATCCAGGCATTTTTAATTGGACGCCACTAGCAAGCCACAAAACTCTGCAAGCCTCATCTGTGTCATCCTGTCATCCTTTGTTACACGTCTCGAAAACAACATAGCCTTGTAATACCCCACGTCCACGTTACGTTTCTATGAATGGAAATTTGAGCGTCGAATCCGAGCAGCTGAACGCCTTAGCTTACCATGTCTCGCCTGAACGCCTCTCCAGGTGAAATCGAGACCATGAGACCACCGAAAGGAAACCGTTACACGTATGTAGTATAAGCAAATGCGACTGATAAGTCGTAATATCTGCAGATCAAGTCTGCTGTGATCCCAATCGCTTACCTCCATTCTTTGCCATGTTTTCCAGTGCAGCTCTCCTATTGGCTTTCGCTGCGTCTTTTCTCCTCGTCCAGGTCTCTGCAGAATGTACCCAATTCTCAACCAATGGCTCGACAGCAGCAACGTACGACTTCTATCGCTTCTACGACTTTAGGAACATTCGTGATAATATTGATGGCGATGCGGCTGCCGCCTCGTCTTACGGAAAGAGTTACACGGCTACTGAATCGGCCAATGGCCAGTCCAAGATCATCGAAGCTGCTCCCTGGAACTCGGGTTGGAATGCTAGAGATTGGTTCAGACCTTCCCCCAAAAATGACACGATAGACATGCACTACAAACCGTCTCGTGTATCAATCAGTAAGCTATACTCTCTTCCGTAGCTTCTGCGCTTTCTTAACCAAAGTCAGGCAACAACACCGACAAATCGGAGGAACATTCGACTTACCTCTCTTTGCATACGACAAGGCTTTCAGACGGAAGCCAGCTGGCGGCTGAGCTTGACTTTGCAGAATACAACGTCACATTCGCCTCTATCCGCATGTCCGCGCGCATCCATGGAGCCAGTGGCGCTATTGCTGGCTTCTTCACGTACCACGATGACACATCCGAGTCGGATATAGAGATTCCAACCGGAGGCTCGGCAGAAGAAGTGCACTACTCCAATCAGCCTACCACTGACCCCGACACTGGAGTAGCTATTAATGGCGCAACATTCAATGTGTCAATGGAGGCTCACCAACCCACTTCGACTTGGAACAATTACAGACTGGACTGGGTGGATGGAAGAAGCGCGTGGTATATGAACGGAGCGCAGTCAGCGGATACAGAAGTTAATGTGCCGGATAAGGAGAGCATGATCATCCTGAGTCTTTGGAGTAACGGTGGTACTTTCTCTGGACGTATGGACATTGGTCAAGATGCCTGGTTCGATGTACAATGGGTTGAGCTGTTATTCAACACGAGTACCAGTGCCAGTCCGGATACGAGTGGTACGGTATGCTCGGTAGAGTCATCGCTGGGTTCGCCGACACCCAACGCATCTCCTTGTCTTCGGGATCTAGTCACGGAGTGCATTTGGTGGGCTATTGGGGTGGCGTCAACAGTGAGCTTCATGGCCTTCATGTAGTAACCCGCGTTGAGAGGAAGTTTGAATGTTGGACACGGCATATGTGGTGCATGTTTATAATAGTCAAAACATAGATCATGTCTTACATGGATGATCGGAACCACCGCGCCCTATTTGAAAAGGTTCTTGGCAAAGATGCGCCATCTTGTGGGAAACAAATGATGTTTCACTTCTCTCCAAGCAACGGCACGAGGTTCGCAACGGTATCCCATCTTAATGGCACCAACACCCTCCATCCTCCCTTCGCAACACTATGCAAGTATATCGTGTGATCCAATAGTGATGATCCCTTTGGCCGCTCGTAATCTCCACGCAAAGGTATCTTGACAGTCCGTACTCCGGACCAAGGTTGGCACTGCACCCGCTCCCCACTATCGGCAGGCTCACTACCAAGTTTGCCTTGCTCAGTCCAACGTTTTACTAACAGCCATTTGATGACCTCTGGATGCTGACATGCTGCTGCGTGGGCATTGAGAGATCGACCTCGATGCTTGTACTCCAGCTTGGCTCCCTGCCGGACAAGGTACGCGACAGAGGGTAGCTGTCCGACTCGACAGGCGGCAAGGAGTGCTGTATCGCCGTTCTTGCGAGTAAGTTCGAGCTGCGCGCCAGCTTTGACATAAACTTGGATAAAGTCTGGGCCACTTCCGATCGCACTTTCAATCAACACTGTATCTCCGTCCTCATTTCTCATTGTCAGGAACAAACTCCTGGAGGCCTTCGAAGAATAAGAAAGAAACAAGCGCAAAGCTTGAATCCCTGGCCCTATCATGGGAACGTGATCTTCATTAACCATGTGGCTCAAATCTAGGCAGCGTGCGTAGATATAAGTGGCAAGATCTCTACATGGTAACGCGTAGTACACCGGAGAATGGTTTCTGTTATCGAGCTGATAGGGGTCGCATCCGGAGTCAAGTAAGAACATCAACATCTTGATGTTTATTCCTTGATAAGAATTATGCATTGCGTTTTCGCCAGCGAGGTTTACCGCCGCCAAATTGGCGCCATGCTTCAATAACGTCGAGGCAGCGTGTATTGCGCCGAATTCCGCAGCAGCCATGAGTGGCGTCTTTTGGAAAACGTCAACAGCATCAGGTCTTGCTCCAGCTTTCAATAGCTTTTCAATAAGAATGCTACTATCAGCCTGCACAGCATAGTGTAATGGTGATCGTCCAGTTGCATCTTTCACATTCGCGTCGACGCCGTATTTGAGGAGGAGGTCGATAGCATCGGGACTATTGCTCATCGCAGCCACATGAAGCGTTGCGCAACCTGGCTGTAGCTCTGGTATCGATACCTTGTCAGATTCTGTTGCAAGACTCTCGAGGCCAGCTTTCAAGATTGAGGAAGAGCTCACATCGAACCTTCCGGTGGCCATATGTAGACTGTCTCTATGTTAACGTCAGAAAGTCATCCCATGAAGGCTTGGTAGATCCTTAGGGTATCCTTGACTACAAGTCTGCTAGATCTGACGTACCTGAACAAGTTCACGTGCGCAACAACGTGATTTGCAAGTATCTCGATTGCCCCGGGATTAAAGGCGGCCGCGACATGGAACGGTCGCCAATAACCGAATCTCTGACTCCAATGTGTTTCGTGTAATAGGCACTGCTCGAGAAGCTGCTTAAGCAAAGGATTGAGAATTGGCTTTCGAATGGCTATCTCGAGAGCTGAGGCCTGGAAGCCGACGTTGGCGGAATTCCGACATGGGACACCGTATGTGGAAGCTCCATGATCAAGAAACAACTTCGCGATGTCTAGTTGATTGTGAGATAGTGCAACGACAAGCGGTGTGCATGGAGCGCATTCTTCGACCACTTTGGGCAAGCATGGTGTAGTCGCAATGATTGAATTGCAGGCCTCAAGATCTCCGTTCACAATCGCCCTGTACAAGCTTCCAGATGATTTCAGTTTGAGCCTACGCCGGATAGCTTCCATCACAATGGGAGAAATTGGAAATCCGACATTGAGAAGAAGCTCGAGCAAATCTGCACAAATTGCCGGATCTACCTGCATCTCCGGTGTGATACCTGTTGAATCGGCGCAAAACTCCGCTCCAGCTTCGACAAGTGCGATCGCGGTTTCAAGACAGCCCCATCTCATAGCAACGTGCAGCGCGGAGATCTTTCTTTTGCCGCACTTTGCCTTGATGTCCGCTCCGTGTTTCAACAGCCATCTGGTTGTATGAGGTGAATTCATGCATACGGCAAAATGGAGTGGGGTGACTCCGTCTTGGGCTTCTGCATTGATGTTGCCGACAACGTTGTTGCCGTGCAGAAACTGAAGCGTATCTGATGTATAGTTGTAGGCTGCAAAATGTGTCGGAGAGCAACGATGGTAATTCCAATGAGATAGTGGACCCAGAGGTTTGCCATCTGAAAGACTAGATAACATTACAAGCGTTGCGGGCCGTGTCCATTCCTCGTCTTGCCTGATAATTTGTCGTAGGTATTCCAACAAGATCAGATGCTCACCATCGATGGCATAGTGTATTACAGTCCATCCGGTTTGATCAGTGAGTAGTAAATCCGCAGAGAAAGCCACTAACAGTTTCATGCATTCAAGTTGGCCATTTACAGCTGCTTCGATAGCTGCTGTCCAACCATGAATCGATCTCGCGTTAGGATCAACACCTCTTTGCAATAGTGTTTTCAGCTTTGAAACACGTAAGGCCATTTCTCGCTGTGCTTCGCCAACCGCCGATCGGGCCGCGTGCTCCTCATCCGTAAAGGTTTCCGGCCGACAAAGCTCAAAATGTCTCATTGAGCCTTCTGCATCGAGCTTAGGGACTCGAACAGGGTCCGCATGAGCGAGGATCTTGTCGAATGATCTCGCTTCAATGGTGCCTTTGATAGCAATATCAATAGCCGAGTCTCCATCGTAGTATCCACATGTAGCGTGAACATCTACTCCCAGGCGAAGTAGCTGCTCAATGACGTCGTTGTCGGATTGAGTGATAGACCAGAGCAAAAGTCGTACTGCTTGTGGGTGTGAAACAGGTAGACTATTGGCTGTCGTGGTCTCGAGCACGTGCCGTATAACGGCCTTGACAGAGGTTGTTATAAACTCCTGGTCCTCTATACTGGTTTTCGAAACAGTATCTAGGCACATCTCTATCAAGAGAGCAATTCCAGAGTTGATAGTGGCCTCTTCGTAGGCTTTCAACCCACCTCGTTCTGTCAGGATATCTGAAAATGCTACGAGCGAATCAAGTTCGAAAAGCGGTGCTGGGCGAAGCAGATGATGTGGTATGGTTTTAGTACAGAAATAGAACCAAGCAAAGTTGCCCTTCTTATCCTGAGTGGTCGTGCAGAAGGTCGTAGCAAGCAGCTCCATCACTGAAAGACTGAGATACGTGGAGTCAGATTCAGAGTATCCCAGCGCTTTCAGTCTCTGCGAGTGCTGGTCAACTTCTAGGAAGTCGAGGAGAGGTGATCTTCCGTCAATATCAAGATGATTTACATCAAGACCATGGTTTAGGAGCATTCTCAGTATGCCGGGGGTCGTTTCTTGGGTGACAAAGTACAAGGCACTTCGATCCTGATCAGATCCGCTGTGTAGGCTGGCACCCATTTGCACAAGTTCTTGCAAGATATCTTCGAGACCAGTCGCTATGGCAGAATGGATAGCTTGCGGATCTGTCGCAAGGACTTTGTTTGCCGGAAGTGACCTTAGCATTCGAAATGCGATATGGTTCTCTCGGTACAAGATTGCGTCCAGAAATGGGGTTCTGCCTAGTTTGCTCTGTATGCAGAGGTAAGGATGATCCGGTCCAAGTTCCGCGATGAGTAAATCAAGAACGTCTAAGCGCCCTTTCTCAGCTACGACGTGCCAAACGCCTCTCCCATCACGATCTACAACTTCTGTGGCGTTACTTTGGATCAGGCGGCGTAGCAGAGGTTCCTCTTTTATGCCGTAACTGATTGCGTGTTGCAAAACTGTACATCCAGACTCATCCAACTGAGCGGCATCAAAACCTTTGTCCAGAAGCAGCTCCATACATTCTGGCGAATTATGTTCTGCCGCTATGTGAAGCAGTGTTGCCGAGCGACATGGCCCTTCCATGTTCACCGAGAATCGCTCGTCAGTTGTAAGATGTAGTAGATTTGACACTGGACCATACTTGGCTGTATAGACAACAGCATCCGCATACGTCTCGTCGCTCATATATTGCATCGTGCTGATTCTAGTATCCAGAGGCGAGTTGGTCTCTAATGGAATACCATTTGCTCGAGCAAGATCAAGAAGTCGCATTCTGACATCTAAGGGAATCTTTTCATCTTCAACGCCATTAATCGAGGCGACAAAGTTCTCCAAGAACAGTTTATTACCCCCGCGAAGGTTTTCCTCCAGATAATGGGTGAAACTCTCAGATAGAGGCATGCCATAGCGAAGCATCTCCACGGAAAGTGTCCATGGACCGTGAAATACAGCGAGAAGCAGAGAGTTCAGATCTCCCCCGTCCACATCGTAGGCGGCACCGGCTTCGATTAGTGTCGATATGATACTTTCAGTGGCGCTTTGAAAGAGGTGCTCGAACAAATGGAAGCTTATCTTCCCAGATTTCATGAAATATGGACCAACCACCACCCATTCCAATGGAGTGCCGAGTGCGGACTTCTGATTTATATCGCATCCTTCATCGAGTAGCCATCGACACACTGTTCCGAAACCAAACATAGCCGCAGCATGCAGGCTGCTGAACTCGTATGAACAGAGTTCATCCACCCATTCGTCTTCTTTAGCTTCATCCCTCAGATATGGAACATAGTGTAAAACAAGACGGGTGAGATTGTAGGACTTTGGTGGGCGAAATAGCCTTTGAAGATATCTCTGTATATCGTCGTCATGCGTAACCTGGCCGACGTAGTTGGTTAGACAAATTGTTGCATGATGGTAGAATGGATGGTCCTCAAAATCTTCCTCAAAGTCAAAAGGGGGCTGATTGAATGACGGGAGACATAGATAATTCAGACATGTCTTGGCCAATATGAGCTCGTCAGTGGAGCTCAGGCGGAACTCGTTCAGTTCCGCATCGTTGGGGTTGATCGCCTCCAGAAATTCTTGGACAGTAAAATGAGCCAACTCGAGTTTGGTACATGACGAATTACTTGTGTAACTGAAACCGCTGGTTCTGCGAACTAAGCTCCCACAATATCGAAGTAGATCTTCTATATCGGGGCATGCCTCAGGGTCCAATTCCTCGTCCTTCTCGTCTATGGCGACAATCTCTGATAATTGCTCGACAGAGAGCCCGGAATGGTGGGCGTATGTGATCCACTGTAAGGTTCTCCGTACAAGCGGCCTAGCGGAGGCCTCGACACGCGTGAGTACTCTTGCATAGGTTTCGTTCAGAGTTGTGGGCAGACACGTTAAAGCTTTACGACGAAGCGCATCTGTCGGAAGCTCACAGAGGTGATCGAGCTGGCAAGACACCCAACGGAACCTGTAGTGATAAGCAAATGTTAGAGAAAGCGTATCCAGCAGCACTCACATGCCCTTTGCTCGAGTTACGAGTTGACGAACAATTTCGTCTTTGAGGTTACTACTCTTCAGCCGAAGTTTCTTCTTTTTGAGCCTATCTTCGATCTCGGTTCTGACATAATGTTCTACGTCCTCCGTGTGCGCAGCGATCTCGATATGCCCGAACATAAGCGAATCAAGTTCCGTACGGATATCAAGCTCGTCTCTGCTGAGAAAACACATGGAGATAACAGCATGATCACTCCCCAGCGATTTGAGTTTTCTCGCTACCTCGCCAGCCTGCTCATTGCACTCGTCAAGCCCGTCTACTATCAAACGTACGTCCTCGAAGTAATTGGACATCTTCCGTAGCAGGTCAATGAGTTCTTCAACTTCAGGGCTCCGTCGCAGCTGGTGCTGTGGCCGTAGTTCATTGTCGTAGTCCTTGAGTAGCTGGAAACAGCTTTCGTGTTGCCGTGCGAGCTGCGATGTAAGGCTACTCAGGATTTGAACCACGTCTTGGCTCCTGATATTCTTGTAATCGCAGTAAAAGAACGCTACTGCTCTATCATCCGTAGCTTGATTCAAGCATTGCTGAATAATAAGACTGGAGAGGATCGTCTTGCCAGCACCAGGGATGCCGCTCAGCCACAGGTGTAAGTTTGATCCTTGCATCCATGTGGTGAACTCATCATTTTTAGTAAGCCAAAACCCGGTCGTGGTATGTCTAATCCGTGTATTGGTACGGAATGAATCTTCCGGATTGACGGAAAGGAAGTTGTCCAGAATCTTCTGACGTTCCGCGTTCACAACAATCTTGGTGTCGATATTCTGTTTGTCTCGCAATCTTGTCTCAAGGCCAGCAACACCCGAGAGTAGCTGATCTTGTTTAGAAAGACACTGGAGCAAAGCCGCCATGGTATCAACCGAGAGAGCAAAGTTAAGGTGGTCTCGATGGCCTCGTATGTCGTCGAAGAACTTCTTTGTATCGACAGCCTTGAAAGGCCAACTGAGCTTGTGTACCGTGCTACGTATCTTGCCTTTATCAAAAATCCCGGCTTTTTCAATGTTATCCTTTAATTTGTAGAGAGTGTTGAGACATGCGTCGATATGATCTAGGCGTATCGAACTGTTTTGCAATTCGCTGGTTTCCAAGTCCTGGGCGATCAGTTGGAGGTTGTGGAGTACGCCACTGAGCGCAGCGACTTCATTCTTGAGGGTTTTCACTTCCTTCTCAGCACTTTTTACATCTTTGACATAGTGGTAGAGCTTGCGAAAGATTGTGTCGCTCAGTGAGATGAGACCTGAGATCGAGCCGGCCACCGATAGAGGGTCCATCACTCTCGAGGAAGGAGCGTGGTCGCTCAAAACAAAGCGAGCAACAGGCCATAAGGGGAAGGACTCAATTTAAAAGGACCTTAGTTCGTCCCAGAGCACACAAGGCTGCGATTCAGCCTTGCTCCTCGCATGCTGATTGCAGATGGTGGAGGCGCAACAGGTGGCTGGTGACACGCCTCGTCTACATGTCGGCCTTAGGGAACACGTACACAACTTAGTACCTACTCGTGTCGTAGCGTTAGTGGCGTCTTGGATGGCTATATTTCTGCCTGTATGGTGCTTCACGCTGTAGGCAGACTGATGTCTTCTACTAAAGTAAGTGGTGAGGTGGCAGACGCTCGGCCGTAAGCGCTGAAAGTAGTGGGGTCGAGCACGCATCCGTCATCGGTCAGAGCACCCCATTGTGATGTCATTGGCCCTTCTTCGTTACGGTTAACAAACCACATATCTCCACTGTAGGTGCTGCTGACACATTTTTCTGTGGCTGCGCCATGTATGCTTCCTTCTTGACTGGCAGGGGAAAGTTGAAGTTCAGCTCTCAGCAGAGCCTGGTGGTCGCGGTTTCCCGGGATGATGCCCTCCTATCCCGCAAATCCTGCGACCAACGCCGACACCACAACACAACATCAGATCATCGCAGGATTGCGATATTATTCCCCATGATGGGGTGGCTCGCCATCGATCTAGCGCTCATTGATCAAGTTGCTCAAACGACAATGATAATACCACGTCGTCACGTATGAGCCAATACAAGGGATATCGCACCGGGGTCGGTCAACACAATAGTGTGGCAATGATTGCGCACGGTTGGCATACCAAGCAAAGACATGGATATGCCTTTGGTAGGGATTTGACGTGTTGATATCTGATGGTAGAGTGATTGGGCTACGAGCCCCCACGATTTGTCAGTCGCAAGGCGCAAGCTTAATGTTACGCGAGGATCGAGTCAACCTTATCATCTTGCCTGTAAACCCCCGCATTGCAACGAGGACTGCGAGCCAGCGATGCAGGCTGAATTAGCCGCCAAGAGTGTCTGGAAATTTTGGCTGGGTATTCTGTGATTCTTACTCATTGATAAATGCTTGCTTCGTTCGTAATCCCCGAAGGCTTGCTGCTTCCTCATATGTCTACCTCGCATCTCGGAGTTCGCGTCGTACTGTCTTTGTACCGATTCTATTGATGGGATTTTTAGTGTCAACCGTCCGGGTACCCAGAGGGAGGAGTGATGGACTCTGCCATCGAGATAGGAAAGATGTTCCATCTTGAGCCGAGTTTATTCGGCGCTCGGGATGGCTTCCGGTAGATCTCATGTTCACAAGGACTCATCACTCGCACGGCCCTTTGATTGAATCATAGTCGGTCATACACTATCGATAAGACGTATAGGTTCGTGATACTCGCAGTGTTGCATGAAATTATCAAAAATTGGATTATGGTATGTCGAAGAGTATATGTAAAGAGATCTAGGATACAAGATTTGCATACAGGCTGGAATGGTAAAAGATCTGAGTATCAGCCAAAAGAGAAACTCGAGCTGTCAAAGTCGTATGGGTATATGGTGGCGTCGTGAGGTCGTGAGGTCGTGACATGGGGGTATCGTGGAGAACAAAGAAGCCAGAGACCTATCTGAGTACATATCTGGATCATTCAAAAGTAGTGAAAGCCAGCAGGAGAAGATAGAGAAGTATGCCACAGACGCGGCATGAGGAACTCGAATCGCAGAGAGAGAAGAAAGACCAATGAGTGACCGCGTTCCAGGTTGTGTGAACACAGTTCAAAGTAGCTTGAAAGTTTCCTCTTTGCAATGGACGCCGAAAGCTTCATCATCCATCTTACCGTAGATGTAAGCCTCGCCAACGAATCGATAACCAAGGTGTTCACCCGAGCTGCTTTCGGTAGGCCGGAGAACTACAGGAACGCTGCAGCCATATAGAATGGCGATAACGTCCCCCTTTTCGGTCTTGGGTGGTCCAAAGCCAACGAGTTTATCATGCTGATAAGGTTCGCAAGTTCCGGAAGTGGCGTTACAGATAGGGTCACCTTTGAGAAAAGATCGGTTCCAGGTCACAGCACGGACGCGACGAAGATAATCGTGTACTATGTTCTGGAAACCGACTTGGAGGTTGCGACGTAATATGGTGCTGATGTTCATGTGACCGTTGTTTGTTTGGTAGCTAAGACAGTGTTGGCATGCTGCCTTGTACCAATGAGGAGGTGCGTTTCCATATGGGTCGCGGTCCGCAACAAGTGTTTGCCATAACTGAGCGGGAACTTCGTCAATCTCTTTCGCATCTTTATCGAAGCGCCAGCCTAGACCTTCTAGACAGTCCCTAGTGATGACACCATCGGGGAATGGATCGGTGCGGAACGAGACTGTGCCTATCATGACACCCTTCACACGCATCGACATATCGTGGGTGACCTGGGTTGATGCAGTCGAACCGTGGTGTATGGGGCTTTGGGGAAACTCAACAACAGCGTGCTTGCGATGACTACCGCAGGCGTTGTAGTTGTTGCTGCCGGGTAGCCCAACAAAGCTATCGCCAGCCTTCCGGCCGCGAAAAAGATCTTCACCCTTTCCCCAGGCAGAGTCCTCCACGAAAAGGATCCAAGAAGGTAGTTGAACCAGACGAGGGGTCGTTGGTGTTGGCTCTTTGCGTTCCTTCAAGGCCCAGTGGCGACAAATTATGTCCAAGGATCCTGTGGTCTTTACGACCCATTGGACAAAGTCGCGGTAGATCTCGAAAAGATCCTTGCCGTAATTCGGCGCAGGTGGTGGATTATGAGCTCCTGCAACACGCTGGTCGTATCTGTTCATCTCCTTAGATATGCTCCTGAAGGCATTGATCGTGTCGCGGGGATCAGATGTATCGAAGCCGGACAAAGAGCATACTAAGTTCTCTAAGCCTCTCGTAGACTCAAGAGAACCGTCGGGTCGCTTGCGAAACAAGGTTGATGTCATATCCACAAGTAGTTTTGCACCAAGGTGCTCTATCTCAAGAGTCGAATCATCATCCTGGTGGCTGCGCTTGACTTGAGAGGACTCATAATGCATCATGAGTCGGGCTTTTAGTCCATCGAAGTGTCGGTGGAAGATAGCGATGGCAGTCTGAAAGTCGCTCCAATCTCGCACATGCTTGCCACAGTGGACTGAAGCGGATTGAGCGAACGCCAGCTCTTGTATGACCCAGCGTCGTGAAAACCTGAGTCTTTTAGCAGTGCAGTAGGATGGAGTTAGGACTCGCTTACCAGCTCCATTTAAGAAGTTCGTACAGGCTTGCCCAATCTTCTATGTAGGCGTCGTTTGCCAAAAGTGCGGCATGGTTGTCTGGATTGATGACCTTGGGAATGAAAGCCATAGCCCTATTCGAGACCAAGTCGCCAGGATTGGCAGAGCCGAGCCATACGTTCACGTTGTACGCTTTGCGATATATTTGTGCCATTTTCAGCACTTGCTCTTCTTTCTCGTTGATATCGAACTGGTTGATGCACAGCGCATCCACCCAAAGCGCGACGATCTGATTCTCCTTTCGAAGATGCCGTAGAGCTTCGTAGAGGTTGGGCTTGATCTTCATCATCTTATCTTGCGTAACCACTCGGAGCACGTCTACTGCCTCGTCTATGGACTTGACGGGTGACGATGCTGGGTCGTCTTGAATAACGATGGTACAATCATCCTCGCTATTGCCCCAGTTATACGAAAGGGCTGAATAAGGGAACGATTCACTCCCGAGCTGATCATCGCTGACCACCAGCAATGAAGCATTTATCTGCTCTTCGAACGTGCCAGGCTTGATCAGTAGCAGACGAACGCGATCCTTGGATATCCGTTGGTAGCTGTACAATTTGCTGACCTGACCCAGCACTTCTGCCCAGTTGGTCCCTTTCGAGGAGCTAGATGGCTCGCTCTTAGGTGTGATGAAGCCAAGTCTGTTGATCGGTACTGCGGACCGCGGCGCCCATGAGATTTTAGGGAGTGTTACAGGGGGAGTCATGTAAATCTCTTCGGGTTCATTCGTGGGCTCGTCCGAGCGGATGTTGGAGCGCGTATGGGTTTGAGGAGTACTTGGCGTGGTGTCGACCTCAGCTTCAGGCTCCATCGCAGCGATACCTCTCGACGCAACTGCCACCAATTGGCGGAGTCTGGAAGTCGACTCTGTCGCAGAGACACGGACAGAGGCTTTCGGCCGTCCGATGGATGGTGGAGTACATGGTGGAGATTGAGGGCCACCGGTCAGCTGGTCGGACGCTGTCGAACGGCGAGTAGATTTTTGCAGAGGCTCGATAGGCTCATCCAGAGCTTTAGATCGCTTCCGCTTCCTAGTGGGTTTGGGAGCTTGATTCTTGCGTGGCATGTTAGCAGTTTACAGATGCTAGGTCAGCCGATGTGAGAGTCGATGTACTCTAGTTAAGTAAATGGATAAGAGTCATATGCGAGAGCTGCAGGTGGGACGTCACTGCCCAGCGGCGCTACACTTTCTTGTGGTGGCGCATCACAGAGGCCTCTCAACTCAACGTTGGAAAACGAGAGGACACCTGTGTTGATGGTGGGTGGTGAATGGGCTGATTGGGCATGACATGACATCCATGCCCGTGCTTCCATGGCCTGTAACAGACAGTCACTTCTCTTAGGGTCGCATCGCACCTTGAATCTTGGAAGCAAGTCCAACGATAGCGCTCAGCCTCCGGACCGTCGACACGACCCGAGGTCGGGTATGACCGACGGGGGAGCCATCACATGAGAGGATAGTGTTAGGATCCTGAGTCTAGGCCGCTTGTGTGTAAGATCGGGCTTGAAGGTTCCACTTTTGGCAGAGGCCTATCGAAATATAGCGCCATGACTATAAGATCGGCAGTCGACCTTACGGATAGAATTGAGCATCGCCAACGACAGCGATTGATGTGATGTAGTAAAAAACTGGATAGCAAGATGACTCAAATGGCGGTGTACCATCATTGGGTCGTATAGCTGCTTTCCGGGCTTGAGGCTATGGCTCGATATGAGAGTCCTCTTCGTCTAGCCCTGTGGCTGCAGTCTAGATGTCAACAAAAGTAAACTGACTGGAACAGGTGGGGCTGTGCCGGATGCTTGCAAGCAGACCACTCGCAGAACTGACGACGAGCTGTATCGATGTTACTGCGATGCAAAGAGATCAGCCCATTTTTGCACGCTCAAGATAGCTTCGAGAGTCTTGCGGCGCGGTCACGCACACGCATCCTGGTACGGTGTGTATTGTCGCGGAACAACTCGAGCTGAAAGGCGCCTCGCTTGATCCCGTCTTTCTGCCTTTCTGCCTTCTGGCCATGGTTGCCTAATAGTAAATTATCGACGTCACTTTGGGCAGTACCGGTTGTCCTCTACAAAGTGAATGAGCATCTTCGAGGTCAGAGGTAAAGTGAGATGAAAAGATGAGATGAAACCCCACGGCGCTGGCCTCTTATAAAAACCACTATGATAGCACTGACCGGGCTCGTGTTGGATACCCACTCAGCTGCACGAGAATGCCTCAGCATCCTCAGCGTCCACCAAGCGGATGAGTAAAAAATGAAGTCTGCGAAGGTGGTGGTGTGTGCGGGCTGCAGCCGGGCTGTGCGTTGACGCCTATTGCGAAACGTTACATCCGCCCTCACAGCCACTTTACCAAGAGCACGCCGGTGAGGCGTTATTTGCATCAGCTCATGATGTTCTTGGTTGTTGACGGTTAGTTGCAGCTCTTCAGTTGTGGCCGGTGAAGAGGGGTGATGGTGACAGCCTGGGAGGGTGGAGAATTAGATGGGGGCGGTCCCCTAAGTAGCCGAAGTAGCGCGTCCTCGCGGGGCCCCAGCTCACCCGCTGCTGCCGTTGTTGCGTCACCTCACTTGTTCCCTACCACTCACGTATCTTCTAGTTTGACAGATGCCCGCATTCAACGTGTGTCAACGAGATCCTGAGAATCGCTGCTAAGAGTGAACAATCGCAATAACGAGAGCCAAGACAAACTCTCTACTCAGTCGTCGCGTCGAGATGCTATCCCTGCGCGACCAGTGAGCTTTAGAGATATCTTGAGCTCAAAGACAGTCATCGAAAACCATTGCGTCTTTTGCTTGATGAAATGGGTTTTCCACCGCGAGGTCATTGGTCGTGGAATCACCCAACAATCATTATCGCAAGTATGTTAGAGCTACTCCCACGATCTCACGCTGCTAAGGTCGCGTTTTCTTCGCATAACGCCAGCTTGCTTAGTGATCGAGCCCGGCTGTAGGTGAAGCTCCTGCTACAGCTGTCATGACAATCTTGGCCTTCGTGGGTTTTGAGTCGTGGATAGTGAAACGCGTGGTTGGTAAAGCGGACACGGCGAGCAAGAGGGTATTCTCCCTAGGTGAATGGCGCCATAGTATGGGGAGCATGAGCTTTCTGGTCTGTATCGTATTCGGTGACTTTGCGTGGGTTCGACATATCGGAGACCGTATGAGCGATGTCGCGGATGCACCAAATACTATTGCGTGTGCATCTGGCAGCCAACTTTCTTCCTGGGCAAGCGCATCCGTTTCGAGGGGTCATTAATCTCCCAGAATCACGGTTTGTGGCGTCGCGCTATCTTCGCGTCTTCGATATCGAGCAGTCCAGAGCCGATCTACCATTGGGTATCGGAGCATAGAAGTTTTTGTAATCGAGGTGCAAACTCCGTCATCCTGCGGAGTGGGGCGAAAACGGATGGTCCGCTCAGTAGATGCGGCTCTAAGCAAGTCGGGAACGCCATGTGGAGCCCTTTACGGAGGTACATCGACCGTCCGGGGGCAACAACAACAATTCGACACTTCCACGACTGTACACGGCGCATGCGAAAAGGTATATCGGAGAATGTTTCGTCTACGGTCGACTGTCGAAGATCACAATAATATCCGAGCATTACGCCGTTTTTTTTTACAGCTTCAAGCACGTACGCTCTCAGCCCTACGTTGGTGTGGTTATGCGAAAGCGGATGGTCGGATTTAAGTTGTCGCAACCAATTCCTGATAACTAAAATAAGATGACAGACACGCAATAACGCGGACAAAAACGGAGAATGTGAGAGTAGATGATATACTCTCTTTTGCCTGCCTTATTGGGCAGTCTGCAGATCAACAGTCTTCACTTTATCCTTACAGCCGCACAGAGCGTCATCTAGGACCCCTACCGAACAACGCCGATAATAGACTCATTCAACACACAAATCTTCGATCGACGTCCGATGGAGAAGGACCATGAGGCCGGCCGCTCTGGCCCTATTCCTCATCTCCAACGGGTTTTTGACCAGGGAGCCCTCAACGACGATATTATCAACCATCCTTACAGGGGGTCAGGCACCGAGGATGACCCTTTCCTGGTCACCTGGATCGACAATGACCCAGTAAATCCGATGAACTACTCGACTACGATGAAATGGAGTATCACTATACTTGTCGCAATCGCAACGCTGGCGGTAGCCTTTGTGTCTTCTGCATACTCTGGCGGTATTGCTGAGGTCCTCAGAGAGTTTCAAATTTCACAGATCGTCGGTACGCTGGGTATCTCGCTATTCGTCCTAGGTTTCGCTATAGGACCGCTAGCATGGGCGCCGCTAAGTGGTAAGTGTCTCGCGCTGTTCACAAGTTGCACTCGCAGGTTGCTAACACTGCCCAGAACTGTACGGACGTCAGTACCTGTTCTTTGGTACATACATGTTTCTCACTGCCTTCAACGCCGGTGCCGCCGGCGCCCAGAACATCGAGACTCTGATTATCCTGAGATTCTTGGCTGGTTCTTTTGGCTCCTCGCCGTTGACTAATGCTGGCGGTGTCATTGCAGACATGTTTCCTGCATCTCAGAGAGGTTTAGCCACGAGTCTCTTCGCTGCTGCTCCGATGCTGGGACCTGTCATTGGTCCAATTGGTAAGTGCTTCAAAGGTCCGAGACGAGATTTTAGTACAGGACTGACACGCAACAGTTGGTGGTTTTGTCGGCCAGACCATCGGCTGGCGCTGGATCGAAGGCGTCATGGCTATATTCACTGGTGTTCTCTGGATCCTCTACACTCTTCTCATCCCCGAAACCTATGCACCAGTCCTGCTTCGCAAGCGTGCCGCAGCCCTTTCGAAGCGAACCGGACAAGTGTACAAGAGCAAATCCGACGCCGAGCAAGGCACCAAAACTATCGGCACGGCTTTCAAGACCGCTCTCATTCGTCCATGGCAACTGCTATTCCGCGAACCCATCGTTCTCCTCCTATCCCTATACATGGCCGTCGTCTACGGAACGCTGTATATGCTCTTCGGCGCTTTCCCCATCGTCTACCAACAAGGTCGCGGTTGGTCTCAAGGCATTGGTGGTCTCGCATTCTTGGGTGTAGCTGTTGGCATGATTCTAGCGACTGCCTACTCGATATGGGACAACAAGCGCTACAACAAGGTCGCTGACGCTTCGCCTGGTGGCGTCGCCCCGCCAGAAGCTCGACTTCCACCCGCGATACTAGGCTCAATTGTCATGCCCATCGGCTTGTTTTGGTTCGCTTGGACCAACGGACCGAGTATTCACTGGATTGTCAGCATCATAGCGAGCGTGCCTTTCGGCTTCAGTATGGTTCTTGTCTTCCTTTCGATCATGAATTACTTGATCGACGCATACCTTATCTACGCGGCATCTGCACTTGCTGCCAACTCAGTACTCCGATCGCTGTTCGGCGCTGCATTCCCGCTGTTTACTAGCGATATGTACAAAAACCTGGGCATACATTGGGCATCTTCGGTTCCGGCATTCTTGTCGCTAGCTTGCTTGCCCTTTCCTTATCTATTCTACAAGTATGGTCCTGCCATTCGTCAGCGCTGTAAATATGCTGCGGAGGCTGCGGAGTTCCTAGAGAGGATGCAGCAGAAAGAATGAAGTTAAAGTCGGTAGCGAGTCATCACCTGCGCTTCTCCCAGGTCGATATCCACTTAATCAACACGGATAGTTTAGTAGAGAAATATAGAAATTAAAAAGACTCAAGGGCAATTAGACTAGAGGAACACGAAGAAAAGAAAGAAGGAAAGGAAAAGGTTGAGAGGCCTTTAGACAACAAACACATAAGATACTTATTTAATGCAAACTACCTACACACATAATAATAATACAATTAATCTGCATCAGGCACCCATTCCGATGAAGAGCACCTGAACACTCCACTACGGTAGTAGCGCTCAGCTTTCGGAAGCTATTGCATCGATGTTCCGTTGATATGGTAGGGCAGTTAGATGCCACGTGCTTGGCTCCGGCATACCGACATGGGGCCGGGGCACCGATGCGTTATCGCAGTGGTAGGAACCAGCCTTCTACAGCAACCGATGATTGAAGCGCGGCTGAACACTCCGGAAACTTCTCGCGCCTGAACCGGTTGAGTTTTTCAATTCAGCTTGCATACATTCAGGAGACAAAGGGGTGCGCCGAATAGCGTTTGGGGTGCTCCAAAAGAGCTCTTCCTACAATTAAGCTAGCCAGCAACACCGGAAGGCAAAACTCATATCATGACGTTATTAGCTTGACGGGAACGGATCAACGACTTCCCGCTGCGACCGGCAATAGGTCTTTCTTCATCGGCAGCGCGGCCCTTGATCTATATCCGACCGTTACTTGCTTGTCAAAATGACTCTCTTCTTAACTTTAAAACTTGGCACTCCCATTGCAGTAGCATCCTCGCCTGCTAGCCGCGATATATCACCATTATTTTCATTTCGGCATGTCAGCAAATTCTCCTCAATCTTGGGTTGCTGGGTGGTACGCCGCGCCTCAACGAATGCTGTCCGCAGGACTGGCTGGCCGTGGACTCCGACAACTCGTCCACCTAAAGGCTTCTGGTCAAGCCATTCGATTACGGCTGTCTAATCGCTACGGAAACGAACCAGTCACGCTCGCCGACGTCTTCGTTGCCAGATCTATCCATGGGCCTATGGTTAGCAACCATTCAGTGCCGCTGATGTTCAGTGGGCAGACGAATGTCGTGCTGGATGCTGGCGCAGATGTTACCAGTGATCCAGTCTCCATGGATGTTGAAGCGTTCAGTGTTCTCGCCATCTCTTTCCGTCTCGAGAAGGGAGATGCTCTTACGGGTCACATGGTCTCATCACAAACCTCGTACATCTCCTCTATGGAACCGTTTCAATTCCCCGCTGAACTTTCTTCCATGGAGTACCCATTATCAACAAGTTCATGGTGGCTTATTACAGGCATTGATGTACTGGCATCGACGCATTTGAACGCTGTGGTGGCATTCGGATCTTCTACTACAGATGGAGCTGGATCGACTCCAAACACGAATGGACGCTGGCCCGACTATCTCGCACGCCGTCTGAAAGAAGCAGGTGGATCACAGTATATGGCAGTCATCAACGCAGGGCTCTCTGGAAATCAACTCACGAGCTCTGACAACCAAAACTTTAGCCAACTTGGCGGGGTACGTATTCCTGAATTCATGCTTGGTGAAGCCGGACTTGTACGCTATGAATGGGATTTGGCCTCACAATCCGGAGCAACGGATCTCATCTTACACATTGGCTCAAACGATTTGCGAGCGGGTGTCAATGCTGCATCCATTATCGACGGATTGAAGCAGATCATCCAGAACGCAAGAATGCATTACCGAAAGGTTTTTGGAACTACAATCCTACCAGGCGGTTACACAAAAGAACAGAATGAGCAACGGAAGATCGTCAACGACTGGGTTTCTGGAGAGGGAAACCAGTTGTTTGATGCTACCTTCGACATGGCATCCACTTTACCCGCCCAGACAGATGAAGCCAAGCTAGACCCTGCATATGACAGTGGAGATGGGATTCACCCTAACAATAATGGGTACGAGAGGATGGCCAATGCTATTGATATCGCAAAGCTATCAGGCAGTGACCCTGTCTAGAACTTACTAGCATTTATCAGAACCCAGTACATTCGCAGCTCTAATGCCAAATACTCGCTAGTATGTATTTCACAGCTATAGGTTTCCCACTATCAACTCAAGAACTATGTTTACAATTTATCGCTTCGTTGTTCAACAACCCTCTCGTCTTCGGCTAATTCTCAGCACACATAGCGACTCTGCCAAGTTACAACTAGTGTCGTTCCCCAAGCATCGGATCGATACCTTCAGCTTTGCAAACCGCCTTCACACTTTCCATGGCAGCGAGGTTCTCCACCAGCGCCGTGTACTTCGTGTACTTCTCCTTCATCGCAAACCCATTCGCACTACCCCAGCGATAGAATGGCAGAAGATATGCATCCACAGCCGAAAACGCATTTCCCACTGCATGCACGCCCTTGAGCTTTTCCTCGATGATGGTATAACACCTCTCAATCTTTCCTCGGCCCTTCTTACGTATCTCGCCGTATGCAGTCTCGTCGTCAATGAAATAGTGAGGACGGAAGAAGGTGAAGTAGCCCTGCGCATGCAAATCTCCGGCAAGAAAGTTGAACCATTCGTAAGAGCGCACGATATCAAGATTCGTGCTTCCAAGGAACTTCTTGTCGGGAACCAGTTGCGCGATGGCGGTCATGATGGCTGGCATCTCGGTGATTGTTTCGCCATCCATATGCAGGAAAGGTATTCGGCCTTTTGGATTGAGGTGGAGAAACTCAGCGGGGAAGCCTTGCATGACATTGATAACCTCAGTCGAGAAAGGAAGTCCGGACTCTTTCAACAGAATATGGGCAGCTGTACTGCAGGACCCTGGGGAGTGAAACAATCGAACTTCGTGTAAGGTCATGGTGATGGATGGATGCTCAGACTAGGATATCGTTGATTGGGAGTACAGAAATCGATAGTCGTGACTATGGATCAATGACGAGACGTAGAGTCTTCATATTATAATAGCTAAATACGGGCTACCTGAAAACACTTACAAAGCACGACATTTCGTTTCTGCTTAGACATACCTTCTCGCTTAGCAGGAAGCGAACAATAGGGCGTGGTAGAGCCAAAAAGGATGACACCGCCCAATCAGCATCAGGCTTAGTCCTGATTGACCGCAGACGTGCCTGCGCCTCGCTGAGTTCGCCAAGTTGTGCCAAGTATGTGTGAAGGATCAATACGGGGCGAATGTACGCTGATTTACACACACCTGGCTAATTCTGTCCACGATGCGAAGCCAGTGCAGGGGTGGTGCATGTCTGTTCGTTGAGAGAGATGCGCAATGTCACGGAAAACGCATCGTTGACTATATAATGCGGCTCGTCTTGTAATACACCAAAAGGTTTCCCAGGAGAAGCTCTTCCAGTCACAACCGAAGCGAAAAGGAGTCGTATAAAAGACACGGACGCTCTACCTACGATCGGAAGACGCAACTTCTTCTCTTCAGTTGCTAGAGTTTCGCATCTGTTGGAGGAGTATGGCGCTGTGGAAGGAAAGTCGCCGCGTCGTCGGCGTAAGGTAGTGTATGGAGCGTTGTACGAGGGGAATACTGCTCAGACAATGTCATGTTAGCCTGCATCAATGCCAAATCGACCACCGAAAAGGAAATTTCTTGAGCATGAGATTGTTTGGATGGATAGGAAGTTTGTTGTTGCTTTTCAAGCGTGTGTTCACGCGTCGCGTGTGATGGCTGGTTAGCTCGCTTCTGTGATTCGCTCCCGAGGTGGCTTGTTGGACACATTACCACCAGTCGACATCTGTTTCTTGGTCTGCAATATTCCATCTTCAGAAGTATTTCTGTGCATGGATTCTGTATAAGTTTTAGATGTGGTGAGTCGGCAGCTGGTCGTTGCTGGCTCACTGTGAACGACATGTGACGTAACCACTACCCTAACCTGCACTTCAGTTTCCAACCCCCTCAACAGACATACGTCTGCATGCACCCAAAAGCCTCAATTGACCATCTAATCCTAAACAGTCACGTTTTCTGGTGCTCAGTGACGCCCGTGCTGCGTTGTTAATTTACCAAGTTGACGGCGATAACTCCGGGGAATCGATGACGCATGATCTGTCGCGCTCTGACGATAACTTGATGTAGCTAGTACCAAGTTTCAAAATGTCACCAAGATAACTACCAATCATTCCGCCATGCTCAGTTCAATCAACACCTACCTCTAATTCACAATGCAACCACTTCGCTTTGCAAAGCTGCGTGCGGCCTCCGCTGCAAACACCAAACAGGCCACGAAATGCCCTCGTAGCTTCCGATTCCATCCATCGCAAAATGGTGCTCAACGTAGGACAATAGGCAGCATGGGCAGTAACCCTGAAGCAAAGACCAGTGATGTGACGGTGTACGTTTAACTCGTTGTAACAGTTCGCATGAACCGATTGCTGCAATGGTAATTGAGCTTCAAATAACGTATATTTTTAGGATGGCAGGTCTTGGTCTGGCTGTCGGCGGTATCTATCTCGCTCTCAGCAACGACCTACGTCCCTTGTCGCATCGCGACCATGAAGCAAATCTCCAGGCGCATCCGACACAGCCTGGCAAGTTGGTAGGCGAGAATGACGAAAACATGCGCAGCCACAGGATCACGAAGGGGGACGACCCCAGTGCACCAGGTGCCGGCAGGCCCGATCAAGATATAGGTCTAAGAGGCCATTCATCAAAAGACTCGTCAAAAGCCATGAACCCAGGCGCGATATCCCCAGACGTGGCTGATCCGGTTCGTTCGAAGAACATATTCTCCCCCTCTTTTGTTACCAATGCTAATTACCGATAGTCCGATCCTCGTGGAAAGCCCAGGAGCTTCAACTACATGTCTGGAAAGCAGGAGGGTCTTTCCAACGGCAACACTCACCATAGCTCTCAAATCTCCAAGCAGCCAGAGATGAGCAAGAAGGGTGAAGGTGTTGCTGAAACTGCCAAACTCAAGGGTACCGTGTCTACTAACCGTCCTGGTCCTGAGAACAAGGAGCAGCGAGGCAAGGCTCAAATGGAGAAGGAGTAGTGTAGATGGTCCTTGAATACTACTTTCAATCATCGGTTCTGGTCACTTACTACTGTGTCAGCTTGATGTGAGGAACCTACATGGCAGAGTCGCGACATGAGTAAACTATTGCGTTGTCATACTAGGAAAGGAGACTTCACTAGCTTGCATAACCGTCGCACAATGTCAGAGTAACCGTGTTATTAGTCATGCACTCCTACTCGTACAAGCCGTGACGTGCCATACCATCCCGCACCCCGCTTTTCCCTAGCCCTCCCACCAGAAAGCCAATGAAAGATGTCCGCCCAATCAACGACGACCTTTATAAGAAGAGGACAAACCGAAAACAGCTTTTTTGATCTCCTGCCAGAGGAGAAGGCAGAGCTTTTACTCGTCGAAGACGAAGAGGAAAAGAAATAAAAGGGGGATATTATGCACCGTAGTCGCATCATGAGGTATCGTACAGGGGACATGAAGTAACAGAGAGAGGAACCTGCCGCTCTTCGCAAAGCAGCCAAGACAATCAGGAAAAAAAAAAGAGAAAACAAGTGGAACGACAACGATCAGCCAGATGTGCTGGACTTCAAGACAGCAGCCGGTGGTGTCTGGAGTGTTTCGGACGATGTCGCGCTCGTCATCGATGCAAATATCGGAGTCGGCGTCGATGGCGATGTCGCTGTAGATGTCGCATCCGCCGTCAACGTATCGCAACCTTCTTCTCGTGTCGTGGAAGCTTTCACGTCGGCTTTTTCATTGCCCGCATCATACTCCCCGCCACCAATCGTCGTCGTCTTTTTCTCACATCCTCCGCCTCCGGCACCCGCTTCGACATCGACGAATGTCTCCTCACTTCCACACCTCGGCAACTTCTTTCCTTGGTTCTCCTTGACATACTCATCGTACGTCTTACCCGCCTTCTTCGCCTCCTTGCGGACATGGCGTACGCGCCACAGCCAGATAGCCTGGGAAACGAAGATACCGGTTTCGAGGGCCATGCACGCAATGTAGAGACTGGCGCCGAGGGCATCGAACCACTGTTGTGCGACAACAGCCATGAGGGAGAAGAAGGCGCCGAGGTAATCGATGGTTAGAAACCAAAAGTCTGTTTCGCAGAAGAAGAGCATTAGTACAAGCGCTTCAACGTACCGAGGGAACGAGGATGACAAAGCAAAAAGGCGCGCAAGTTACTTACCGATGCCGATAACGCGACCGTTCCTCTTCGCGAGTTCAAAGTACGGAGGAATGAGACCGATGACTTGGATGACGGATGCGGAAATAGCCATCAACATCATAGGCCATTCGACGCCTCGGGAATATGGCCCACGCAGGGTGAGAATGAGAATGAGCTCCATGATACCGAAGCTAGCAGCCAGAGCAATGGTCGCGAGAGTAGCGGTCCAGACACGCCATTTGTTGTGGTAGTAGAGCGTTTGACCCCATGCGATCAAGGTGAGGGAGGCGAAGGCTTGAGGTTGGAATTTGAGAGCAAAGTTGAAGTTCTGGACAATTGCGTAGACACCAAATGGCACGCCGCCTGTGTAGTTTTTTTAGGTCAGCTTAGTTCTTCCTACCTCGGACGAGGATGAGCAGGAGGTGGGAGGGGGGCGGAGGAGTCTCACATATCGACCAGAGAATGAGCATGGTGCCAGGAAGGCCTTCTGTGCTCTTCCGCCGCCAGTTTGTCCATATCTGTGGGATGATTTGTATACACCAACAACTGCAATCGACAGTTAGCAACCACCTTGTTTTAAGCAAGGGCTTGACGTGGGGGGTTTACATACACTTTACTCAAGTTAGCATAGGTTCTTTTTAGCCACAAAAAGTTCTCGGGGTTACTTACCAGTGCCGAGGGTCTACAGAACGAGAAGATCGTATGTCAGTATCATGACTCAAGCAAGCAAGTCGGGGAACGTGGGTGAAGTGGAGAAACGTACACCAAGGATATTCGCAGCCTAGCGTTTGCGGGTCAGTATATGTGAGGCTGTAATGCGATATGGTAGGAATTACTCACAGGTGGTATTGAGACTTGTGGTCTGTCCATAGCTTTGGAGGAGTGGCTATTACTATGTGTCGGATAACGGTAATAGGTGTGTGTGTGTAGAAGGGTATGGAGCTTCTTTGAAGACTGAACGCAGAGGAAGGAGAAGGGCTCAAGTAAGACAAGATGTAGGATCGTCCAACTATGCCAGCCTAAAAAGAAGTGTAGAACTTTAGGAGTTACGTGATCCGGTGGCGTTTCACGTTGCAGCAAACGTACAGTCGCTCCAGTACCTGGTTTGACGTGCAGCAAGTAAAGGTGGAAAGAAGTAGCGATACAGTTGTCACCAATGGTAAGGTGAGGAAGCGAGCAGGACGTACAAAAGAAAGTTTCAACTAATGATAGACGAGCCGGTTACGCCAGCACCCAGGTGAAGGCAAAAAGTGGTACCCGCATTTGCACCAGCACCAGCATCAGGCAACATGTTGTGCGTGATGACGGAGCTGTCAGAGGGTCTTGCATTTTACTAGCTCTACCGCGACAGTCGCGTGCAAGAATAGTCGGCTGGTGTCATTACCAGTGCACAATCGTCCTTCGATAGAGCGATTTAGACTAGGCAGCTAGTGAGATTTCAGCTCTTCGGGGAACTTATGCCCCTGCTTCCGCCGCTCAAGAGCGAGGAGCGACAAGCTTGTTAGTACTCGGTAAGAAGAGTGGCTGAGTTAGTGTGGGCAGGGATACTTATCCATCCCCAGGCCGATCTGCGACCCGATTGGCGAGTCTAGACTTATATGTGACTGCATCTATCGTCGCTTTCAGGAAATGGGTCCACTCCATCTCGATGCAGACGCGTTGGAGGGGGGGTGACGAAACCCCTGGTTGTCGCTGCATGTAGGGCTCGGTAGGTTAGCTGGGTCCCTGCATCGAGCGTCAAAGAAAGAACATAGAGTGGCAACTTGGTGAACCCAATCGCTCACAATCGGGACGGGTCTGTATACTACGGAGTAATGCATATCAAAGAGGGTAAAGTTAATCTGCATCCAATAAGTAACCTTGTAGAGATATTTCCGGATGTGGTCGATGCTTAGGCTCCCGTCGCGCTCCTGGCGGCTCACGCGAACACCATCCCTTTGCGGCCGTGAGCACAGTTCGTCATTTTTCGTTTTGATGATTCGGCTCGTCCGGTGAGGATGGCGGGCGCATGTCATGCCACTCCAGTAGACCGCAGGACGTTCCTGAAAACTCTGAAGGTGGGTTGCTGACGTGCGGTTGGCGGCTGTGTTGAGACCTGCATCACCTGGCATTCCCGAACCACGCAGGTGGGACCCCGCCTGCATAAGATGGCGTCAATCGGTTTTGTGATTCGATCCTGTATACAGTGCAACTAGATTCAGCTAGCAGGAGGCTCTGCTTTCCCCATCCGAGCGTGTGCCTAGTCTTCGGTTCCTGGCGGCTCGCAGCAGTCTGCAGTAGCTGACGATGGAGTGATGGCCGAGATTGCAAGTGCGACTAGCTAACTATTACATGCCCGCAAGTGTTGTAGATGCGGCATAAAATTGAGTGCACATGCTGTTATGCTAGGCCGCGCAGCCAGGAAGGCCAGTCCTCGAGGCACGATAGAGTTCGAAGCTTTCGCGGCACCTGATAGGCAGTGGGTCGTTAGGAACCAGCTGAACCGGCAAATCGCCGCCTCGGTCCCAAAGAATACCTAGAGTCATTGCGTCGCCAGCTCCGAACATAATAACGACAGCCGCGCAGTGCGCGGTTATGATGATAATGGCCGTCCATCTCCAGCCGGATCAGGGCGATAAAGTGGAACCGTTGGGAAAAGGTGGGGTTAGGGCGTGCGCCATGCACGCAAGCCAGAGAACCAAACACTCTATAGATCGACGAACTTCGGTTCATACGTTTCATACACAAACACGTCGGTTATGTACGCTGGTCGAGAACACGTTCTCTGCGCTCTATTCCGCGAACACGAGATAACATATGGGTCGACGTTGTGGTTGTACGCGTCAAAGTTCCCCGCCGCAGTTGCCGCCATCTGCTTGTGGCGTTTTGTCGAACCATGAGCATATGCAGGATTCGTTGCCGGGACGGCACTGCATAATAGACCAGGACATCTGCGAGTCTCACGCATCTGCACACATTCATAACGTCTCAACGAACCCTCTTCTGCGAAAACGAACGAAAGACACTCCGCATCGGGGTAACCTCCGGCGTGCTGCAGCAACGGTTAGCCACATCCGCATCGCTATACCTATCCGTCCATGATGGTCAGCACGGAGACATGGACGGATAGTTGCGCTTCGGCTCTGCTCCTGGACCCACACGAATTGGAGAATCAGTCGACATTCTGGGTAGAACGAGGCCAATGTCGTCGAGCCACGAGTCCGGCACCCAGGCCATGAACGGTGAGAAGGGTCGCAGAGCATGGCAATCAAGAACCGGCAACTTTCGGTATGCCGATGTCGCATACGAAGATGTCCGAACGGACCGACGCCGAGACAGTATATCACTGGATCATGACTGGCTGCGGCATTTTATCAAAGGTTGTATGCATGGAACGCCCTGATGATGTGATACACAAACGGAGGTTGAGGGGAGAGATCGGAGACATCTGATTCGAAGCGTACTGACGTCTCCACCGTTGACGTGGAAGACGCCAGTACCTGGACGATCTCAGAGTCTCGAAACGTCTCTCCGGCCAAAGGTCAGGCCGTTGACGTGGTCGGGGTCAAAGTATCCAACCTGATCGGAGACGGAGTGGATGCATATGACCTAGAACTGACCTCAATCAACATTGAAGCGCCGAGACGTGCATACTTTTGTCTTGGCTTGGGTCGCTATGCCTAAACGTTTCCCACAACCGAGTTACCAGGGATAAATCCGGCATGTCAGCAATGGAAAGCAAGCTAAACCCTGGCATATTCCGACCACTAAATTGAAAATCCATGAATCTCCGCAGAAACGATGGTCTTCCGACGAGCGCCTGGAGCCGTTGAGGGCTAGTTCGCGGCCGTATGTAGAGACTACTGCAATGAATTTCGTTAGAATTCGTTGCAATGGTCATACACATCTTGTCTCTATCTTTTCGACCAGTCCAGCTCGCTATTAACACATTTACAACAATATAGTTTCTTTGATGCGCCCGCGATGCTACCTGTGAATAGACCTGCAAGACTAGAAGCCGAAAGGGAAAATGCGAGAGCAAGGCGCGTCGGCACTTGCAGACTTCACCGATGAGAAGGCTTGGAAAGGGTCGCTACGAACCGCCATCATGACGCGCAGGATTTGACCGGTGCGGGAAGATCGCGTAGAGGGAGATAGACCTGGGGTAGAAGGCCTAGAGCTGACTGCAGAAGTTGCTTTTCGCGGTCTTCTCCGTTCCAGCTTCGTCGGCAAACGCGGACGCGAGGTACATTCGGACTGCAGGGCGTATGTGTATACATGTACGTACGGCATAGCGCCGATCATATGCAATGGTTACTGACGATAGGCGTTGACCAAGCTCTGTCATAGCACTGCCGGTAAACGCGGAATCAGGATAAAACCCGACTGCGTGGTATATGCAACAGTGTAATCAGCCAAGGCCACCGGCCGAAGTATGATGATATTTCACGAAAAGCCTTGTTCAAAACCGCTATGGCGTGCTAAGCAGAACAGCCAGGAAATCCCACCTGCAATCTGCGGAAACCGTCATGCTATTGGCCACGCAGTGGCAAAGTATGTTTGGATTGCAGGGTCTGTTTACGAAACCAGGAGCCATCAGTATCGTGGTTCAACGTGTAATCGTGATTGGAGACGAGCCTTACCCAAGCCCAAATCGAAGTGCTAGTTGCGAAAGCCTAGTACAGCATCTCCCGAGCGGCTCTCTGAAAGAAGCTCTCGGACATGGTTCGGAACTCCAGTGGTGCGGTCTATCGTTCCAAGAGTGTCTCTCAAGTCGGCGGGCACTGATCCAGAGGGATCTGTTGGTCTAGCGGGCTTCACTATCGTGATTGTGCCGTCCACCCAGCCTAGACTGCAAGAAACAACATGTCACTACTACACCTTGTCAATCCTGAAGGATCTAATTCAGTAATCACTGGCCAATAACGTTGATACGGACACCTCAGGGCAACGGTCGCGCGTCCCGCCTATTTGCTCAGAATAGCTCGCTACTGGGAAAAAGAAAACCGCACGACCAAAATTGCCGACTGGATACGGACGAATATTGCGAAGCTGATCGGTATGTGAGCAGCAAGCTAGTCTAGCGTATCTTCTGTGTAATGAGGTCTAGGTACGGGTGCGAGAGTGCGGGAAGACGCTGGATAGGAGTGTCGTGCTGGGGGTCATACTCCGGCAATGGAAAGACGCAGTCAACGGCAAGTCCAGTCCGTAGATTGGTTCACAGCGAGCCGCGTTACGCTGCTGTCCGCACCACGAGGTTGTAATGTATGCGCGGTTGTGTAGGAAGAGACAAATATCGTACAGGCGCCACATCTCTGTCCACCTCAACACGATCAACGGAGGATGCGTTAGCTGAAAGTTTTGTCTCAACGATTGGAGCATGACGCGCCAGGAACATTGATTCCGCGGAAAACCCGGGTTTTGAGTTTCCGGTGTTCGGTTACGATAGGAACGAGTGATGCTGATCGAGGTGCCCAAGCATGCAGCAGGATAGGAATCTGAACAACCAGGTGAGTAACCCTTGCAAACGCCCTGGAAGTTTCAAGCATGACGTGCGAGGCACCGGTGATCAATCGTGCGGAAGGCGCGGTTGTGAAGTTCAAGCAGTTCAGTTGTGATCTGGAAGGAGCGAGATCGCTCGATGTGCTCGCTGACGGATGCGATCACTGGACAATTCCAGCCTGGATATTACGAGATGAGTGCCATCGACATGATCTTGCAGTAAATGCGGGTCATGAGAGTGAAGTGATCGCCACGTTACGCAGTGATGAGCGAGTACCACCATGTTTCCAAGCATGCATGATGAAAGCACGAATGAGTGGCCTTCGAAAGACGGGTTTTCCGGAAGACTCGCACCCGACGTGATAGGTGCTTTCGTGAAATGTGCGTGGGCCGCGGGCATCACACGATGTCCGTTGTGGTGTGGGTGTTAGTATAGTAGAGCGCTTAGAAGGGTGACGGGTTGATACCATACCGAGAGTCAGTAGCAGATGCATTCAACCGATGGCGCTGGTGCGTTTGCAGGTGAGTATAAAACATGACGTGACGAGTGCTGTTTGTCCAATGGTACAGAATACGTGGGTCTCCGGATCGAACAGTTCGGCCACGATCAGAAGGAGCGATGTCATTCGAGACGCCCAAGCATGCATGAAGAAAGCACAGCATAAGGAATTCACAGAGGATGCGTCTGCTAGAGCTTGACTGTGCCGTGTCACAGTGCTTTTGCTTCCGTCATGCGGAAAACGCAGCTCTCGAATTGAAAACGCTTGGTCATAGTCCGAAAGAGTGGTGTCGCTCAAGGCGCCCAAGTAGCTACTTCGATCATGCGGAAGAGGCGGTTCTGGAGCTTTAGACATGGAGCCACGGTCGGGAAGAGCGGCATCATCCAGTTTCCAAAAACGTCCAAGGCAGGTGCAGTTGTGGCAGGTGCAGTTGTGGCAGGCGCGGCACGCATCTTCAGCCTGTCTAATCATGGTTGACACTACGCAAGGAACGGTATCACATTAGTCGTAAAAAGAGAAACTACGACATCGACGACCACCGACATGATATTAGAATGTTTAATTACTACTTCCTACATGAAAGGACCAAAAAAGATCGGGGGAATAAGTTATCGAAAAAGGAGCTAAGAAAACATACGAGAAGCTTCAGTGTCATGTCTAGACAGTATTGTAGCCACGTAAGTGTGATCCAAGACTGTCGGTTAAAGGTTGGAAAGGCCCCCAGATAAGAAGAAATTGAAGCCCGCGCGGCATCCGACCATGTTCCTTCCGTGTCGGCGTTGCACAAGCCACCTATTACAAACGCCCGCAACTGTGGTGTATGATGACCAGTACACTCTTTGACGACAAAGCTAGAGGTGCATCAACATGGCCTAAGCCTCGTCTGCGTCGTGGTCTTGCAGTTGGCCGCTTTGTTCCCTGTTCATGCGGGCCTCGATCTCCTTGAGCTGGCTCTCGCGAGCCAAGAGTTCCTGCCGTTTCTCGTTGATCTCGCGCTGGACCTTGACTTCGATCTCGCGCAGCTTCTCCTCTTCACGTCGCAGTTGCTCTTCCTTCAAGCGCACTGACTGGCTGGCGAGATCCTCGGGGTTCATCGATGAGTCACTGTAGAGTGTTAGTATCCATGTCAGAACAGAGCAGACACCAGACTTACGCAGCAGCACCACCTTCGACACTCTTACTAAGCTTCTCGGTACGGTAGTTCTCGTATAGGAAGTCATGCGTAATCTCCTTGAGATCGGCAAGATGGCTGTGGAGAAGGGCACTTCGAACGGCGAGGAAGTCGGAGTGGCGGGGGTTATCCACCTCAACGATACCCCAGGGGTATTGACGTGCCCGTACCCGTCGGCCATTGATCTCAACAATGTCTTCGGATCCAACAATGGCGAACGGCATCAGGCCACGAAGCTCGGCGTTCTCCTCGACCGTGTCCTCGTCGTCCTCCTCAATGTCGTAGGGGAAGTTGTAAACGGGGATGCGGTAGTGCTCAATGTCCTCCATGACCAGCTTCTTCGACTCTGCCAGCTCGGCGGGTGTGAGGGAGTCGGCCTTTCCGATGACGGGGATGACGTTGCAGCGGGGCGACAGACGCTTCATGAGCTCAATGTCGAGTTCACGGAGACTAGCTGTTGTTAGCGGAAGCTGATTGAGCGGTGAGACACACATACCCATGGCCTGTGGGTGTGATGAAGTAGAGCAGGACGTGTACACGGTCGTCGCGGAATCGGGGGTTACGCTTAATACGCGATTCCTCCGCGAGAATGCCGTCGTACTGTCGCTCGAGGTATCCGACGATCTCTGAGAAGCTGCGGGGTGGTGAGCGAGTGTGTCAACAGAGCTTGCGGAAGATGCCTACCTGGCCTCGTTGTCGATCTGGTCTCCGAAACCGGGTGTGTCAACGATGGTGAGCGAGATGCGGGTGCCTTCCTCGTCGAGTTCTGATGTTTGTTAGCAGCCGACGCGACGATGCCATGGCCATCAATGCCACGTACCGACTGTGATGGGCTTGATCTTGACGCCCTCCTCGACGTGTGCGGTTGTTGGGTCGTCAACCTCCTTGTGTCCGAGCACTTGCTTGCCGCAGAGGGTGTTGACGAAGGTTGTCCGGCCAGTACCAGAGGCACCACAGACCATCAAGCAGAACTGAATACCCTTCTTGACATTCTTCTTTCTGCGCGTCTTGTTAAGCGCCTGTGACATTGTTAGCCGTCGTGGTCAATGGCAAGTGTGGTTGTGGTGGGTAGGGCGGCATCGTGTGCCTGAGGGAGACGTGGTATCGGGGAGCGTCGTACCGAAGACATGATGAACTCGGGGGTGGGGAATGTGCTGGGTGGTGGTGGAGGCGGCGAGTAGACGCAATTGAGACAGCCAGGCGTGGAGGCGAGACTGCTTGGAGGTGAGACGGGGGCGTATGTCTGTGGTGTTGTGTTGGAGCGGTGTCGTCGTGGAAATTTGGGGACGTTGGCAGCTACTCCCTGCGCGATGCAAAGGGGCTCGCTAGCGTACAACCCCCCGGTCGTACCTCCTTCTTGGCGCGACCACCTGGCGCGTCTGCTTTTGGCAAGATATACAACAACGAGTAGTCGACTCAATCACCATTACACGCTTAACCACGAGAGGCCAGATTTCTTTGCCTGGACTTGGTTCAGGTACCATGTAGTAGTAATCGAACACGATCAGGCAGCTGCGCTGCCGCTGGTACTTCGCGGGGTATCCCTCTCAGGGTCCACCACGATCCTTGGAATCGTGTAATGAACAATTTTGGATTCACTTCCCTAGATGTGCATATGGTCCTCGAGGCAATCAATCGGTGTCTGCATCTCATCAGAATTGATGCTGCCCAAAAGCATCGTTGGATATCTATCTCAGGCCCGGAAAGCCACGCTAGTCACAAGTGGAAAAGCTCCCGCAGCTCCAGTGCCAAGCACCCGCGCCTGTAGGCGGATGACATGGTAAATGACCTAGCTTGGGGAGCTGTGGACCCTCGATATCTCTCCCAGACCAACCTTCTCGCCGCTCCTCACTATCCTCGCCTCTGCCTCAGTCGCTGCTGAGAAAATGGGTCTGCCACACTTTTGGACCCCGCGATAGCGCCTTTCGCATCGTTTGCTGGCCACATCACCGTCGCAGTCTCCCCGGCCCAACACTCCACCCAACTCCGCATTGCAACTCAAGACGCCCCACTTGCGCATCGTAGTGGTTGAAACCTATCCACAAACATCTCATTTCTTTGCTGCGCCCAACATGAATACTCGACCTATTCTAGACTCGGATACAGGGCCCTTTGTCCTCTCGGCATCCTTCAACGCCGACTGCTCTCACTTCTCGGTGGCTTTGGAGACGGGATTCCGCGTATTCTCCTCCACAACATGCGAAGAGAAGATCGCCAGAGGTATTGACGACGCGCGGACAAAGACTGCCCTAGCGACTGCAGCATGCTAACATGGCCGTAGAAGTCGGCGGCGGCATCGGCTGCGCAGAGATGCTCGGCAACAAGAGTTACATTGCCCTAGTCGGAGGAGGGAAGCAGCCCAAGTACCCTCAGAACAAGGTTAGCTTTCCTGGCGACTCCGACTGGCTTCTTGTCAACGACACTGACATCATCTACGAGGTCCAAATCTGGAACGATAAAACCGAACGCTTCACCACGTCGGTCGAATTCAAAACGCCGGTCCAGCGCGTGCGCCTCAGCCAGACACACATGATTGTCGCCTTGCTGAACTCGATATGCATATACAAGATGAAAGTACCGCTAGCCAAAACCGCGGAATACGAGACAGTCAACAACCCATTCGGGCTGTGTGAGCTAGGCACGAATATCGTCGCATTCCCTGGTAGAGCGGCGGGCCAAGTCAAGATCTACGATCTGAACACGGGCAACGTCAGTATCATCCCGGCCCACGAAAGCCCCTTGCGCGCAATCGGGATAAGCAGGGCGGGCGACCTTATTGCTACGGCTAGTGAGCAGGGCACACTGATACGCCTGTGGTCCTTTCCCTCGTGCACAAAGCTCGCTGAGCTGCGCCGCGGCGTCGACCCCGCTGCCATTTTCTCCCTCGCCTTCTCGCCCGACGGCTCGACCCTCGCCGTCACATCCGATAAATCGACACTCCATATCTACGACCTCGTCACCGCAACTACAGCTGCCGCAAACGCCGATCCCAGTCAGCATAAATACGGCATCCTTTCCAAGATTCCTTTGCTACCCCGCCAGTTCTCCGATACGTATCCGACTGCGACTGTCAAGTTCGAAATGGGCGATGAACCGACTGCTTGGGGGCCGCATGGTAGGTCTGCAACACTCAGTGCTGGGATACCCGGTGTGCCTGGGGGGCGTCCAACAAAAGGCCTCATTGGGTGGTTGAACGACGAGACTATTCTTGTTATCGGTGCTGGGCAGGATGCGCGGTGGGAGAGGTTCCATGTGGGTCCTGATGATAAAGGCAAGAAGTGTGTTGTTACGAATGGGTGGAGAAGGTATATCGATTAGAGATGTCTTCGTTAGAGTATGGATTGGCGGAGCGAGATGGTGAAGAAGTGTGTAGCGAGTGAAATCTTTTTTTGGCTGGGATCTGGCGTTTGAGTCTATTGGGTATGAGAGGTGTTTTGGTTGCATTCGCTTTGGCGTTCAGATACCCAATGTTATTTTTGACAATCCACCGTTTTGTACCGTCGTGTTTGATTGTCAGCTTGGCCGTCTGGATAGTCATGAGCTATTCTCATCCATAAATGGGTATGTCTTTGCTCTGCGCCTTGGGCACTCAGAAGACGAGACATCAGACGCCGCAAAGCGGAACAAGGATGATTAGGGATATACGAACCCCTAACTACCTCATCGTCGTCTGTAGCGACTCTTCTCACTATCACGTGCCGTTCGCGTCAGTCCAATATCCCACGCACACTCCATGTAAGAAATGTATACAACTGCGTATACTAGTTTCCTGCATAACAGTTCTACCTCGATATACGCAGCACGTCCATGAAACTGTACACAAGACTTCCATCACACTCTATACAAGACCCCGACCCACCTGCTACAGTCATCAACATGCACAACGTGCGACAATCACACAATTTCTTCGTTTACATTCAACATTCTCATTCCACTCTCTAACTTGCTACGGTTTGTTTCCCGGCTCGTCCCATGTCCACCTTGCTTTGCCACATTCCACATTCCACGCACTGCTAAACCTCATTTGCTTAAAAGTTTAAAAACATAGTTCATATCTGTATATATATATATATATATAGATATCCTCTTTACTCCCAAAATCCATCCAGCGTTGTCAGACATTTATGGAAACACTTACTAAGTCGAGTTCAACCATCGCCGTTTACTGACTGAATGACTAACAAGCAAAGACTTCCTGAAAAACGCCCCTTCCATGTTTGTTACTCGGTATACACAATTTCCGTTTCCCCATCTTCTCCGGAGATTTCGTGGGAGAAAAAAAACACAGCCAATCCAAAGTCGAGTTTGAAGAGAAGAGAGAGAGACACACAGAGAGAAGAGTGGGTCGAAGAAGCGAATAAAGTCAAAAGCCCAGTTGTGCACATTGAGTACACGACGAAGGTAAAAAGTGAATGGAGACGCAGAAGGAGAAAAAATAATAGAGAAGGTAGAAGTAAGAAGTGAGCACATAAAACCTCCATATCATCCCTCTCTCTCCCCCCGTTCAGCACAGAAGTGAAAGTTACAACAAGATCGGACGATAGGAATGAAGAGTACAAAAGTTGAACAAAAGATTTGAAATTAACTTCTCTCTCTCTCTCTCTCTCTCTTATGTGTAAACCATTTTAAAGTGACAAACAATTCAAACCAAGAAAAAAAAACAAGGTGTTGGGAGAAATGAAAAAAACTTTGGGGTATCGTGCAAAGAAAGGTATAGAGCCACAGAACAACCCCGTGCAGCGCGACTTTCAGTTACACGGTTTTTACACATAATCCAAAACCATAAACCCCCCCTTCTTCTTCTCATCCTCCTCAGATGGCCCTCTTTTTCGCCCCCCTGGGTAGGCTAGATGGTGAAGCCAGTAGGATGGAGAGTTCTCTCTCTCTCTCCTTGTCTCTCATGAATGAGATTTGAAACAATTCGAATGTTGCTGTTCTCTTTCCCTCCCTCTCCTCGGAAACGTAGTGGTGTGCAACACATCAAAGTGTGTCAAGATGGAAAGGATTGGATAGAACAAATTGAAAAGAAAAAAAAGGAAAATTGTGTCGTGGCGGGGTCATTAAAATCAGGCAACAAGGAACAAGAGAAAGCCAGTCCCTCTTTTCCAACCGAAAGGAAGAAGAAGCCTCTTTTTATAACAAGATGAGGTAATTGCTAGGCGCAATACCCGTCTCTCCATTCGGCTTCTTAGCCTGCCACCACCGCCCACTAACATCCGACACTTCCAGAATATCATGTTTCTGAAAGCTGATTTCATTCGCATCATCTGGATTAGCCTCGTAGCTGTAAATCGCCTTGGCACGGTACGGGTATTCAATCGACTGTTCCTGATTCATCGTTTCGTCATTCGTAGGCGTCATGGTGCTCATGTTTCCATTCATACCACCACCACCCAGACTCATGCCGCCGCCGAATTGAGGAGCAGCAGCGGATGAATTCCGACCATTGGCACCCACGGGACCACCCGGGTAACCCGATACAGGCGACGAGGTCTCAAAGCCGTTGAGTTGGGCCGACGTGTACATCTGGGGGGGTATGTTTGCGGACTGGGTTTCTGGGCGGTTGGTGTAGCCGTTGGAGATGGGGCGGGAGGAGCGGGAGCCCGGGTGTTCTTTGTGGAGGGCGTACGAGTCGACAAAGGTGCGGTGGCTGGCTTGGGGCTGCGAGCCGTAGTAGAAGATCCATACAATCTGGGGCACGTGTGTTAGCTTGCATCTTCGTGCAAGGGTGGGTGGGTGGGAAGCTTACGGCGATCATGGATAGGAGTATGTAACCGGCTGCTGCGGCTTCAAAGGGAGCGACGGGGGAGTAGACGAGCGAGTTCACAGAAGACGTGGTGAAGACGAGGCCGGCGGCAAGGAAGCCTACAATCTGTTGGTAAATCAGCAAGGGGCATCTTCGTACTCAGTCGTGGTTGTTGCATACCGCGACATGGTACGTCCTCTCAGCATCCGAGGCAACTGTGACCGTAACGCCCGCGATGCAGAAGAACATGAAGACCAGCGTCCACCACGCAAAGTTGGGGAAGCCACCGTGGATAGCAGATATTATAGAGCTGACAAAAGCGATGATCCAGGCGAGCTATTCATGAACAAACGTTAGCTAGGCAGGCTCACACACACACCAGCGACTATGCCGCGTACACCCGGGGGGCACACTCAATACTCACAATACCGATAGATATGGTGGCCAGCGCAAAGGGATCTCCAATAATGCGACCCAGGCTGAAGCCCGACGATCTCTGGCCGTAGCCTCCGTTTTCCATTTTGCGTAGTGAAGGAGTTTCGCCCAGCGAGCCGTAAGCGGGCATATGTTGGTTAACCGTCGATGGGGTCGTCGTCGGCGACGAGAGGGGCTCAAAGGGGCGCGACGATTAGACTATACTGTCGCGGCAGGTGATGTAAAAGAGAAAGAGCGTGTGGTGAACTGAATTCGGTATTATGGTGTGAAGAGGACGAACGCAGACGGGCAGGTCAAAGAGTGTGGTGTAGATGCGCGCTGTTCGGTGGACGGGCGAGGGCAAGTATATCGGCGCGGCGGCTCGTCGTTGGTAATGTGCAGAGCGAACGGGTGCACAGGGCGCAAGGCAGAGTAAGCGGGAGGGCGGGCGTCCAGTGACCAGCAGTATTGAGTAGGCGCGCTTGGAAATGCGACGTGGACGGGCGGCTGCGAAAGGGTAGGCGGTTGTTGTAGTAGCAAGGCTGTGGATTGTGTTCGAGAGAAGGGTTTGGAGCGAGGAGGGCGTGTGGGAAAGGAAAGACGAGAGATGCGACGGTTTCAAGTTGGGTTCCCAGTGGTTCTCGATTGGCCGCGCTGAATGGCTAAGGATACGGGGATTGCTGCGGGTCCCGCTGAGATTAAAATGGCACCGCGCCCGTCAGCCAAAGGTCTGGACAGGAACACGCGCGTCTAGTGCATTAGCCCTTTGAACAATGGCCGTCGAGCCGCCGATAGCCACTGCACGCACACAAACGAGATGGGCTCCGTGTACAGCGCACTGGGACACTTTTCAACGACTATATGCCTTTGACTTCACGTCGAACTATTCTATTACTACGACTCTTCACTCCACTTCTGGCCAAGAACGTGGCGCAGTCTAGCCACATACGTCGTTTGAAGGGATCCCTAGAATACGACAGTCGACGCCTCATCATGCATAATCGAGTCACTCGAGAACACCTCGTTCACTCCCTTACTGCGCAGTCGACACCGGACATTCCCCGCCCAACCAAAAAAAATGTGGCACTTTAATATGCAACTTGAGCATTTGAATGAGCTTGTCAGCCCATTATATCAGGCTAATCAATCTAGTCGCACCCTGCGTCGTCCCTTACGCATGCTATCCACGTTTCCCACGCCCCTCCCCATTCCATATTTCCCATGGTTTGTCGGTGACACGTGCGCCTCATTTGGCGTGGCGCATGCAAGTAGTAGTTCCTTGCTTGCCCATGGGACTTTTCGGCAGGAGATTGTTGCATACCGGGGGCCCTGCTCGGCGCTATTACGCTCCTCTTTCGGGGAACCCTTGTAACCTGCCACGCTGCTGCTGATGCGAGACGACGATGAAACACGGCACTGAGCCCTCCGCACCCGTCACTCTGCAGCAACGACATCACTTTACATCATGGCGAGAGTAGACTGGTGGCGCTTGCAAAGTTAGTTGCTGTTTGAACTATCTAATTCTGCTACGTCCGTGAAATGTGACATGGCGAACTGTTTCTGCATGTCGTTGCAGAAGAGGCCAATTGCATGGCCGGATCAATGTCCCTCTATCCATACTTTGTCGTCATGTGTGGATTTTTGTTTTACCAACATGTCACTTTTCGTAATCCGGGTACTTGCTTGATCCGAAGCCAGTAAGTCTTTTTCCACACTGTAACGGTTGGGACCCCGGATCGCGGCAACGATTGTGACGCAGGCCACACCACATACACACACAGACACCCTCGATGCTGATCCGGTTCACTTGCTATGCCCAGAACTCGTGTCTCTTCTCAAGTATATTGCCAAATGTATTCGGGGCAAGATGCGGTCACCGGGTGTGGCTGCCACGTTGCCACGCTGCGACAAAGGTAATCCATGGTAACAGTGAAGCACCTGCATGCCTGGCATCTGTCAGCAGCGCCTCAGCCACGCCATGAAACCATCTGACGTCTGTATTTGCAGCAACGCATGAATGGCGACTTACCCTTTGAACGCTATGCGGATGAAAGAAAAATATCGTGTGTAGGGTCTTCGTCTCAGACTGGTACTACTTTGCCGACAGTCGGATGCTCATGACGCCGGCCGCCCGACTGCAGCTTCTCTGGGTCGACGGGACTGTGTGCAGAGAGAGTGTATGTGTGTGCTCAAGGTGCTGACACGCCTCACAGCTCGTCATCCGAGTACTCAGACTTGGACTCGTCGCCCTCTCCTTCCCCTTCTAGTTCTTCTTCTTCTTCTTCTTCTTCTTCTTCCTCATCCCTTTCCACCCCCCTCCCCTCCTCCGTGTCCTCCCTCCGTCTGTACTCCTCCCTAACAAGTGCTCTCAACCCCTTGGTAAGCCTCTCGTTGTAGTCGACCCAGCACCTCCCCGCGCCAAGGAACATGACATGCCTATATCTCTGATTCAGTAGCCCGTTCCGTCTTCGCAGCTCAGATATTTTGAGTGCTTGTTGTAGCTGGCGGTCTTCTGCCTCAGCAATGCGGGGCCGCAGGACAGCTAGCTTGGCGAAGCCGTCGGTGGAGGGGACTTGTTGGTCGGCGAGGGCTTGGAGTTGCGAGGCGGTTTGGGAGATGGCGGGGGCGCGTTCGAGGACCAGGGCTGCGCGCTGGTTGGTGTCGAGTGCGGGGCCGTCTGCATCGTCGTCGTTTTCGGGGGTGGAGTCGTGGTTGTGGAGAGTGGGCGTAAGGACGTCTTTGTGCTTGCTCACTTGGTTTTGTTAGTCCCGAATAGCAAAGGTATCCGGGCGAGCACACATACGCAGGTTGTTCGTTTCGTCGAGCAATGCGGTCTTGCCGGCGAGCTGCTGCAGCGACTGCTCCATCTTGTGTATGCGATCTGGAATCGTCTTCGCCTTGTCCTTGGTGCTGTCTTGGGAACCACCCAAGATATATTCCAGGCGATCTAATCGCGTCTCGAGGAGCGCAAACGTGAAGAGGACAGCCTCCTCGTATTCGTCCATTGTGTCGTTGTGGTCTCTGGTGTGTATTGTGTATCTCGGAATGGTATTCGGAGTTCACGTGGTTGGCGCGTACCTGCCGTGAGAGTGTCGGGATCACGGATGTTAATTTTAGCGGCCGCTGATAAGGCAAAGCCCCCGGATTATTGGCGCCATGCGACCACCAGACAGACGTCAGCGGACTCGAAACCTCTCTTTTCACCGTCTGGGAGCTTATCGCAGCCATCTGACTGCTTACACTCGCTTTCTATCCTTCCTCGCAGCATCCCAGGAGCTCCGCCAGCCTGTGACGGATGAACGCGCAATAACACGAGCCTAACTGCGCATTTCGCATCGCACCTCAGAGTATGGCTTCCTACTCCGCCATCGGGCCCGAGCCCACAGAGGCCGATCCTATGACTTCGAGTACGGGGTCGCTTCGAGGCAGACGGTGAGATACGCCCGTGTAGTCCTTATCGCACAAAAGCTGATGGCAGTAGGAGAGGTCGAGGGAAGCAAGACGTTGGATTCAAAGGCCAGGCGACATGGATATCAAGTGTCATCAACCTGGCAAACACCAGTACGCCTCCACCACACCAGTCCACAACAGCACGCTTATTGACCATGTACAGTCCTTGGTGCCGGCCTCCTTGCCATGCCCTCCGCGCTCTCCAAAATGGGCATCTTCCTCGGCATCTTCGTCATCGCGTGGGCGGGTGCAACAGCAGGCTTCGGTCTCTACCTCCAGACGCGATGCGCGCGGTATATTGATCGGGGCCATGTGTCCTTTGCGACGCTGTCACAGATGACATATCCGAACCTGTCCATCATCTTTGACGCTGCGATTGCGATCAAGTGCTTCGGCGTGGCTGTCAGCTACCTTATCATCATTGGAGATCTGATGCCGGGCGTTGTTCGAGGATTCGCGCCGGGTGCGAGCGACATTACGTTCCTGGTTGACAGGCAGTTCTGGATTACGGCCTTCATGTAGGTCGTCTGCTCTCAAGCTCAAGTAACATACTAACGACAACAGGCTCATCGTTATCCCCCTCTCCTTCCTCCGCCGCCTCGACTCCCTCAAGTACACCAGCGTCATCGCCCTCTTCTCCATCGCCTACCTTGTCATCCTAGTCGTAGCACATTTCCTCAAAGGCGACACCCTCGCCGACCGAGGTACCGTCCGAGTCTTCGAATGGGCGGGCCCCGTCTCCGCCCTCGCCGCCTTCCCCGTCATCGTCTTCGCGTACACATGTCACCAGAACATGTTCTCCATCCTCAACGAAATAGCAGACAACTCGCACTTCCAGACCACGACCGTCATCTTCGCGTCCATTGGCGGCGCATGTGGTCTTTACATCCTGACGGGAATTACGGGTTATCTATCGTATGGCGACAACATCCACGGCAACATCGTCTCCATGTACCCAACTGCAGCAGCTAGCACCATTGGCCGCCTCGCCATCGTGATCCTCGTCATGTTCTCTTACCCCCTCCAAATCCATCCTTGTCGCGCCAGCATCGACGCATGTCTAAAGTGGCGTCCAGGCCGCCTGCGCAAACACAAGCACAAGCAATCCGAAGTCGGCAGCCCATCTCGCAACTCACTCATCACCAATACCCCGAAGCCCTCGCCCCCGCCCAAAGCGAGCGAGATGAGCGATTTGAAATTCGCAGTCATTAGCACGGTGCTTATCATCCTGTCGTTTGTTACCGCCATGACAGTGAGTAGTTTGGAAAAAGTGCTGGCGTATGTGGGGTCGACGGGTAGTACGACTATTAGTTTTATTCTTCCCGGATTGTTTTATTACAAGATTAGTGACCCGGAGTCGTCGCATCATCAGCGGCTTGTTAAGGATGAGGATGATGAGGATGAAGGGGCCGACGAGGGGGGGTATGTTAGTAGGGAGGGGCATTCGAATCGCGATTTTAGGAGGGGATTGTTGAGGAATGGGGCGTTGGCGTTGAGTGTTTATGGGGTGGTGGTTATGGTGGTTTGTTTGGTTACTAATACTTTTCTTGTGGCGGCTGCGCATTGAGTTGTGGGTGTGAGAGGAAGAGGGAGAGAGTGAGGTATGTGTTGCATTTAGCTGGAGTTCTTTTTTTTTTAAACTCTCATAGCAAAGAGGGAGTTGGGGATTAGATTGGATGCGGGCATGACATGGGTTTGCTGGCGTTGGAGCTGGGATTTATGTTCGATGAGATCGCTTATCATCTTTCGTTGGTGCTGGGGGTTGTGTAAGCATACATGTAGCTGTAGGCATACTAGTGTGGAGTTGGATATACGAAATCTAGAAGAGAAGTACTATGGGTTTCGCTTTATGATTGTAGATTCTCTTATGCAATGTGTCTCTTGGCCTGGCCTTCCTAGACGTCTCTTGGCCTAATGATACAGAGTGGAATCTTATATACAGCGTTTAAGTAGCAGAGGTCACCGTTCGGGTTGTAATGGTCTAGACTCTCGTCAGTAGACTATATCGCCTACACTCTATTAGGAGTGATGACCGGCCCGAATTGAATGTGATGATGAGACTTCAAAAAGGACTCACATGGGTGTTAAGTTTGGGTTATCCTCTTCTGTCCACTGCTTCGGTAATGCGCATGACGTGAAGCATTGATCGTGGCCTCGGACAAGGTATAGCCCGCAATTCTCGATAACGATACCAAGTTTGATCCTGCAAGCCTCCATCAACCCAAACGAATAGTTCTTCTTTTCTTCGAACGAAATATAGTCTGCAATTCACGTTCCGCGGACTCGTCGATTGGAATGTGGCCCTCGAACCCTGGCGGACATTCCATTGCAAAAAGTATATGCCCAACTCGTTCGTAATAGTATTCTTTTTCTTGTACAACCATGATAAAGATGACATTAGCGGGAACAAGATCTGAAAGGTCTTCACATCTGCCTAACACTATACCCAACAGACTATGTTGTTCGAAGTCTGGCGCACAACTTTGCTGTGTAGGAACACCATTCCCATGCTTCTGATACAGTGAATGCATGGGAATTTTGACCACTCTCTCATCGCCTTGAAATCTAGCAAGATATCCGGAGCCGTCTTCATACCAATATTTGTGGTATCGGAATTCTTCTGCCCTATTAGGCATACACTGCACATCGACGGGTATTGTCCATGCTTCGATATGGATAAACTTGCCAGAGGAACCAAGAACACCCCAGTCTAGCGAGACGTCGCTCAGCTCGTCCATGTCCCAAAGAGATCCGTCACAGCTCTCTACAAAGACCTTCAATGGTCTTTCATTCCCGAGTTCAAGTCCACGCCAGCATAGCCGACCTTTATAATTGATCGGTGCGGTCCATCCAGCCCAACTCCACGTGGGGAACAGGCTACGCCTGGTACCCGGCACTTTATTGCACCAGGTGAGCCCCGCAGCGAAAGCCTCACCCCTGCTGCGATGCCTATTTTCCAGCGAGATTTCCGTCTGTAATGGCATGATGGGGATGCCCAGGTATTGATGAACGTGGTGCCTTCTCCTGTAGTTGTGAAACACACCCTCAAATGCGCGTATAGCATCAGAGTCGACAGATAGTTCTCTCCCACAATATTCCTCCAGAAGTTGGCAGATATTTGAATGGTCATCTTTACCAACCGCGGGCTGGTTGAGAAGATAATATACGCCATTTTCCTGGAAAGTATCGACGGTCTCATACGCAATACCGCTTCGACACTCATAAAGTACTTGTTGCTCTGTGAAAACAATGCGTCGGGTCGAAAAATAGCTCTCCTGATAGGTCCATGCTCGTCGCATCCACTTAGAGGCATTGATGAGCAGTCGCGGACTTGTTAGGGTTGATACATGGCATCGTCCATTGACCCAGGCAGTTGGTTGAGGACTTCTCGAGGTAGCACTAACTCCAGGTAGGCCAAAATGAGGATCAGTGCCTGCTGCAGCGATGATAGTCACGAACGCCTTTTGGTATATAAGGTCCATTTGACGGATCTGGACTTGTTTTTCATCATCCTCTTTCTGATTGATGCAATACCTGTCAATCCAGATGTATCGAAGACCGAGCTCCTTAGTGACTTTTAGAGCATCCGCAACAGTCCGTGGCAGGGTTGCGGGGAGTTCATTATGGACACACCGATCCCCATCGTCAGATCTGCTTGTACCCCATACATAGCTGAGCGCAGAATACGTATATGATGGCTGTGCTGACACAATCTTCCGCCGTTCACAATCGATCAACTTCATCTTTGCTGGCCACAGAGCCGATGTTTCACCTTGGGTGCAATATAACTTATGGTCCTCAGCACAACGGTGTATCCAACCTCGAATAATGTTGAAGTCGACCGACATTGCATCGATAGACAGTGCCCGTACTGAGTACACAAAAGGGTCCATCTTGGAAGCTGCAATAAACCCACGAGACAATCCCATGTCATGTATGTAATGATATATTGCGCCCGTGGGTAGCCTTGAAGTCCATTTCTCTTTGACTACAGCTAGTACTGGTCGGTCCCAACGATACATCCGTGGTGGAGGATCAATCAGGTATAGGAAGTAATCTTTCACCGGAGCGATATCGTAGCCCTCAATTGGAGAGTTATCGTAGCCGTCTATTGGGGAATTATCATCATCCTGTATCCTCACCGCATGGAAAAGGCGACACAATGAGCAGGACGATAGCTCAGCTTCTACCCCAAGTTCTCCAAGATTGATCAATTTTGTTGCTGTAGGCTTGCCGACAGCATCGACAAAAAGGCCCTTGACATATATGGTAGAACATCTAGAACAAAGGGTGCTCGGTTCTTGATGCACTGCTTCGCCCGATGTCTCGTATATGTCTCCATGTTGATGAGATCTTCTGAGAGACGACTCGTCAACTTGCTGGCGATGTAGCCTTCGAAGAAGGGAAGGCAGACGGAAAGTGGCATCTGTTCCACTGACTGGACGGTGTTGGTACTATCACGCACTAGAGCTGTGGGACTTACCTGCAGCGTCATCTTCTTTATGACGAGACTTCCACTTTCTTGTGATCCAGTTCCTTGCCTGATCTGCCATTGTTAGTGCTGAAACACAGATGGCGAGAGCTGCGGGGTAGAAGGGCTCCCAAGGCTGCTTCCTGCTGTATCTCCACGCCGGTCAGCTGTTCGATAAGCAAAGGTTAGGTAAGCACATGTACGCCACCAATTCTCGCTTGTACAACCCAATGACATTGCTTCGAAGACCATATGGCATGACCGAATAACTGCAGTCTTTACGTATCCTAGGCCTAGATAAAGATGTTAACCCTGTTGTTTACTATATTGTCACAAATTGTACAAGCGGATGTAGCTTTAAGATGATCGTCTAGAGCCAGAACACAAACTGTACTGCTCTTCTACGGCTATGTCCAAGGCCATGGTTTATGCTGATCGTGTAGGGTGATCCTTAGAAGCAAATGTACGAATGTTGAAGTTTCTGGTATTGTTACAGGTTATGCAGCGTGTATGTAGCCTCTCGCGGTCTGATCGAGGGCCTATCCCTTACAAAACAACTACTCTCACGCTGAGTCGTCTTACACTCATCTTGCAGGCCTTCCGTTCGTAAAGACTTCGTGTCGGATTGCCGTGGTATATTTCTTTCTTCTTTCTTCGTCCCGCAGAACCACGACAACCACTCCTGACGGATCCTTCATATTGGAGTGGTCCAAACGCCATCCACCCCTCTTTACGCAGCAGTCTCCTTAGTCCCACCCTCCATGTTCTCGACCACAACCTTCGGTTCCGCCTCTGCCGTGTTTTGCTCTTTTATCAATGACTTCGCCGCACTCCCGCTCTTGACCACCATCCCCGCAATCTTGCCCACCCGGTACTGCGGCTCCAGTATGCCAACCATGCTCAGTAACCGCCACGCCGTATCGCTAGGTTGAGCGCCTACACCGACCCAATACCGCGCGCGCGATAAATCGAGCTTAATGTCTTTCCATGGCCGGCCGTGTGTGTCGCCTGGTCGCGGGGGTTGTGGCTTGGGGTCGTACGTTCCGAGGACTTCTAGCGGGCGAGAGTTACGCGCTGTCCTGATTGTATTATTAGCATCGCGTTGGTAGAATCATTGGTGCGCTTTGCGTAGGCATGTAATCTGCGATTGAGGGCGATTGAAGTATTTGCGGACTTCCGAGATTCGCTTCGATGATTGCAAAAGAGGCGAAGACGTACCGTGCGTGTGCGACGACTATGTTGTAGAAGGGAGCGTGCTTCTTGCCGAAGCGTGCGAGTCGGATTCTTAGAACCATCGTGTGTTGTGTGGGGTTGATGCGACACCTGCGTTGGGGCGCGGGTGTGCTTGTTGGAGGTTTGGGTATATCTTTTTAGGGCCGAGGATCTGCCGAGACGGGTGGGCACGTGCGAAGAGGTGGCTATCTTGACATGAACAGCCAACAGTGTTGAGCACTGGGATTTTGTGGAAACAATATATTATTTATGCAGACATACCCGTTGTATAGTAGAGATTCCAAGTCAACAATGTCGTGGTGGTGTTGGATTGCTATTGCGTTCGCTCACCTCATCCTAGAGCAGTGATGTAATCGCAACACCATGAACTGTTTCGAGCATATGTGGACAAGCCTCTCTGTTCCAACATACACAACATTTCTGACTCTTGGAGATCGTCATGGCTCTTCGAGTAGGTAAATCTCTGCCTAAGTTTTATCAATAGCTAATACTCATTTTGATCACAGACTCTCTCCGCCAAAAGCGCGGCTGCGCTTGACCAAGAGCTCATGTCATCAGGCGCATTCTCTATCGATCAGCTGATGGAACTTGCTGGACTGTCAGTATCGCAAGCTGGTATGAAGCCATTGTATTAGAACAACTCCACTACACTAACAAATTCAGTCTTCAAACTCCAGCCCCTCAGCAAAGGCAAGCGCATCCTCGTAGCATGCGGTCCTGGTAACAATGGTGGCGACGGACTAGTCGCAGCTCGTCACCTCTTTCACTACGGCTACCAGCCTACAATCTACTACCCAAAGCAGAGCAAGAATGAGTTGTACCAGGTCTGTAAACTCGTCAAGCGCCAAAGGTATCTTAGCTTACATTTCACAGCGCCTCAAGAAACAACTCGAAGACCTCAAAGTGCCCTTTACCGAAGACTTCACCAGCGCACTGAAACAAACTGACCACATTGTCGACGCGATATTTGGCTTCAGTTTCTCGGGCGAAGTGCGTGAACCTTTTCCCAAAGTCATTGAAGCTCTAGCATCCACATCCGTTCCTGTCCTCGCTGTCGATGCACCGTCATCGTGGGACATTGAAGAAGGCCCAAGGGAATCCGGACCAGGCAAAGGCTTCATGCCGCCGGCTCTCATTAGCTTGACTGCGCCCAAACCGCTGGTCAAGAAGTTTACTGGCAGGCATTTTCTTGGCGGGAGGTTCTTGAGCCCGGAGATGGCGGACAAGTACAATCTTGATATCCCAGCGTATGAGGGGCTGGATCAGGTTGTTGAGGTACCTGTCGAGGGTGGAAAGCTATAAAATTTATCATCTCAGACATGATGCCAGACATCAATGTAAAATACTTTGCGCATCACGATCCATCTTGGGTGTTTTGGTACGTACCTGCTTGTTGTGACTAGCGTGGTTTCCCCGCAGAGCCGCGGTACGGCTAACAACGGTCTTGAGATGGCATCCGAACCCCAGCTTCGAATGCGCTTCGGCAAACATCCAAGTTGATTTCTTTCGAGGCGGAAGCCCGGAAGCTCTGTGTCTCTCTTGTTTCCCTCTGACGAGCAGTGTCATTGAGTTGAGATACAATAGCATACTACACAAGCCATCACGCATTCTACGCGACGTCTGAACACCGCGTACAGCAAACCTCCCCTCATATAAACCGAGTGCTGTATTGGCTTCCTCAGCCGAACGAGAACAAACCACACAACTCAAAATGGTCCCGAGAGCGCCCTCAAGAGAGGCGTTGACCCTGCTCAAGCATTCAGTCCGACCCTCAGTAGTCGTTCGATCGCAAACACAACGCTGCCTCCTCTCGTCCACCACACGTCCTACCCTGCCATCGCACGCGCAGTCTCAAATTCCTCAAAAGTCGATCCGAAACACAGCTACTTTTACACATTCCCACCATGCCGAAGCCGTCTCCGTCATCCCCACGACAGTCGATACGAGCAATGCAGACTTCAAAGAGAACAAGCGCCAGATGGACGAGGCAACCGAGAACCTAGTCAACCTGCACACCAAGATCGCGCAAGGCGGACCCCAAAAGGCTCGGGACAAGCACATACAGCGAGGCAAGATGTTGGTCAGAGACAGAATATCTGCTCTGATTGACCCGGGCACGCCGTTCCTCGAATTGAGCCAGATGGCAGGTTACGACATGTACGGCGAAGACGATGTGCCAGCCGGCGGCATCGTCACGGGCATTGGTACAGTCAACGGCGTGCAGTGCATGGTTGTTGCAAATGATGCTACGGTCAAGGGAGGTACATACTACCCAGTCACAGTGAAGAAGCATCTGCGAGCCCAGACGATCGCGCAAGAGAACAGGTTACCTTGCATTTACCTCGTCGACTCTGGCGGTGCGAACTTGCCTAACCAAGCAGACGTCTTCCCTGATGTAAACCACTTTGGGCGCATCTTCTACAATCAAGCGCGCATGTCTGCTATGGGCATCCCGCAGATTAGTGTTGTCATGGGACCATGTACCGCAGGTGGTGCGTATGTGCCTAGTATGAGCGACGAGAACATCATTGTTGAGAATCAGGGTCACATTTTCCTTGCAGGTCCTCCGCTGGTCAAGGCAGCGACTGGTGAAGTGGTCTCAGCAGAAGATCTGGGTGGAGGCAAGCTTCACAGCGAGGTCTCTGGTGTTACCGACTATCTCGCTGTTGACGACGCGCACGCGCTTGTCCTGGCGCGGAGGAGCGTTGGCAACCTCAACTGGCACCGCAATCAGACTGTCACTCAGCAGCCTGCATTCCAAGAGCCCCTCTACGACCCTCAGGAGCTGTCCGGTATCGTCGGTACCAACCTACGCCGTCAGATTCCCATCCACGAGATCATCGCCCGTATTGTCGACGGCTCGTCTTTCGATGAGTTCAAGCCGTTGTACGGCTCCACGCTTGTGACGGGGTTTGCAAAGATATACGGTCACCCGGTAGGCATTGTAGCCAACAACGGCATTCTCTTCAGCGAGAGTTCGCTCAAAGGCGCGCACTTCGTCCAATTGTGCGGAAAGCGACACATCCCCCTCATCTTCCTGCAGAACATCTCGGGCTTCATGGTCGGTCAGGACGCCGAGAAAGGCGGCATTGCAAAGAACGGCGCGAAGCTCGTAACGGCTGTGAGCTGTGTTGATGTACCCAAGTTTACTGTCGTTGTAGGATCTAGCGCTGGCGCTGGAAACTACGGCATGTGGTGAGTCTACCCCTACCTCAACTCTTCACGGAAACACGGCTAACATATTCCCAGCGGCCGCGCGTACTCGCCACGTCTCCTCTTCACCTGGCCCAACGCAAAGACCTCGGTCATGGGCGCGGAACAGCTGTCGTCTGTCATGGAAGCCGTTGGCAAGAAAGTGGATCCTGCGCTAAAGGCACGGATCGAGCACGAGAGCGAAGCGACATTCGGGTCGGCAAGGTTATGGGACGATGGGATCATTCCACCGGAACATACACGCAGGGTGCTTGGCATGGGATTGCAGATGGCGTGTGGTGGGCAGAACAAGGGCGTGGAGAAGGAGAGCACTTGGGGTGTATTTAGGATGTAGATGGTGCTAAGGGTAGGCTGAGCGAGGGAAAGCTAAGGGTGGAGCGTCGTGCAAGCCGCGTCAAAAAACGCGCGTACGAGTTGGATGTTAAAAAGCTTGATGTTCGCAACCTTGACCTCGACCTGTGTTCCATTTTTTTGAGCTCCATTTTTTGTGTTTCCATGTTGTTTCTGGCCTTGAAGTGCGCAGGCTAATAATATCCAAGGGTCATGGATCGCAATCTCCGGACGTACCCATAGAACCCTGACATCGGCTTGGCGTCGGTCTTGGCAGGCGGCCATCAAGACAGCGGACCGTGGCTTCAAGCACGCTCAAGTGCTGCAAGCTTGCTTGGAAAACGCTTGGGAACGATTTACCATCAACGACGCATGCGAGATGCGCTCTACTGCGCCTCAGCAGCGGCTCGCGAAAGCAGTCGGCCACTGAGAAACGCATTCAAACAAAACAAATGCAGGTGGATCGACGCCAAGTCAGGCGCCTGCGCCACAGATTTTCCCTGCCTGCGCCCCCACCTAGGTACGGTACTCGGGATCCCCCTCAGTTTCAACCCAGATGGCGGGCCCTATTCGACGAAAAATACGTCGACTCGCACGGTACAGGTGCCGGTTGGCCGTCGCACACGGTGGAATGTGGCTTGTGACGAGTCGAGGCCCATCGCGCACCAGCGCCTGTGTGTGTATGTGTGTGTGTGTGTGAATTACAAGTTGACCTGCCTTTACGAGGTTTAGGCCAGGCTGAAAGGGAACCGCCAGCGCGCAGATTGATTTGCTGACTGCATCCAATAAGTCGCATTCGACGTCCAGCCACCGGGGTAATCGCATGAAGGCAAAGGCCCGTGTTCACGGTAACAAAGTTGCAAGTTGCCGCCATCCGTATTCTTTCGTCAGGCGCGAGCGACGATCGCTCCCGCCCTCTCTTTGTCACATCCGTCATCAAACCAGCTGGACGCCTGTTTGCTACCAACTCAACCACTCACGCTCGCTTTTTCCTCTCCGCCCGTTCCTCCGCAGCCGCCTTCCGCTTTCTTGTTCCTGTATACCCTCGCAACCCAGCCCTGTACACCACCTCTCTCCCTCTCTCTCGCTGCTTTGTTTGCTTGATCCCGCCACAGCGCGCTCAACTCTCCCCACTTGGTCTCACGCACTTGCGGGGTAGCCATTCGTTAGCATTGTTCTAGCCGCAAGGCACATGTCGAGATGAGGTTATTCAGCCCTGCGCGAGCGCTAGCGGCGCTCTCTCTGTTGTCAACAGATGTCGTGCGACCCTTCACCCAGGCCATTGTCCTCGATCCCAATTCCGAGGGTAAGACGCTGTTGTCGCGCAGCTGCGCAAATCTATTCAAGTGTCGGATGTGCTGACGTCGTGTCACAGCTTCCATCAAGGATGTTTCTAGTCAGGTCGCCAAACAGCTCGTTGCGCAGTATGCGACCATCGACGACAAAGGCATACACGTACTGGGAGGTTATCCCGGTATCCTCTACCCACCCTACTACTGGTGGCAGGCGGGTGCCATGTTCGGCACTCTGCTCGACTACTGGCACTACACCGGCGATGACCAGTACAACGAGATGGTTCGCGAGGGACTGATACACCAGTTCGGAGAGCATCAAGATCTGGTATGCATCCATGTGTACTGTGTCTGAAGTGTATCGCTAACCTTTGCAGATGCCTTCGAACCAGTCCAAGAACGAAGGCAACGACGACCAAGTCTTCTGGGCCTTCTCCATGATCGCCGCCGCCGAGTACAAGCTCAAGGACCCTCCCTCCGACCAGCCCGGTTGGCTCGCCATGACACAATCTGTCTTCAATCAATTCGTGGGCCGCTACCAGAAGGAGGTTTCAGACGGCACTTGCGGCGGTGGCATGCGGTGGCAGATCTATCCGTGGCTTAATGGGTGGACGTATAAAAACACTGCTTCCAACGGAGGACTTTTCCATCTCGGCGCTCGATTGGCAATGTACACAAAGAACGATACGTATGCTAGGTGGGCGGAGAAGGCTTTCGATTGGATGGCGCAGAGTCCTATATTGCCTGGAGATGGGCAGGTGTACGATGGAACGAGCATTACGACGAATCCTCCGTGCCACGACGCTGACCAAACGCCCTGGACCTACAACTACGGTATCATGATTGCCGGAGCTGCATACGTAAGAGATCATCACGTGTACAATTTACGATCCGCATACTAACATATCGCAGATGTACAACTACACCAACGGCGCCGAAAAATGGCGCACCGAACTTACCAAATTCATCAACAAAGTCGCCATCTTCTTCCCTGAAGAAAAAGGCGGTGTCATGGTTGAAATTTGCGAAGCGAACCAAGTCTGCGACGCTGATCAAGAATCCTTCAAAGCCTACCTCGCCCGCTGGCTCGGCATCACCATGCAAATGGCCCCTGAATTCACGCCCCAGATCCTGCCCAAGTTGCAGAAATCCGCCGTCGCCGCTGCTCAAACGTGTGAGGGACCGTCCCAACACAACGGCGGGCCCCATCAGTGCGGTATGAAATGGTATGCCACCGGTTTCGATGGCATCGGTGGCGTGGGCCCGCAGATGACGGCGCTCAATGTCATCTCAGTGCTGAATGCCCAGCGGGTGCCGCCGCCGTACAGTAGGGATACGGGCGGTACTAGTGAGGGCAATCCGGGCCTGGGCAGTGGCAACGACGATGATCGTCTGCCCAAGTTTCAGAGCGAAATTACCACGGGGGATAAGGCGGGGGCGGCGATATTGACGATTTTGATGTTCGGCTTGTTTGCGGGAGGGGCTGTGTGGATTTTGATGTAATAAAGGGTGGTGGAAAGATGGAAGGACAATGGGGCTCCTTTTCTTTTTTTGGTTATACCCCCATTGCAAGATATATGCTGGTATGATGGGATGATACGTGTGTGTTTGTTCTGGGCTTAATCTTTTGCGATGGCTCTTTTATGGCGTTATGGGTGGGGATGGAATATGTGAGTGCGAGATTCATGTGTATATTTGATTATCTGAACGCAATATGATTGAGCATTCTCATTTTCACGCTAGAGAAAGTACGGGTGGAAGGTGAGTGGTGTCAAGAGCTGCGAGGTTATGAGATATGGTTATCTTTACTATGAGATGGTGACACTAGGGGACTGTTGTAGTGATTGGTATGTCCACCACCTCGTCGTTCTACTGTGTAGAAAGGTATTGTGGTGATGGTGTTACTGAACCGTTTGATGCTGGTAAGATGCTAATATGAGATACTGTATGAGTCACTGTTTAGAAACGGCAGGAAACATATTCTTCGTGTAGCCGAGAAGGGAGAATACCCTATCACAAAAGTCTCAAGATAGAATTCAGTCGGAATACCTCTGTCATTCGTTCCGAGGTGGATCTAGATACCAAACCCCTTGTACCATGCCCTCAGGTCACCTACTACACATTTGTTACCAAACTGTTATGAGGCAGCCCACGTAGACAGCCCAAGGCACACAAGACACCTAGACACACCCGCCACTCCTCTAGGTACCCTTACAGCCGTCTGAACGAAAAGTTGGGCCCCCCACCCTCTCCACACGCGTACAGCAGCTGTCCGCACCACCCAGAAACTGGAGGCAAGTGTTGTGAAACTCCGGGCCTCGGATCTTCTGATTGTATGGCTCAGCGACGCAATCTTTGCCATCTAACAGGAATGAAGATTAGTTCCTCCCTTTGCATATAAACGGACCCCGGAGGAGAAAGTTGATCAGCAACTCAACTCACCAAATGCACGGTTGTTAAAGGCGGCGCAGGCCTTTGTTGTTGCACACGAGTTTTGCACTCCACGGACGTGGCAGAAGCAGCGATCCCAGCTTTCGGCACTGGCAAGACTGAAAAAGCCCAGACTTGAGAGGTTTATCAGTAAATAGATGGATAGGTCGGACTTTTGGGAGTCTTACAGGGAGAGTTGGATTACGGTGGTGAGCTTCATGATGGTTGGCGTTGATTCTTCGAAGAAGTAGATGTAGTGCCGAAGAGAAATACAACGGAGTAGGCTGAGGTCCAAGGTTGAAGAGCATGTAGCTGTGTTTATATATCTCTATCTTTAGCGAAGTGCAAAAGGGCTACATGTGTGCATCTTCCAAGAATGAGATGATAGTTACGAAAGCCTAATGTTGAGTACCTTGAACTTTATCGTAGACTGAGGCTGTCAAAGTTCCTATCTTGTTAAAGTTTGACTTGGATCTGTGCTTACAATGATAGTAATTATATGTATCACTCCGCTGCTAGCTCCTCGGCATGCTAGGCTTTTAGTTAGTGCTTACATCTTGTTGGTAGCGAAATCCTGCTTCTATGACTAGACCCTCGGTTCTAGCAGATGATATGTTTAAAAGTACTGAATTCAAACGCGTTGAAAACAGGCCTGACCTACTAGGCTTCAACAATATATCTTCCTACTTGCTGTAGATCATCAGATCCTCCGACCGCAAAATGCGGTCTGAGTCTTGTCATTTGCGTTTATGATCAAGCATTGCATTAAGAACTGAGATAACCTCGACTGTATCAAGATGGTACTTTCTTATTCGAACCTGACTTTGGGTTTGATTCTAGATTCTAGTACGCTTTTACTTTCACAACGTATTTCGATAATCGTTAACTTTATTGCGAGTGCAGAAGTAAGGTTTTGTTCAGCAAGGCAAGTATTATCAAAAAAAGCGCCGCACCGTGGCTTAATCAAGCTAAGACACCCGTTGACAGGTATCAGGATACCAGAAAACAGAATATCAGTGTATAACCCTACATGTTAGTGGTAAAGCACAGTCTTGTCTTTGCCTTCATAGTGTTTCGGCTGCTAAACCTTGCAGTCGATTAACGATCCGCTTTTACGTCCGTAAGTAGAGTTTACTCTTGCAAGGTATCTAAATGTTCTACAATGTTCGGTGTTTTCCAGTGTCATCCTAGTTCATTCAGCTTATATTTCTATTTAAGTTTGAGTAGTCTAAGCCATAGAACTTTGTCACGCCCAGTGGCTGACTCCACGGACTCGACAAGGATGCATCTCAACGCATCTCTTTGGTATTCACCTAGTATATAAGTCACTAAGAACCCCCCTCAAGAATATATATCAAACTTATACGTTCTTAATCAATCCCGTCTTTTGCAATCACGAGCCATGAAGCTCTTCTACTATGCTCTTCTTTCAGCCGCAACTCCGCTGGCCTTATCTCTCGGAGTTCCCAGGTAAGACAGTCGAACATAATGAGATGACTGAGCTAATTCCAGTCCCTAGCGCAAGCTCTGAGCAAGTCAACCAACTTGCTGCCCGAGCCGATTTGTAGGCTCCCCTGACGTGGAGAAACAATGCCTTACTAACAGTACCTTAGTGACGCTGCCCATTCGTCTCTTGTCGACGGCGCCCTTCCGAAGAGGAATCTTGCGAAAAGAGACATCACGGGCATCACTCGCCAATGCTACGGAACGAACGGGAAATTCAAATATATCTTGCAAGGTGTCCTCATCACTACTTCTATAGTCGGCAACACTTTGCACTATACCATCACCACTTCTTTGGCGGGCTCGAGTCTCAAGTCGGTCATCTTTGACTTGGGTCACGGATCATATGAGTTATTGCTAGGGGACCGGGGAACTTTTGAATTCGCGCAAGGTGCGCTGAATATCTACGCAGGAAGACGCTAGATGGTGGATGATGATCACCTTTCCAATGCTTGCCTCACGTGATGGTGTAAGCATACTGTTAGAAGGCCAACGCGGGTAGGCCCCGGGCGAAAGGTTAAATAATCTGAACGGCTTGCATACAGGGTCGCGACATACCCTAGATATCACATGTTATTTAATCGCGAGTCGATATCGAATATGGCATCGTGTGACTTGCTGTAGAATAGCATGTAACGTAGCAATATCGAGGGTCTTAGCATATTGGCTTTCTATCAGCTGTACCCTCTTCCTCTATCTTTCAGACCGATTCATATGCCTTTTGCGTAGTTAGCCCACGGCTCTTCTTATGGCGTTACTGGTCAGGGTAGAATATATAGGTAGAGATTTATGTGTATGTTCAATATCTTAAACGCAATTCAAACAAGTATTTTCTTTCACACTAGTTTAACTGTGTATAGCTATCAAAGGTGTAAGGTAGACGAGGTTAGGCTAGTTCTTAGAAGTGCGTAGCTGGTCTTGGGAAAAAGTATAGGTGGAGAAGATTCTTGTTTGAACTACAGTATTAATCACTACATCAAAACTTGTGCACCGGCTTAGCAGGTAGTTCGATACATATGCTACTGGAAGCTGATCAATTTCCGCGCGCGATGAGGACGAGCCATGTCTCGCGCCATCAGACTTCGGAGTCGTGCTGGTTTCAAATAGACTTCGAAAACAACGTCTATGTGAAGCTGTGCTCACACATATCACGCATGTAGTCGTTCATGGTCTCGGTATGTCTTGGAATTAGTTGGTGATGTAGGGAACCAGCGACTAACGCCCTCTCGTCGGGTGTCTTAAAAGAATATATGTTAAATTGTTCAAGACATTGAACTATAAGCTATGGCGTAGAGAAGATATAAAGACTTGGGTCTGAGGAAGACAAAGATTGACTAAAATAGACAAGATCACAATTTGAACGATGCCTTTAAATGCTACGAGCGACGAAACTGTTGGTCATGAGAAGGATCACTGGGAAGGTAAGATTACACTCCACTCCTTTTACCAGTTGCATGACTAATTAGACACACGAATATAGACCTACGAGAGAACAATGTCCCGCGATTCTTATTCCGAATGTTCCATTGGCAAAGCAGCGGCGGCCCGAGGCTAGCAATCAACAACGCAACCGAGATCGTACCTCGAGGCTTGATGAACGGCAATAAAGGATCTAGTGTCTATGGTAAGACCGAGAAAGAAATGTACAGCATGGTGAAAGACCATTTTGATGGCAATTCAGAACTTCTTACAGAGTTTAGCTCTTGGGCAGCATCTCTCCATGCGGTTCTCTGCTTCGCCCGAGACATACGAGCCGACTGGAATCCTCATGTCGCTGTTATAGATCGCACGAGATTAGAAGGCGAGGTTCTCGTCTGGTGGGTGCCAGATCTTCTCGGTGCTAAGCAAGGTGACATCAAGTATCTGGCGCATGGATGTATACGGGGTCGTGGTTATACCGCAGTGCCTTTTGAGCAGCTCGTCACCAGTGGGCTTTATGACTTGTTCCCCGAGCTTGAAGCTTGGAAGAAGAATCGTACGAAGGGCATGACCTTTGGCCGTAAGCTACGGAAAAGGATGTTTGACCGCGCACCACCAGTTGTTATCTCGACCGAAGACATTGCGACTGCTAAGAAAATAGACATCTTATTTGGAGAGCTTGCTTTGCCAGTCATGGCCGCGCTGCTTTGTCTACGCCCGCGGGAAGCTACTGGATTCAAAGAGACGGCAGTTCGGGTGATTGAATCACTAGGTACTAGACAAGTAGAATTCGAGCTTGCGACAGGCTTTTGGGCGCATCCGGGAGCGACTTACACACGCAAAACGAGATACCGTGATACTGGCAGGTGGTATCCAGATATCGAACAGTGGATTAAATTGTTCCGTGCGATCAACAGCCATGACTTTCGCCGAGACGACACAAGAAAGCGGAAGAGGGCTGAATCCGACACGGAATACGAGCCTGATACTGAGGATTACACCAATCGGTTTCGGAGCTATTATAATACGCGAAAAGGTCCACGGCTAGATTACACTAGAGTAATGCCGGCGAGATTAGGGAAGGCAGAAGATTTTGTCCAGTTTGTTTCCGCGGGGTCAGATGAAGGAGAAGAGGATGAGGTGTTCGACAAGGAGGGAGAAGAGGCGTCAGGTAAGGACACGGACGAAGTGTTGAACTCAAAACAGGACAAGGACATGAACAAAGAGGAGCAGCATACGGCGATGCAACGCGAGTTTATGATGAGATGGTTGAAGACGTGGTCTGGGTACGTAAAAGCATGTAAACAGGTCCTTTGAGATAGAGAAAGAGGATAGGAGGTCGAGAGGATATGAACGAAGAGTAACCGAATCCTAGCAAACTGGACTTCGCATTGGCATAAACCTCTAATTATCATCTTTGAAGAGACTTAGTCGACACGTGCGGCATTCAGGCCAATACTTGGGTTGCGTCTACACACGTGAGTGATAGCCACGGAATATTGAAGTTGTAGCAGTAGATCAAGGTTCTTTATACTGATTGACGCTAGGCTACATCCTTGCGATGTACATAACATACAAAATGAGTCGTAACCATAAAGAAGTGCCGCAATTATTGCTGGACGTGAACTGACATTCTACTGGGCATTAGGGTCAATCGGGCTGGGGTTGATCATCTTGCCATACTCCTGCAGGGACTTGTTCATAATCGTTTGGAAAACTTTTTCGAGCTTAGGCTTGCTGGCTAGGTACTTGTTGACGTTGAGGTCGCAGTCCACAACGACGTATCGCATGTTGAACGTGTTCTCCGAGTGATCGGTCTTTTTGGTAGCCCATCGCCAGGTACTGGCGTCGATGTGCATGTATACGATTCGTGAGCGTGGCTGAAACACCCAGATTGGGTTGCTCTCGTCACCGGAAATGTTAAGACGCACGACTTGGCTGATGCGGATGGTCTGATCAACGGTGTTGCTGGTGCGACCCGTCTCAACGCTGACTGTGCCAAGCGACTTAACAAAGTTTGTCAGCATACCGTCGAGCTGGAGAAGGGCCGGCTTGGTTAGGCTGAAGCCCTTAAAGAGCTCACCCAAGAACTCTAGATGGACGTCCGTCTTGGTCATCTTCTTGGAGAAGGTCGTCTGCGTGCCGGAGGAGAAGTTGAAGAACCCCGCAAGTGGGCCGACCATGACATTGTACGCCGAGTTGGCCATGTCAGCAAAGGCTTGCGCCGCCTCGTCTGCCACTGTGATGTTGTAAGGTTCGGGGTGGCCACGCTTAGTCCGGGCGTTGGCATTCCAGATTGCCGTGTAGAGCGACACAATTGAAGACATCTCGACAAGGTGGTTGTAGTTCTGGCCAGCACTGGGCTCATCGTAAGGCGGCATGACGCCGACATTTTGAGGCATCGGTACTTTGCCATTGGCGACTTCGGTCGACGGACCATTGGCAGCATCAGTGAGCGCAGCGACAACGTCTGCTATTGTAGGATCGGCAGCAGCTGTGACTGGGCCGTTCCCAATCAGCTGCTCGAGAGCACTGTTTTTCTGGGTAATGTCTGAGGCAACTGTCAGGAGCTCGCCGATTGGCTGATACTGCTCGTGGAGCTCCTGGGCATTCGTAGTGTCGATAGAGCCCATGATGAGATGGATATGGATTGGAGATTATGTATGAGATTGTGTGGGTACTCTTGAGGGAAATCGAATGAGAAAGTATGGCTTAGAGCTTCTGATGAGACCATGGGACGAAGGGGCGCTCCGTTATTTATTCGAAGCTTTGCTATGGGAATTGTCAGACGAGTAACGATTCTCTGCTGAGCGACCCCTCTCACTGCTCATTCAGGACAAGTGTTCAGGATCATTTGAAAGCACGATTGGAAGTCAACACAGCTTTCAGCCAGCAAAAGTTGTCAGCCAGCCTCCTGTCCACCGCTTTAGAACCTGTCAGCTCCGTCAAGCCCCATGAACATCATTCGGTGCAATTGAGACACTACCTCCCGATCAAGTTGATTCTGGACTGCAGAAGTCTTCCCTCCGCATACCGTATATTCTAAATGGCAAAGCCGAATCAGCAGGGGCGTCTTCGACCGTGCGGAGAATGACTGCAAGCCACATCACCTTCCAGGACTGCAGGGTTCGCTTGTACACTCAGTAGCTGAACAGATGTGTCCTTGTGGGCACGGCATACAGCATGTCTCAGTTACGCCTAAGCATCAATGAACCCTGCATTAGCGTTCTGCAGGCCTTCGTAGCTCTCAAACCTTGACAGCACACTTCAAACTTCGGGGCGAATGACTATAGAGACCACCAGTGCATACTGAAGCGAAATCATGCTACTCGCCACACTTGTTTGGACCAGCGCCTCAGCGTCTTCTCTGCGAAGATGCAGCAAACTATTGTTTACACTAGTGCAATACCCGTTTGGAAGCAGACCAGCACGTACAGCTAGCCACTTGTTAGGCTCAACTCGCGTCGCCCGTAGACAGAAGCTCGCAAAATGACATACCTTCGAATGAGCGAGCGATGCGTGTTCTATAACAGCGAAGCCTAGACTCATGCCTGAGCAAGTTGGGGACAGCTGAGGTGCTGTAGATTCAAGCGGATGGTGGCTGCGCGTCTCAGCTACAATCTAGCTCTAAGAAGATTTCCTAGCTGTTTACGGAATAGACAATCCGGATTACGCAAGCGGGAAGCCCATCGAAGACAGTGGCACCCAGGGCGATATTCCGGAAATCGTCATCATCAGATCCAGGAAAAGCCACTCACTCAGCTCCGAGTCACGCAGATGTGAAGGGTTTGAGCTCAAACCGTCGTCACATATCACTGTCATTAGAAGTCGACTTCTTTCACACCCCGCAATGCACAAATGGACACTCTCGAAGAATTCGGTCAGCCAAGTATTCGCGATTTCAATGCTGGTGTAATCCAGAGTGAAAGAGCCAATCGTATCAAGCCGTAAGATAATACAGGCAAGCGAAGACTTACACTTTCTTCACGATCTCATCTGTAGGCAGTTTGCGTTGCAAAACATCGTCTCGTATAAAATTTGCATTATGAGTCGTTATCAGAAGAGATCGATTCATGAGTTCGAAGGTCATATTCAGGCGGTGGCTCATTGCTGTTGACTATCAGACAAGTTTGAACGTTGATATATCTATCATTCCTCGTGAGCCGCAAAGATGTTACAGGTTTCTTGTCCGTATCCGAGAAGACCGCCATCCTCGACAATCTTCAGTAGCTCGGCGTCCTTGTCCACCATCAACTTCAAAGCTTGCTCGAACTTGGGCTTTGCCGCAATATAATCGTTTTGATTGAGACGCAGCTCAAGTGAGGTGGCTGTCATCTTGAAGGGGACCTTTTCGTTCCGTCGACGAAGGTCCAGCTTGGATGGCTTATCGAGAGCGTGCGCCCAGTCCTGTGCGCGTACGCTGATGCTAACAAGACGCGTCATCGGATCGCAAATGACCACGGTGCCATCGCCTGTCACGTCGGTTGTCTTGACGTAGTGGATCAAGACTGCAAATTTGAGCTGCTGGTCGCTCCCATCGGCCGACTCGGTCTTGTCAGCCCTGAACGGACGAAGGGTAGAAGTGAATCTTGTCAAGGTATCATCGAGGTCCTTCATGTGGTCCTTCCCTATGGCGCGTAGCCCACCGAAGATGCGTGGCAGGATAAAGTCGTGCAGCTCCGGACGCTTGAGCAACTGCTCCTCAGTCTGTGTGGAGCTACTGACTTGCTGGTACATGCTGGCCAGAGGACCGCTAGTGATAGCTTTCACAACGGCGTCCGCCTCTTCGTTGATCACAGTGACGAAGTGAGCTGGATCACGGATAGAGTCTGAGTGTCCACCCTGGTCTCTCGCTTTGCGAGCCGTGATAATGTTCATGGCAGAGAACATACGCACGAGAGACGAAGCACCAAGGAGACTGTCAAAGCTCTGACGGACGTCGTCGTCCTGCTTGGCCGATGGCTTGAAGCCAAAGAAAAAGGCCACTGGGGGTCGGCCCGCTTTTGCGACCTCACCGCAGCTCGTGACAGCGTCTTTGAGTTGGAGAGCAAGATCGTCCATCGCGTCGAGCTCTTTGAGAGGACTGTGCTCCGTATCTCGTTAGTACACGACGAGGAATACGAAATTCCGCCCTTATATGAGGACCATATACTTACCCTTGTCCAGCAGAAGTCGGAGCTCGCTTTTGATCATCAGGCGTTTGCCTTTGGTGTATGTGTCAGCACGTTTACGGAGTACAAACTTGTCTTGAACTTACTCTTCTCGTGATGTCTGGCTGATAGAGTCTTCAGGCGCTTGCCTATCGTGTGTGGTCTGTTCATTTGCCATTGTGGTTGTTAATCTCCAAGTGAAGGTTGATAGTTTGAGGCAAAGCAAATGTGCAATGTTGTTTAACAGAGGATCTGAGTGGCAGAAGCTTCGTTGTCCAAGAGATTAGAAAGTAGGTAGAGCTGTTTAACCATAGCATATGTTTGTTGACAGGAAAAGACACCTGATCAGTCTCACACATTTAGAGACAGTGGGTCTTGAGGCACATTGAGTCTTCAGCAAATCATCCTAATCCTTCCGACCCCTGTAGGCACCTTTGCCTTTCAATTGTGTTTCTAGGCCATCGTGTGGCTGGCTCAACGCCATGTCAGAGCAAGCACTACGTAAAGGCGAATCCAAGCGATAGCCAATGGCTGCCGCCGCGGGTCCAGTCGTCTTTGCTCCGTCTGATGACCAGGATGATGGTTGGTGCAAGAGACAAAGCCTGCCAGTTGTCCCTACCCACCGCTTGTGAGGTCGTTATCGGAGCGTGAGTCTATCACTGGGTCATCAATGAGTGCTCTACAAAAGCGACACTTCTAGTAATCTGGATAAGTTCGTGGCTGGCTGCGATAACATCTGACATCCCTAGAAAGAGTAGCTGGGCAAAGCTGAAGCGCTTTGCATGTATGTCTCATCACAGTCCGTGTGTCTTAGAGCCGGCGATTTTGAATAACATCCATCGGAGTTGAAGATATGCAAGCACCCCGCACGTTCAGCCTCTTTGTTCCCCCGCATGCAGCAGCGCTAACCAGGCGCTAAACCGGCCGAGGGAAAGCGTCGACCAGTATGGGATCGCCTGACGCCGTTTCATGCAGGAGTCGATAGTCTAATCACAATCACAATGTGGCTTGATCCAGGTTTTAGTAAACTGTACAAAGACATTTCGAGGTTGCTGCTGCTGCGCGAAATGCCGGATTGGGACGCATCGTGGAAGATGAGAGAAGAGTAGCATTCAGCTCACTCCCTTGACGAATGCTCTCGGTCCGTAGGCGACAATGGCATGAGTGATCTGGTCGTGGCTAGCTGAGAATTCGCGTCGTATTCTTAGTTAGTGGCGCTGTTCGTAGAGGCGTTAGCTCTCAGATATCTTACACGGCTGAGGAAGAGTGCGACACACAGTGCTTGCCACTTTGGTCACAAGTATACTCCGCCAACGTCCTCCAAGTACCCTGATAGAATCAGTATATAACCTGTAGTAGACTTGACAGACACTCGACCACTATTCACTCTTACAAGTCAAATACAATCAAGACAACTTCCTTCTTTCTCAAAGCTATTGCAAGTGCAGAGTTTACGACAAATACTTCGTCTCCATCATTTCCAGAAAGCAACAATGGCTGAGCCACTTACCGTCGATTCTGTAGCCGCTATTCAGGCAATGATCCAGGAGCTACACATTCGAGCCGAAGGCGGAAATTCTATCGACGAAGAGACCCTTGCCCTTCGAATGCTTGCTGTCACCAGTGCTGAGCATGATTATGATCTCTCGCAGGTCAGGCGTCTTGATGACGGGCAGGCCCCTGGCCCAGTCACCGCCAGTGCCGACGGAGATGACAAGTTCAATCAGCTCGCAGAGCTCATGATGGGCAACACCAAGACCCCAGACCAGCAACTTGCGGAGGGCAAGGTCCCCACGACTAGCCCCGTTGTCGTCATGGACCCTTACTCCAAGGAAAATGCTGGATCCAACTTTGCCACCCTCAAAGACGCCCATTCCATGATCCAGCTATATTCGAATCTCATGCAAGTCCAGCAGAAGCCTACGGGATTCAACATCACATCCGAAGCAGCGTCTGGGTTCGCCTTTCAAGCTAGGCAAGCCTACAATGCTATGATGGGTCCTCTTGCGGGCTACTACAATTTCTCCCTTGGCTCTGTACAGAAATATAGCAACCAGCTCGAGCGCAACCAGATTCATGACGACTTTCTTGGCAAGGTCTTTGACGGATTTGGGTTCGACAAGGCCACTCTAGCTGCTCTGGACACCAAGCTGACGACTTTCGTCTCTGCTATCAAGGGCATCAATCCTGGCGGCACACAGCCGTCCACCTGGGACTTTTCCCAGATGCTTGGCCTGTGTCCCAAGCTCAACATTACAGGCGATGACTCCGACCCCGAATGGGTATTCAACCCCACCACGTTCCTCTTGTATATGCAGGTCGACGCCAAGACATTCCGCGAGAGCGTTAGCAAGAACAACTCGGTCGACAAGGTCAATTTCAATTTCCAGCTGACCGTGACCAAGTGCGAGCTCAACATCCGCCGTTTCGAAGCTGACCGGCTCAAGTTTGACAAGATGTTCAAACTGGTCACCAACCACAACCTCAGCGCCTACAGTGACCTGCTGAATCAGCAAATCGAGCAGAAGAACGATCTCGCCAACCCGAAGTAGTAAACATGTTGTTAAGGACGCAGTATGCTTTGCATGTATGTAGGCAGTCAGTACCTAGAACGAAATACATCTTCGTTGTTTGATACGACTGTACGTGAAGTTTCCGTGGTCAGTGACACTTCGCCAATGTGTGCTAATATTTTGGTGCTCGCCAGAGTACATAAGTTTGTTCTAGTAGCGTAATCGTTTGCAGACAAGAACTAACTAATTTGTGCCTTATACAACACGTTGCTTGGCTTAGTGTAACTTAAAGCTAGTCGTGAATCCTTTCCGTATTACCTACGAGCAACAGTGAGCCTACAGTCTACTAATTGAGGTTCGGACAAGCTATCTAAATTTACACTCTCTAGGATTTACTCAGTGCTGAACTTTAGGTTATAACAAAGTTTAAGAATGTCGTTTAGGAAACGTAACAATGCAGCTAGATTATAGAGAACAACCCGCTAACGGGGTACAGATGTAAGCTTGATGATTATGGCTGGAGGTGCAATGAGATAGTAGTGCCGAGTGATAGCCACACGCTAACAAGCCGACTCCAGAAACAGACTAGCACGGCAAGAATGGAGTTCTCAGCCAGAGCTGAACAAAAGCCTCTCGAGAATGCAAGGTTTGGCGCTAATGCCGGCCTTAGCCACAAAGAAGGATCTGGACTCCACAGCGGCCCGCCCCGGTAGTTACCCTCAGAAGTCATTGGCATCGAGATGCTAGGAGCTGAGCGGCAGAGATCCCTTCATACATCTTTTCAGCCTTTCCGAAAAGCCGCGATGACTGGTTACTAGATGCTGCCTGCTCTGGAGCATGATTGCACAGCTAAGACAATCACCGTCGCCACGTGCCACCATGCTCTCTCGACGGTACGATGCGGGGTAGCATCTATATTCTTAGGCTCGAGGATTGTGGCTTGCTGATAGCTACCTGCATAGCTCTAGTCAACTCCATGAAAGCTGAACACGCAAGAATGTGTTTCGAGGAACCCGAGACTTTACTAGACTGGCGACTCTGATTGTATGGTCGCATGACTTTTGCCGAAGTATGGCAGTGCATTGAGCTGAAACAGCTCACCACTATCATGCATGCTGCCAAGTGTGTTCCGCACTATCGTTGTGTGCCCTTATGCTCCAGCCTGTGCTCTGCCTTCTCAGCACTCTCAAACATACGGGGGATCTCCGCTGTCCCGTGCTGAGGGCGGCCGATGCATTGGAAACAATACCCCTCGGCAGTGAGGTTCAGACATCAGTCTAGTGACGGGTTAGAATGGTTCCCTTAAATGTGTGCTTGAGGCCAGAATTCTATAGCTCGGCGTTGTGGCTGCAATCATCAAGCTGAAAAGGATGCGGAAGGTATGAGCTAGACGATCAAGCTGGTAGGGCTGGTCTCATGGACACCAGCCGCGTAATGCTTTGCTCGAAAGTTGCGAGTTGAGTGCCACACGTTAAGCGTTGCGAATCGTCTGTTATATTCAAAAGTCTCATTGGGCTCTGGCAATTTATACGAGTCTAAACACAATTTTATAAAGAGCTCGAACTCCTGATTACGTCTATTTACCTTCACCTCATCATAATCTGTTCTCTTAAACCAACTTCATGTCGGACAAGATTATAATCAACGGAAAGTCGGTCGCAGTTGACGACCAGAAACTCGATGCCTCCGAGTCCGGTTACATTCTCATTCGGACAACCGGCGAACCACTGAACAGGGCGCAGAAGCTGGAGCTTGCGACCTTGGGTGTCAAGCTTCAAGAATTCGTTGGCCAGAACGGTCAACAGCTCTACCTCTGCGGCTTCGAAAATGACTCGCTCGAGAGAGTTCGCAAGCTGAGCTACATTGACTATGCCAATGTCTACTCTCAAGACTTTGTCATTCCCGATGTGCTGCAATCAGCGCCTATGAGCATGCTTACTTCGGCCCACGCGGGCCAGGGGGCTTCTGAGCAAGTCGAGGTAGACGTGCTGCTACATCACGACATCAGTACAGTAACTCCAGAGCTTCTGGAGAAGATTGCGGAGATTGCTCAGGTCGATCCGTCTGCGACTACCGTCTCTGAAGACCAGGCATCACCTATCATGGTTCGCATCAAGGCTGGCGCTGCGGCACTTGAACAGCTCGCTGAGCTCGACGAAGTACGGGTGGTGCATCCAGTGCTAGAGAGAGCGCTGTTCAACAATGTTGCGCGGCGTGTCTTGGGGTTTGAAGAGATACAGGAGCGTGTCGCAGCCAACTACAACTACCCACGACCGGATGACGGCACCTCTCTAAGGGATATGGTTGGAGATGAGATAGCTGATGCTATGGATAAGGCCGAGGTCAAGGACTCCAGTCTTCGTACCAAAGAGAAGGAACCAATGCTATATGATGGCAGCGGCCAAACCATCTGTGTCTGTGACACAGGCTTCGACATGGGCAGCACCACGGACGTGCACGACGCATTCCTTGAGAGAGTCAAGGGGCTATACTCTTGGGGTAGACCGGGAAACAACGAGACTAATGATCCAGACGGACACGGGACACATGTGTGTGGCTCCGTCCTGGGCTCCGGGCAGCACTCATCCGAAGGCACTGTCCACGGTGCTGCGCCGGCAGCCACACTGCTTGTTCAGTCTATGTTTGTTCGCTTTAACTACGCCACAAGTTCAATCCTGGGTGGCTATCCTCAAGATCTTGGGCAGCTTTTTCAACAGGCTTACGATGCCGGCGCTCGCGTTCACAGCAATTCCTGGGGTACCCCTATGCTACCCTCTACACGGATTCAGCGACCGTACGACACGGCTGCAGCCAGCATTGACAAGTTCGTCTGGGACCACCAGAGCATGACAATTGTGTTTGCAGCTGGCAATGAAGGCCAGGACACCGACCTCAACGGCACTGTCAACGAGCGCTCCCTAGGCGCTGAGGCCTCTGCCAAGAACTGCATTACTATAGGTGCCTGCGAGTCTTATCGTCCAGACCTGACCGTAGCGAAAAGCAACGCTCCTTACTCCTATGGCACATTCTGGCCCGACAGATACGCCAAAAACCCACTTAGAGACGATCACCTGGCCGACAATCCGGAGGGCGTAGCAGCTTTCAGTTCACGCGGTCCGACTGCTGAGAACAGGCTAAAGCCAGACCTCATAGCGTGCGGAACTGCTATTCTGTCAGCCAAGTCGCGCTGCAAGAAGTACCTGACCTCAGTCGATAAGACGGGTATCTCTGGCGACGCACGGTACATGTATCTCTCCGGTACCAGCATGGCGACACCACTTGTCTCTGGATGCTGTGCCGTGGTGCGCCAGGCCCTGTACAATGCTGGCTACGAAGATGTGCAGGAAGTGATCAACCCGCTAGACAAAGCAGTTACTGAGCTTTTCTCAGAACAATTGGGTCCGTATGTGCCAACGATCAAGAACAACCCTACCGCCTCGCTTATCAAAGCGCTACTAATCAACGGTGCTGTGCCCATTCGTGGCCAGTACATGCCAGAGTACCTGCCGAAAGAGCTTCCCGAGGGGTTACCCAATCCACATTCCGGGTTTGGCAGGGTAAATATTGCTGCAACGCTCGCAAACATCAAGCAGACCGACTATTCAGGATGGACATGTGACACTATCGACGAAGAGAAGGGAAAGGCCTTCCTTACTCTGGTGAGCGTCCCGCTGCCGCAGGACGTCGCGGAGGGAGACCACCACAAGCCTGAGGCTTGGGGTTTCAAGACACTGAAGGTAACCATGGCCTACGCTGATCTCCCTGGCGCTGCACTTGCGAATGACTTGAACCTTGTCGTCGTCAGTGTCCTCCAGAACAAGGAGCGTCATGGTAATCAAGGCCCAGGCAAGGAGTTCGCCAAGGCCAGCAAGGAAGGTTTCGACCGCGACAACAATGTCGAGCAGGTCGTCTGGCCAGATCTCCAAGGAGGTGACCAAATTTGCATTCTTGTTAAGCCCTACCGTCTGATGAGCGAAAAGGTTCCATTTGCGCTTGTCTGGAAGTTTACCTAAGCTACTAGCAAACGAAGAGTCGCACACGATATGCGATATCTTTGTGGCTTCGCCAGTCATGGTATTATGATTAGAGTAACAATGTATCCGATCATTAAGAACACCTTTGGGGCTTCTTTATATGTTGGATATGTATTGGGTTGCATCGATATCGTTCAAACAGGGTTTACATCCACGGTCACAGAATCGCTAAAGCTAGTGGTGAGATGGACGATGAGGAAATAAATCATTCTCTTCGGCGGGGTATCATGGCACAGAGAACGATTGAAGAGACGCTGGATGATAATGCACCATTGAACATGCGGTTCAGCCAGCCACCTCGCTACGCGAGTGATTTGAGTGCCGATAGTAGCAGACGCTTAGTCTTGCAGTGACACTAATGTACGATATTCTCAGCTGAAACCGCGTCACTGGTGGTCTGACCTTTCTTAACAGGCTGACCAACCCTGTTGTCTAACGGCAGTCAGTATGGTGTCCAGCCATAGCATTATCTTTGTGACAGCCACGTAGTGCTAGCGTAAAAACAAAACGCCTTTCTCGCATGTGAATCAGCACACATCAGAACCTCTTGCGATCTTGAACCTTGGTTCAAGAACCCGCGATCCCATCAGCATCTGCTTCTTTGTCTGCTTTCTGGTCATCTTCGAGTAGTCGGCTCTCAGCAACACTATTCCTTGTGTCATCACAATCACAGACCGGATGTCTATCACCGGCCCTCTGACCAGGGCACCTAACTTTCTGTTTCTTCTCGACACGGAACGCGTCTTGGAAACGACACAACAAGATGGAGACGCTAACACAGATGACGTAGACGAGTCTAAACGAGTCGTCACTGGATTTGGGTTTCTCGGTCCCATCGGCGACCTTGTCACAGGTGCTGTGACCGACGCAGTTAAGGCGGCTGTCGGCATCAATCCAGTCGCCGCAGGCGTTGACATTAACCAGATCAACCAGATCATCAAAATGGCTCAGAGTGCAGGGCTTTCCGCAGCCCGGGTAATCACCCCCGAGCAGGCAGCCATGCTGGGCATCAACTCAAGCCAGTTCTACAGCATCATCGGCGGGGCTGTAGGCATGACAGCACAGCCCGTCCAGCAGACCGTCGCCCAGGCGGTCAAGATCAACAAAGACTTCCCTAGCTTGTGGTTCGTCAACTTTCCTAAGCATATGAAGTCTCAGGACGTGGATTTAGTGCATCGCTCTCGGCAGAATATGACCGACTTCAGGTCCTGGTCAAGTCAAAAGTGGTGGGAGGAAGTCGCGCGTCGCGGTGGCGTGGCTCAAGACATGTTCCAGCGAGCAAGGCAGAGCAAACTGTTTGCGAAGGTTGCCTGCGAGGACATGTGTAAAATGTCATGGTACGAGGCTCTCAGGTTCCTGATCTCGGTGACACATGACAAGACTAACATCTTTTCATCATAAAGGCTGCGCACGACGAAGCCACCCATCAATATGAATCGCAGCATCCGATGTATGGCTAGAATGCTTCATCAGAATATCGTTTCGCAGGTGATGAGCGACTGGGAGAGCGTTGATCGCGATATAGTGGATGCCGTAGAGCCACTTCTCCAGGATATTGTCCGCTCAGCACGGGCAGGCGCTATTCCACAAGACACTGGCGAGCTGAAGGTGGTGATCCTCGAGAAATATGAGTGGAACGCAAACGCTCGAAGCGTCACATCTTGTAAGTGCCTATTGCAAATTCCAGATTCTGTCTCGACGGCGCCACCCTGCCATTGCTCAGCAACGTTCCTGCTGTTTGGAAGGTTCACTAATTTCTCGTGTTCATTACATATAGACATACGTCTCATCTCATTTGAGCTTAGCGAGGCCTTTTACAAAGTCATCAGCAACAAGGGTGATCCGACGAGCTATGTCAGCGTAGACCTTGCGCTGCTTCAGTATGAGGCAGTGTTCGAAAGCTCTCTCTGGAACCAGTTTGCTTCAACTCTCGAGAAAGACCAGAAAGATCCTTTCCAAGATTTCATTAACCTGCAAACAATCAACGTCACATAGTGTGATACAACACAGTACAACTGGGCCAGGCATCAATTTTAAATAGGCAATAGAATACATTTTGTTCGAAAACCTGCCCTTCTAGCCTTCCCCAGGGACTCCGTGTTATAGTAGGTCTAGCGTGCTGCTTCCGGTCCACTAGCGTCCTGCATCGCTTCCATCGCCTTTTGTAACACTCTCTTCGTATCTTCGTCTACTGCGGTTCTCTGTACCTCCTCCATTCGTTCGACCCATAGCTTCCATCTCTCTTCGTTAAAGCCATTCCATTCTTTGCCAACAACATCGCTACCCTGCTCAGCGCCACGACCACCAAATGTCCTTCCCTCCTTACAAAAGGCGTACAGAACTTTACCCGCATATATGAACCATGCCGCAGCTGCTTTACAACCTTTGTCTCCGCTTTTACTGTAGACCTGGCTCGGTATAGAGTCCTCCAACACGGAGCGCAGCGTCCAGATCGCGTACATAGAAAGATCTACTAGATTGGCTGCTGTCAGACGAGCCGCAAAAGCGTTAATGTTGAATGGTTCTGCGTGTCGCTCTAGCGAGAAATTAGTAAACTGACGTTTGCTTCATGCTTTCACAACGCATAACACTGATAAGGTAGGGTCAAATACCATCATCCCAACTCTCTCGAATGGCGGGTCCAAGCAACGGAAGTTGCTTCCAAGTAGCTTGATTGCCCCAGATTTCGAACGTAGCCGGTTCTTCTAGGTTGGCCACGGCTGTAAGGACCTCGATCACCCTGTCGAGCTCATGAGCTGGCGTTTGAGATGCGTATTCGACAACTTGGTTCCAGATATCCCACAAAGCAGCCTCACCAGCCTCTGAATCACCAGCAGCAAACGCCGATCCAGCAGGTGCTACAAGAAAAGATGCAGCAGAAGAGACCGGCATAGAATCATCCATAGCTCGCAAGATGGTTGGAGAGGGACGCGGTAAACTTCGAACACCCCCTCCGCGACCACCTCCACGACCACCTCGTCCTCGCATTGAGAGGCTCATGTCTGACGCGGCGCGCTGGAAGGAACAGATGGTTTACTCTGCAGGTAACCTTAAGCGAGACATCCAAATCATCTGTTCGTGGGAGGATTGAGACTGTACCTGGAAAGTTTCGGGTCTGATGTGAAGTTCGTGGCCACCTTTTATTTACTGCCCTCGTATTAGCAATGGGTTGATTGGAATCGGCGAACTTTATATTCGAGATAGCAAAGCGGGAGGTGACGTACACCGGTCACGACCTTGCGCCCTTGCTCGGATGTGTGTGGCTGCTGAATCCTAGCTAGTGTCCAATTAGCGCCTTCGCATGAAGGATGTCGGACTCGTTTAATGAGACACGTGCTGTTCTGACTAATCAATAGTCGACCAACCTCTCACACTTGGCAGGCTAAGAAATACGCATGAAGTTCCAAGACTTTGAGTTCAGAGTTGTCGTTGCCAAGCGCCGTATGTCGGGCCTAAAATATAATCATTTCTCAATTTACGAGCCATAACAGCGCGGCGAGACAGTGCATGTCGTATGGCTTGAATGCACCCCAGAGTACATGATTATTGAAGACAAGGATCGCCAGAACACTCTATCTTTCTATCTAACAAATCATTTCGAGATGCGGACTTCAAGAAACGGCACTTAATTGTATAGATATAGTACGATTGAGCATCTATCCTAATCTGAACAAGCCTTGTAGATACTGATCTTGTACGCGTCTTGCCAATCGCTGTGAAACCGCTACCTTATTGTAACCAATACAACCTCGGAATCAAACACATAGAACAAAGGCATTGGGTCGAGAATTGGGAGGGACGCCGTTGTGCGTCATCGCACCAACGAGGTCGCAGTTTCCTGTGGTTTGGTCGTAAGCAGCCACGCAACGGTCTGCTCCCGGTGCACCTGAAGATAAGCCATTAGCAAGTAACACTAGAGAAAAACATCCCGCGACAGCAGTATGAATGTTGCCAATGATACGACAATCAAGCTATGCGATGCGGACAACTTCACTCACCTCCATTGTAGGGCCTGTTCCCACGAACTAGAGGATACTCGTACAAGTCTCCGGTGTATGACCCGAAGTTGAGGCGTTCACCGTTATTGAAAAAATGGGGGTAACCACCCGGGCCCTGTCTGTCGTCATACAGACAGAGTGTCGAACGGCAAGCCTCCAGTTGGGAGTCAGTGTACCTAACCCCGTCACATGTCACAGCACGTTTCTCAAGCACGTGAGATGGGGTGGGCGTTGCAAACGCCGACCCAGCGAGGAGAGAGACAGCCAGTAGAGCCTACAAGATACTGTTAATTTGAAGCTCGAACTAGTGTTTTGTTCTTGAATGTTCATGCCTTGGTAAACATAGCTGGAGGTGTTGACAGGTGACTGCAAGGTTGGTTTTCAAAGATGAGAAGATCTTGATGATGAAGATTGACAAATGAAGATATTTCCATCCTTCATTAAGGACCTGCTCTTTATACAGAGGTGGTACTAAAGCTCCACCACTGTCTAACGATACTAAGCTAGGTTGAGTTTACCAAGGACAATATCTACCGAAGCACGCCTTGGCGTAATGTCCGGCATTTCCGGACCTAAAGAAGTTACGCAATGTTCATAGAACAACTATCATGTAGGGATTACACTAATCACGAAATTGTCAGCGACTACATATTGTCTACGGTTTTGTGCCTCCGTAGCTATGTCTTTTGGTACGAAAGGAGTAAATATAAGGGGCTACGCTTAAGGAGCTATCGCACAAGTACTACAAAGTTGTAGTTGATAAAGAGAAGAACCACAAGTAGTTGGGGTTCTGAAAGCTGTTCAAGAAACGGTGGTCCGGAATATACGTACGCATAATCTGTTTTCTTGAGGGATCTTGGATAGGTAAACAGTGACGTCCTAGCGGCTTGTCAGGTAAGCCCTACGTCGCTTCATTTTGATAATTGTTTTGTAGTCGAGATCTAAGTCGGGAATCGGTCCTACATCGGTCATAGTGGCTGGTGCTTCCATTGTAAGCCCGTACATCAGGACTATATTGCCTTAAATCAATTCATGCTTCCGATACATATAAAGGGAGTCGTCTCTGTCGTCTTCCAAAATCATCACTCACTGTATCGGAACATCTTCGCACTATCATTATCAACACTACCCATCGTCTCAATCAAATCCAGACTTTCTCCGCTTTCTACCTAAACTCACTTCAAGAGTCCCATCACTTCAACGTAAGTCTTCTTCAACAGCAGTGTCCTGCTTTTATCTTACTTTTCTCAGATGGTCCAACTCAACACTCTCCTGCTCACCACCCTTGGCCTTGCCCTTCCCGCAGTAGCGCAGAGGGACTTTTGTGCAGCTATGTCTGGCGAACCTTGGGCTGAGTCAGCAACCGGATTCAGGTTCCAATCGACTAGCGCAGGGACTTGGAACTGGTTCTCCCGCGATCGTGGAACCGATCTGAAGATCTACCAAGATTGCAATGTTGTACAGAACCGACCCAACAGCCAACGAGCTCTTCGAACAGTGTGCATCGCTACGTCCAACAACTACCGGTGCTGGGAAGCTCCTGGTCAGAACGATCCTACTGGAAGTTGCTTCATCCCTGATTGTTCCAACATCCGCAATGTCTGGGGCTGGTATGATTAGATGCTCGTTCTTTTAGGTGCACGATGAGGGGGATAGGACTTTCACAGTTTCTCATGTCTTTTGGTTCGATGAAAAATAGCAATTAGTATTGTTAAGAATAAACTGTTAGGGTTCGACGTCTCGAAACCATCACAAAACTACTTCAGAAAAGAATCTTCCACCCATGGCCTGCTCTTGTGGGTATCAGCCTTGTCACTGATTCCCTATAGATATATGCGCATCCCTAAGATCGCATGTACCTCTTCCCGGCTTAGTTAGCGTTGATAGGAGTGCAGCCGAAGTTGACGACGCCCTAGAATGTTATTGTTAGTGGATATACGTTTGAAGTAGCTTAGGATCTGGCTTACATTTTGCTCCATGTCTCCACAGCAGACGGCAGTCTGTTTGCACATGTTCTTGATGGGAACGGCACCTCCAATGACAGCAACAGTGATATCGCTGCACTGGCCGAGGAGGTTCTTGATTCCGCCGACATCGGGACTGAGGCCATCATGGTTGGTGACCGCCTGGGCCGTCTCATCGTTGCAGCAGTGAGCGGTGCTACCAGCGCCACAGGCATCCGAGCGCTGGAAGACATTGAAGTTGGTGGGAACAGCCGCGATCATAGCGACGAAAGTGAAGAGAGCGAGGATGATAGACTGGATAGACATCTTGAAGTGTTGTTGATGGGTTGTTGATGGGTTGATTGAGGAGACGAAGAAGTATTGTGATTGGAAATGAGTGTAGTTGGAAGTGAGTGTGGTTGGTTGGTAAAGAGTGTGGTGGTTGTTGTTGTAAATGATTGTGATGAGATGTTGGACTTAGGAAGCCGGAGCAGGCGATACTTATACGTGACAGGAGACAGCAACGTTTGAAGCGGACGAACTAGTAACTATTGATCGTGATCGGGAAGTTCGGGTTTCGTGGAGACAGATCAGCAAGACTACTACACCGCAATACAGCACTGACTGATTAGGAAGTTACTCCACTTCACTATCGTATACATCTTTGTTCAGAGCGACGACGGGTAAATCGTAGTGACGTCAGTGACACTTAGTGTAGCACTGACCGTACTTTCGACGTCCTAAATGCTGGTGCATTATGCGATAGACTTTCCAGCCTAGCACACTGTTAAACGCGAAAGCTGAGGTGTCTTTGAGATTTAGGGCTATACAACAGAAGAAGCATAATCTGCGATCACCCAGCTCTTGATTCATTCGCTATATCTAACAGCCAAAAAGGCCGTTGTACGATGGATGGCCAACTGCCGCGAACGGCCATATCGGTTTTGCCGCATCGATTTGTGAAAAGCGGTGTAAAATGATCTTGATTCCCCATCCCGCCGTGATACGTTGGTCGCGCTAAACCACGAATGGGATCAGCGGCTTACGCCTTGGCAATATCATATTGTTGATTCCTAAAAGCAAAACCACTCCAGGCCAGTCAAAGCTATTATTGGGATCAACGCACGCCAATTGGCGGGTACAGCAACCGTGCTGGATTAATAACCCCAGAACATCACAATTGCTCCCGATCTCAACACATCGCAATTTCACCAATATGAATCCAATTCATGAAACAATTGAAGCTACCGGCTTCGTGCGCGCTTTGGTCATGTTCGGGTTTGGGCTATCCTAGCAACATCAAGATACCAAAAAGAAAGACCGCGGAACTAACTATCATAGCTACTGTCACGAGATTTCTTGTTGTGTCCGAAGTCTATTGGACTCCGCATGATCGAGCGCGGAAGTCGACTACCTTCCCGTGGCATATGTCTCTAACTACCTGTCGAGACACCAACAAATGAAATCATATTGATCCTATCTTGCTGAGTGATGGATACGATGGACAGCGAGTCGACCTTTACCTAGTGATACGTCCTCCCTTCCTTTGGCTCTGTGACTGGTTTCGAAGAGAGCGAACAATGTCCGAAACATCGAGATACCAAAAAGAAAGGCTGCGGAACTACCCAAACCCGCTCTACTAGTAGAACCCTCTTTTCTGTTGCTACTAATCCTTCGATCTATCGTTCTGTCTCTTAGTGTTGGCGGAGGCTTATGTGCAGGCTAAGTGGTGCTTTGTTTGGTTCAGCGATACATCTTTCGTTTCTGTGGTATGGTGACATCTTCAGACGAGAGGGAGCAGTGTGGGAAGCCTTTGATCTCCTCGTATCGAGTGACGCCCCATTTGACTTTGGCGAGGTGTACATTGGCTTCTGTGGGCGAGTGGTGGCAGGCGGCGCTTATCACGAGACTACAAGATGCTGCAAGGGGCATCTTCACCGACATTGTCCTCAGTCCAATGAAACCCACAACACAGAGCAATGCAAGTGAAGCGAAGAGCAACACGAAAAGACTCAGTGCGGAGAAACCACATGCCGACTTTCCGCCTGGAAGTATCGTTCCGTAGCGATCGTAGAAGTCTGCTCGCACGAGGAAAAAGCTTTGAGAGAGTAACCAATGCAGTGTTCCGCTGGTGACGATAAGTGGAAGACTCCATCGGTATGGCAGCTGCAGAAAGTACGTGCTTCGCTGGTCTTTAGCTGGTTTCGTGACTCGAAGGCCTTTTCGAGAGGTTGCGAGATGATTCCATTCATCAGCTCCGGCCATTGCTGTGCAGATCATATTAACTGTAAGATAGCCAAAAGACAGCATCAGCTGTGGTACGTTGGCAAGCCAGGCGTTCCATAGAGTAGCGACGGCAGTTCGTCGTTCTGATCCAAGTGATAAGTCGTCATCTGATGCGGTTCCCCAACTCCAAGAGCCGCTCGATCCGTCTGTGTTGGTAGAATACATTGGCGCCAATGCGAGCAGAATAGCGATGATGAGCAACCTAGTTGGTTAGCCATGAAGTGGGTTTTGCACATACTCACTCACAAGATAGTGTACCACACTTTCGCTGCACGGTGAACTGGTGCGAAATATGACTGTGACCGTGGAAGCCAAACGCCTTGAAGACGTAATTCCAAGTCTGCCTTCTCACCCAGGTTAGAAACAGGATGGCTAGGTGGATGACCCAAGGTGATAAGCAGCTCTTCCCGCCCTAGGATGCCAACACCAAGGGTATGAGGATCTGCGCGCTCCAAGAAAGATGCTGCAGCATCTCCTAGAGTGACAAGATATGTCGAGCGATCAGTGATCAAGACATAAGCCATGATGCTCAGCTTGCTTAAATTGCAGAATAGTACGACGAGCAAGAAGTAAAGGCTGACTTGCACTCTGCTGGGGGGACTGCTCCTCTTCTCCGAAGCTGCTTGCACTACACGAGCTGAAACGTCCATTCTATCCAACCCGTTAATTGGCTGAACCTCGTATCTTATCCATACTGACGACTCCATAGTGAGTTTTTGTATGTATGCTTGATTTCCAGATACGTCGAGCGACATATACGTTAACATTGTCCTTTCTATATCCTGGTTCGTAAAGTTTTGCGTAGTGTCGAAGGCCAGGCGGTCGATTCCAAGATATAGATCACCGTGTAATGAGACATATTCGCTGTTGTATACGTCGATCCATCCGCCGTTTGTGAGGTTCCAGTTGTTGCCCCCAGTCCACTTACCGACGTCGGTAGTTGAGTTTACACGATTCCAGTCGTCTGATGTTACGCCCATGACCAAGATTCTGTATTCACTTGACGTGATGACCTTGAAGACCGAAGCGTTATAACTAATAAAATTCAGCGAATGCAGGATCGGGTTATTTGGAAGGCACATACAACAGATGTAAAGGAACTGACGACAGTCCTAGCATGTACCAGAGTGCTGCACGTTTCCGAGGAATAAGCCTCAAGTTCCGGGGGCTGAGAATTCCAACATCGAGCCAATCTCCCCGAGCATGGATAGCGTCAACATCCTGCCTTGTTGGCGAACTCAAAACCTGCATAGTGTAGTTTGACCCAGCGAGTAGCATCGTACTGAGTGCGTTGATCAAGACGTGCAATGCCGTGTTCCATCGTGAGATAGTAACTTCATCGCCAACTTTGAGGCTAGCTATGCCCCCAGCATCGTAGCCTCCTCCAGTGGTGGCTGCTACGATAATCATAGAAATGTTGCAACACAGGACGAAGGAAGACATACAGCAACCAAGCAGTACCCCCATCCGCCAACCGTGGAAACGACTGCCACGGATCCAACGTTGCAGCCGTGTGTCGAGGGCTCCCGACAGCCCTTTTAGTGGACGCGGAAGCGACAGAATCGACGTGCGATTCTTGGGCGCGTCGATGTGAGCAGGCCCTTGCTGTGATTCGTCGGACACGACGCTTTCTGGCTTAAGGAGAGAGCTATGGGAAGCTGTGTTCAAGTCCTCGGAAGCGTAGCTTTCTTGTAAATCGTATAATCGCTCTTCGTTGTGACGCCTTTCATGTAACTTGAGGTTATTCAGATGCGAGAAGGACTGGCCACATCTAGGTGCTTTGCAAGGAAATGGCTTATCACCGGCATGGGCGCGTATATGGATGTCAAGATGCGTCTTCTGGTAGAAGCTCTTGTTGCAGTTGGGCAAAGTGCAACGATGACACTTCCTGGGCCTCTGGACATTCTCCGATGCGTCGTCCTGAGAGATATCCCCTTCGCCGTGTCCGGTAGCATCATTGCCCGTTTGACTGCCCGCATAGTTGATCCCAGGCGGCATGAAGTTTGTAGAATCTGGGTTGTTCACTGGTGACGTCTGTGTGAGGCTGCGTTGCTCGAGCATAGACAGCGGTAAATTATCGCTAAAGCGTTCGTTTCCTACTGCCAACAGCGGCAGCAGGGGTGCTTGCGAAAGGTTTCCAGAATCATCTACCATTAGTGCTTCTGGTATGAGCAAAAAAGGTACTGGGAAAGAAGAAGGATATGCATGGCAACGAGACAGTGAGGATCATGGGCTTATTCTTAACAGATTGCGGCCAGGCTGAAGCTTGTGTAGTGGTGGCTGGCCAAGGAACAGCCCCCAAAATCTGTACACCATATTGCTCGCATTTGATTGGTATCCACTAATGGTTGTATGCAACTCAGCCGGTGTGGCTGGCCCAGTGGGTGTGTCCAGACTGTCGTATGGAATCTGTATGGTGAGTGGAGGGGCAGACACACATGGCGAGCGCCTCTCCGTGATGCGCGCCACTCATAGTGGTTGATGACAATTTGGCGGAATAGAAGTACTTGGAAGTTGAACGCAGCACCGCAGCCTGACACCCGCGCGATGTTGGAAGCGCCCGCCATGTGGTTACACAACAATATCTGATGTATCTGATTGGTGGTTGCATGCAGGAGTATGCATCTGGGCTATGTAAGGCTGAGGCTATGCGGAGATGCTTTTCGAAGCCACTGAATAGGTGTGAAGAGCCCGACAAAACTGCTTTGGACGTCGAATCATGGAAGGAACTTTCTATGCGTGTAAGATACAGGCGCGCCGCAACGAAATCCCTGCGTGAAGCGCACAAAGCACCACTTGGCAGTCATTAATGATTGTTGGGCGGGGTGGAAGAAGCTGGAACTCACGATCATGAGTGGCACGTGAAGCAAAGTTCCGCGGCTCAGGTGTGACCTCATAATGTCAGCACAGCCCTAGTGCATCTCACTCGCCCTTCATCCTTCCACCTATACCAACGCGCACCTCAACCTCGCACATCGCATCGCACGCAGCCGGATATCGCGACACACTCATCACCATGGGCGCACCCAAATACCAGAACGTGCCTCAGCGCGACTCGCTCGACGAGGCCGCGCCGGCGCCCTCGTACTCGCAGGCGCCACCCAGCTATCAGGCAGCCAACGACCCCCAAGAAGCTCTCCTCAGCGGCGTTCCTCGAAGCGAAAACGACAACGTGCCCGATGACTTCAAGTTTGGCGGTGTCGTGGCCGAGGCGACGCTGGACATCCGGATGGCCTTTATCCGCAAGGTGTATGCCATCTTGTAAGTAACGCAGGTCGCGGACAAGTACCGCAGAAGCTAACTACGCGCAGGACCGTCCAGCTCCTCGCAACTGCCGCCGTAAGCGCCCTCTCGATGATGTCGGAGTCGTACAAGAACTTTATCCAAAACACCCCATGGCTTATGTGGGTGTCGTTGATCGGCTCCTTCGTCTTCCTTGGCCTCACCTTCTGGAAGCGCAAGTCGTACCCTACAAACCTCCTGTTCCTCGCCGGCTTCACCGCGATGGAAGCATACTCCATCTCGGTCATTGTGTCCTTTACCGATTCCAAGATTGTGCTGCAGGCGCTCTTCTTCACGCTGGGCATATTCATCGCGCTGAGCTTGTTTGCATGCCAGAGCAAGTACGACTTTACGCACTGGGCACCGTACCTCTTTGGCGCGCTCTGGGTGGTTGTGCTGTTTGGCTTCATGTCCATGTTCTTCCCCAGCAGCAGCACGGTCGATCTAGGGTATGGCGTTGTTTGCGCGCTCATCTTTTCTGGATACATCCTGGTGGACACACAGATGATTATGCGCCACTACCATGTCGAGGAGGAGATTGCGGCGTCCATCTCGCTCTACCTCGACATCATCAACCTGTTCCTCGCCATCCTGAGGATTCTCAACTCGCAGAACCAGAATTAGAGGGAAGCAAGGTAGGTGTTTAGTAGGGGCTGGAGATTCACTTTGGAGAAATTGCTGGGCGTATGGGGTCAAGCGACTGCGCTTGAATAATTTTCAGTCTTTTAGCCGTAGTAATGTAACATGACCACTGCACTTGTCGACTCCATGTTGGTAGGGCTTCTTCCAATAGCTGTGCATGCATATCAGGTCAGGCCATGGCGGGGTATTATGGGGCTGCAGGAGGCGTGGGGGGTATGATTGGTCGGCAAGGTGAAACGCCCGCGACCCTTGATTTTCGGAGCAGGAGCACGAAGCTTGAGGACTTGGCACCGTGATACTTGCAGCAACTTGACGATAACGGCTGCAGGGGCCGCATTGGGAGCAGACGAGGACGGCACAGAGCTTGCAGAGCTTTCTCGTAGGATCGCCACCTCCTTTTCTCCGTCGCAACAGCCTCTCGCTCTGTCCTCGTTGCACCCGGAGGCGCATGCTGCGGTGGAGTTACGCGAGCCCCATTTTTGAAGTGGCCCATATGGTAGCGCGCTCCAGAATCACAGCTACTAACATACTGCGATTGCTGCTAGCTCCCGCGACACCTGTCCAGAAATACAGCGGGAGCAATTGGATACCTGCCAGGCAATCCTTTCACTCAGACACGCAGCAGCCAGGCAAAAAGAGAGGCAACTCGGGTGGCCAGCTCAGGAGATTGTTGATGCGCGCTTGCCCCATCCATCTCTAAACCCTGAATATCTTTGCTTGGGACCACCACACCGCTTCCTCGACAACACAACTCGTCTGCCCGCGCGCAATTTGTTCCCCTGCGCGGCTACTCCTCCCGTACGCTATCAAGGAGCTCCAGTACCCATTCTTTTCCCGCCTTTTACTGCTCAATGGCTGTTGGTTGCTGAGACACGCACCCACCCGATTACGTCGTTCGCTAAGAGGTGATTGTTGAGCGGGCAATTGAACTTGCACCCAGAAACCCACACGCCGCATCAACCCCCGGGACCCTTCGCCGGACTGCAATCACCACCGTCCATATTGCAAAACAGCCGCCATGGCGACAACACAGCACAGCGACGGCGCGCTGCCAAAGACACACTCGCTGCACATGCAAACCCAAAAGGCACCGTCTGCGCCCAAGAGGCGGAAGATGCAGGCGAAGAAGGTCGACGATGAGGGGCTCATGGCCTCGCTGTGCACGCTCATCTGCGACCACCAGATCGGTACGCCGACGCATTGTTCGTCATGGTTGCTCCCGTACTGACTACTGCAGGCATTTCCGTCAACCTCCTCACCCTCCTCTGCCTCACCCACACATTCTTCCCCCGCGCCCGAAGCCGGACCTCCAAGTTCTTCCACATGTCGTACTACAACCCCGACACGGACATGTACGGCTGTGGCACCGACGATCTGCCCTTTGTTCTGCTGTGGACCGTCATATTCACCGGCGTCCGCGTAGCAGTCATGGAATACATGCTCGATCCACTGGCGAGGCTGGGTGGTATCCGCACAAAGAAAGGGCTGGACAGGTTCAAGGAGCAGGCATGGCTCATTGTCTACTACACTGCATCGTGGTCTCTAGGAATGGTATGTCACACTACGACCCAGTTCGCGGAACGGTAATGCTAACAAGCTGACAGTACATCATGTACCACTCGGAGTTTTGGCTGAATCTCCACGCCATATGGGAAGGCTGGCCTTTCCGGGAAGCAGATGGCCTGTTCAAGTGGTACTATCTCGTCCAATGGGGCTTCTGGGTTCAGCAGATTCTCGTCGTCAACATTGAGGAGAAGCGCAAGGACTATGCGCAGATGTTCACACACCATATCTTCACTACCGCGCTCATGTGCCTGTCCTACGGTTACTTCCATATGCGCGTCGGCATCGTCATCCTGACCATCATGGACTTTGTCGACATCATCTTGCCCGTAAGTCATCCACACACCACAAACTCAAGCTGGAAACTAACCAAATAGACCGCCAAACTCCTCAAATACATGGGCTACTCCAACGCCTGCGACTACGCCTTCGGTCTCTTCGTCATCTCCTGGGTCGTCACCCGCCACGTTCTCTACATGATGGTCTGCTGGTCCATCTACGCCTACGCACCCGTCGACATGGCTCCCGGCTGCTACCTCGCCGACTCCACCTCGAAGCAGACCTCGTTCGTCCCTGCGTCTAATGCATCGCAATTCGAAGCATACGGCGGCAACAACCACTGGGGTAATCTCCTCAAAGCATACAGCGACCGCAACGGACCCATTTGTTGGAACCCGCAGATCCGCTACTACTTCCTCGCACTTCTCCTCACTCTACAAGTCTTCTGCTGCATATGGTTTGCGACTATTGCAAAGATCGTGTACAAGGTGCTCAAGGGGAATGCGGCTGAGGATCTGCGCTCCGACGACGAGGGCGAGGATGAAGAAGTTGAGGTCGATCAGACCAAGACGATTTTCAACATGGCGACTACGTGTGGTGAGAGCGGCATGAGCTCAAGCGGTATGACTGTACAGCCAAAGGAAGAGGAAGTCGGCGTTGATGCGCTGACTTTTGCACGTCTGAATGGGGCGAGTCAGCGACGACAGGCGAAGAGGGAGAGTGCAAGGGAGAGCGCGAGGGTGAGTGGGATTAGTATTCCTGGTCATGGGGATCGTAAGGAGCTTTTGGGTAGGATTGGGTGTGATAAGCCTTCTTGAGCTTGTCTCTTTCTGCCTCTGGTGATGCAGGGTTCTTGAGTTTTGCAAGTCGCGAAAAGTTATTCGCGGGGCGTCAGAGGCGTGTGTAGCATACAGTTGCAGGTTTCCAATTTTCTTTTTACTCTTCTTCTTTGGTGGTGTATAGGTTTTTTCCCAAGGAATATGTCACTAGAGGTGTGTAATTCCGATCTGGTTGATGATACATGTATACTATACCCCTACAGATCGAATTTAGAGTATTCATAGCTCATGGGTGTGTTGACAAATGTACTGGTGCTGAAGCGCATGGAGGATACTGTTGAATGACACTGTAAACCGATGTCATGTAATCCCACTCTCAAACCTCGGCTCATACTTAGTGTGAGAATGGGATGGTGGGATGGTGGGGCCGACATAGGTACTAACAACAAACGTGTACCTCGGACGACAATCGACAAACAAAGATTCAACAAGAACACGTGCTGTGAACGGAATCTCTGCGTTGCTTCATGATCCATAGTCGGGACCAGTGTTGTGAACCATACACCTTCACTGCTGCGGTCATAACAATACCTCCACACTGATCGAATACCGACTACGCATACAAACAGCGACCCGCAACCACTCGTTATAAACATTCTCCACCAACAACCAACCACGCCAACATCAACCAAAAAACACCAGCAACAGAAACGCCCATAGCAACTAGACAATGGCGACGCCAGACAAGACTACTACTCTCCCCTCCCCACCTTTCTACACGCACATTCCCAACATCAACAACCTGCGCCTAGCCACGCACTCCCTCACCACAAAATCCGGTGCAACGCTCCGCCCAAACCTCCTCTTCCGCAGCGCTGAAGTGTCGAAAGTCGATGCCGAGGGGTGGACGGCACTGCGCCAGCTAGGTGTTGGGCATGTCTTTGATCTACGGAGTAAACCTGAAGTAGACAAGGGTCATTCGAACAATGACAACAACAACGACGCCATTGCAGACGCAGGAGGAGGTATGCAAAAAGCGGGCGTGCAGAGGACGTGGGTGCCAGTCTTTGAAGAAAGCGATTATAGTCCCGAGCGCCTGGCGGAACGGTATGCAAAGTACATGGATCAAGACGTACGTGGCTTTGTAGAAGCGTATTCTGAGTTTTTGAAGAGCGGGGGGAATGCGTATGGGGTTATACTGCGGTATCTAGCAAATTTATCCGCCGCTGCTGCTCCAGGACAAGGAGAAGGAGAAGGAGTGGGGGCTTTGATACACTGCACAGCGGGCAAAGACCGAACGGGAATGTTTTTTGGTCTCTTGTTCGATTTCCTGGGTGTGCCGCGCGATCAGATTGCGACGGAGTACCATCTTACGCAACAAGGTCTTGCGGGCGTTCGCGAACAAGTCGTGCGCAGGTTGCTTGCTAGTCCCGCTTTTACAAAGTACATGACTGCGCAGGCATCCGGGACGCCCATCTCCCCGGGCGATATCGCAAAAGCATTGCATGACGACGCGGCGAGGGGATCATCAAGTGGTAGCGATGGCGATAAGCAGATTCCACAGGAGATTCTGGACAAGGGGAGGGAGGCGGCGTTGAGGATGGTGAGCGCGAGGAAAGAGAGTATGCTGGGGGCGCTGGAGATGTTGGATAGTCAGTTTGGTGGGGCGGAACGGTATATGAGGGAGGTTTGTGGACTTGGTGATGGAGAGTTGGAAGGGTTGAGGAGGAATCTTCTGGTGGGATATGGACGTGAGGCGTGACTAGGAAATCATGGGAAGTACAAGGCAAGTAGGCTGTGAAAGTGGGTATAGATCGCACAACTGTCATCGATTTAAAAAGGAGGGGTATGGTTAGAATAGGCGTTGCTTAGGACTTGCGATAGATATCACCTGTTCGCCTAATCTCATCTTCAACGTCCTCTCCCCTCCCTGCAGCTTCTAGCTTTCTTACTAGTGGCAATACCTCCTTTCCAAAGCGTTCAAGATCCTCCTCATAATGCAGATGCGCCGTCAGCACCAAGTCCACCCCCAAGCTCTTGAGCAAAAGAATCCGATCTGCAATCTGCTCTTTCGTCCCAATCAACTTGGTCTTGAAGCCGTCATTGTATTGCACCAAGTCTTCGAGTTTGCTATCCGCCCACATGCCCTTTTTATTCCCCGTGCTAGCACCAGCTTGTTGCACGGCTTGACGAAAAGCTTCAACAGCTTCCGTATCCGCTTTACCTTGAATCTCCCTCAACACGCGAATAGCTTCCTCTTCCGTTTCGCGGATTATAACGAAGCCATTGACGGCAAATTTCACTTGCCCCTCGCGCCCCACCTTGCGCGCGCGCTCCTTCACATCCGCAATCTGCTCACGGAAACCCTCCAAATCGTTGCCGTTCATGAAATACCAATCGCTCACCTCAGCGCCATTCTTCCTCGCATCGTCGCTATTCCCGCCCTGGAAGATCTCCGGATGCGGTTTCTGAAGCGGCTTAGGCGCCAACTTGTAGTTTCGGAATTGGTAAAAGTCGCCGCCAAAGCTGAACCCTTCCTCGCTGTCTGCAGTCCAGATACCTTTCAATGCGCGGATGAACTCATTGGACCGCCGGTACCGCTCCGCATGCTCGAGCCACCACTGCCCCACAGCCGTGAACTCGCTCTTATTCCAGCCTGAGACAATGTTCACAGCAATACGCCCATTGGTGTAGTTGTCAATACTCGCAATCTGTTTCGCAGCAATAGTAGGGTTCCAGGGCCCGGGAAGTATCGCCGCGATGAGCTTGATACGCTCGGTGCTGTGCAAGAGCGCTTGCGACAGGGACACACTCTCGTGCTGGTTTTCGGCTCCGTACGAGGCGGTGAAACGGATTTGCGTGAGCGCGTACTCGAAGCCGTGGGCTTCGGCGGTCTTGGCATAGCGCACGTTGGAGGCCAGGTCCCAGTTTGTTTTTTGGGGTATCTTGGAGACGACGAGGCCGCCGGAGACGTTGGGGACCCAGTATGCGAATAGGAGACGGTTGGGGTCTTGGTTGAGGTCTAGTTGCTTTGTGGGCGTGTAGCTATCGGATGGTTCCACGGAGTGTCCATTTGTGCCGTTTGTTTTGGTGCTGTCTGTTGCGGTTGGAGAGATAATCAGCCTTGCTCTTCTTGTTATAAAAGTAGTGTTCTGGCAAATTTACCTGTCCTTTGTCTCTTTCGTGCTGACATGTTTGTTCGCAAGAGGCAGTAGAACTCGAGCACGAAAATGGATGGATATACTGGAAAGAAATGTTGAGCTATGATGCCATGCGATGTCAAACTAGAGTACTGTTGCCGGTAAGATGTGCGCACATTAAGCGTGGATTGCGTGCTGTGCAGCCATCCGTGGGATCTGTGGGGTTGACGCAGGTTAGATTATAGCCCTGTAGATCGTGGTTTATTCGCCGAGGATCATACAACTCCAGCATCCCGGGCTTATGGATGATAAGCTGTGACCGGGTAACCCGCAGCAGCCCCAGACGTCCGGCTCCTTCAATTGGCTGTCCAGGATCTTCGGTCGCTCGTCGATGAGACAATCCGAGAGTTCCAAGACGTCATGTGCCGGTGGTTGCAGTAAAACAGCTCTCTAATATCGACCCCACACTATCGTGCAGATAATCCAGCATAGTGCCCTTCAACGAGGATGCGAAATCATGTCGGCGCGATGATGATGCTGAACATTGTCCAGCGCTATCAGTAAGGCCGAAGCACGTAATAAACCATCGCATAGTCGTGATGACTACACATAGACAGTAGAGATGTGCCGCGTCGATACCGGAGTTACATCAAGTATATGCCCATGTCCATTCAATACAAAAGGCTGTGACTTGGAGTCACTCGGCAGCATGAAGATTCCCGTGCACACAGAAAAGCATGCCTGACTTTTCGACCATCGACTTGAACAGCAAAAGCAGCGCTGGCACTACTGATGTCGAGAAGCAGCTCACCCATGAAAGTCCCGCTGTGCCCGTCGCAGCTCCAAAGACACTGGGTGCAGGAGTAAGTAGCGCTGGGTAGATAAAACATTGGTTAGCTGACTTGTCAAGACGGCACTGCCGATTGGGGTATTTGCGACAACCCTGACTACGCTTTCGCTCAGTCTCATGGAATGGCGAGGAGTGACTACGGCCAATGTCTTCGTAGCCAACTTCTTCTTCGCGGCGGCTTTCGGTAAGTCTTCTGTATGGACAGGGTATGTAAGACTTGGCTGACTCCATACTAGGCCTGGTGGTTACTGCACAATGGGAGCTGTCCGTCGGTAACGGCTTCGCGTACACAGTATTTAGTGCTTTTGGCCTGTTCTATGCGGGCTATGGTGCGATCTTAACACCAGCCTTTGGTGTGCAGGCAGCGTATGGAGACAACGTGAAGGAATACAACAACGCTCTTGGGTTCTTCATGATCAGTCAGTCACTCTAGACCAGCGAGGAACAAGAATACCACTAATCATAGCGTAGTGTGGACGGTTTTCGCCTTGGTGTTCCTTGTAGCCTCGTTGCCGACAAACTTGGTATACATCATCATCTTCTTCTGCGTAGAGCTAGGATTCCTCTTAGTCTCGGCGTCTTACTTTGCCGTGGCAGATGGACATCCAGCTGCGTCGATCTCTCTCAAGAAGGGCGGTGGTGCATTCTGCTTCTTGGCTGGACTGACTGGGTGGTACCTGACGTTCGCTCTGTTACTCAAAGACTCTATTGTCGAGTTACCACTTGGCGACACTTCGAGGTTCTTTGCGAAGAGCAGAAAGGCGCAGTGAGCGATAAGCGACACCCTACTTCGTATGGGTATCAGAGGGCACCTCGGCGACGTGCGGTTTGCAGAACACTGTGATGGGTGATAGTAATTCGGGGTTGAGGATGATGCGATTGAGGGGTTAGATGGCGAACGCGGTTCGGGATCAATAGTGAGTTCGGAAGTAAGGCTAGTCTAGTTCGAGCTTAGCACATATGCAAAGACGCGGATGTCCCCACCGTCAGCGTTTGTCGACGCGTCCCACATCCATACTCACGCGTTCACATGTTGCAACGCTACTGCGATCCGCGCTCTACCCCCACGGCATCGCAACGATCTATTGCTGCTGGTGTGCCGGCAGATAGCTCGATTCTCACAATGTCGGCGGCACATCCCTGTCTCAATCCTCCGTTCTGGTGACCACTCACGTTTTGCCCACCTGCTCGACTGCATCCACACAGATAGGTCGCAGATGAGACGATAGCACGCAATAATTTGGGCCTCTCGAATCATTTCGAAGCACTCTTAACGAGTGCCTGCATATAAGGACATGCATCGGAAGGTTGATGATACACGCCACATAATTAGGCTTCATCAACATCTTGAATACGCACACGATGGCTATCACCAACGGAACTAATGGTCCACATGGGAACGCGGAAGATGTGGACTTTAGGGATCCGGCTGTTTACGCCGGGTATGAGAAGCAATGGTCGTCGATTCCGGAAGATGAAGTAGGTTGGCTCCAGCGTGCGCAAGAGGTTGCAGACGTTCTTGCCACTGATGCCGTCGTGCGAGACCAAGAGAACAAATCTCCGCGAGCGGAAGTAGCTCTGCTAAAGTACTCTGGGCTTCTCAAGATCCTTGGTCCAAAGCAGTATGGTGGTGGTGGTCAGCAATGGAGTGTTGCCTACAAAGCAATTCGGAAGGTAGCTGAAACAGATGGGTACGATTGGTCCTCTCCTGTTCGTGTCTGTGTATTGATCATTGTAGTTCAATCGGCATGCTGCTCGGCTACCACCTCCTATGGTCGACCACGGCGAACATTGTCGGCTCACCTGAACAAGCCGACCGCTTCCAGAAGCTTATAACCGAGAACAATTATTTCATCGGAGGCGCTGTGAACCCCAGGGACAGCGACTTATCGATCAAATCGGATGGGGCCAACATTGTGTTCAACGGGTTCAAGTTCTTCAATACTGGCGGTGTTGTCTCTGACCTTACTGTTCTTGAGGGTGTCTATGAAAGCACCGGCAACCATATCTTCGCTTTCGCAAAGACCAATCAACCCGGTATTCAATTCGGACATGATTGGAACAATATCGGTCTCCGCTTGACCGAGTCTGGTAGCGTGAAGATTTCCGATGTGAGCGTGCCTTGGACGGATGCGCTCGGTTGGAACGTAGAGACAAAAGAACCCGATCCGCGCGCGCTGCAGATACCCTTCGCCACGCTGCTACTCCCAACTATCCAGCTTGTCTTCAGCAACTTTTATCTCGGTATCGCGTTAGGCGCACAACAATATGCAGCACGATATACGGTGAAGGGCACTCGGGCGTGGCCATTTGGCGGTGATGTAAGCAGACAAGTATCCCACAAGCTCTGAAGATTGTGGCTAATGCAGACTTAGAACAAAGAGAGGGCGACAGATGAATTCTATATCCTCGAACGCTATGGAAACTTCCACGCTCACCTTCGTGCCGCGTCAGCCCTAGCAGACCGGGCGGGCCAAGAAGTTGACGCGATCTTGGGCAAGTATGCAGGTAACCTGGACACCCGTGGGAAGCTCACGGCCCGGGAGCGAGGCGAGCTGGCAGAGTGGGTGGCAAGTGTCAAAGTCGTCGCAACGGATACTAGCCTACGGGTCACTTCTGGAGTATTCGAAGTCACAGGCGCGAAGGCGACAAGCCAGAAAGTAGGCTTAGATCGGTTCTGGAGGGACGTCAGGACGCACACGCTGCATGATCCAGTCGCGTACAAGAATCGGGAGCTAGGAAGATTTGAATTGCTAGACGAAATCCCTGAGGCTACATGGTATACGTAGTTGGGCTCTTTGAATTTCCCAAAACCTGCAAAGTTGGAGCGTATCCAAATTCATACAAGATTAGGAAATGTTTGAGCCGCAGAGATACTCAACGCCTTGGCTGCCCCCTGCTTCACTACCCCAAACGTAGCCTCGTTGGTCCAGAATTCATAGTCTGCAGCACCTTTGCCCGGCTTGTTGATCTGCCAAACCATCCATGGTACCTTGAGCCCATTGAAGATGTCGATATGCTGACCTACAACACTAGCCTTGTCGGAACCAGTAGCGCCAAATTCTTCGAACAGCACGAGTTTCTTGGCGGCTTGAGCGTGCTGTAGCGCGATGGGCGCTTTGTTGCGCCATTCGGAAACGCCGCTGTAGGAGTGGATATCGATGAGATCAAGTGTTGCGCAGCTCCAATTCTCGGGGATATCGGAGTTGGGAAATTCATTTCCGCCGCCTGAATATGGAGTGGTCAATACCATAATCTCTGGAGTCTGGAGTCTCAGATGGAAGCGGGTATATTACGTACCTGTTGAGATGAGAATCTTGCTATCTCCCATGATGCTTCGCATCTTCTTGCTTCGATCACACCACCATTTTGGTGCAGGTGCGATGTTGTTGCGCAAATGTCCTTGCCCTTCGTTCTGTATGTTGAACGCGAAGATGTAATCCGAAAGATCTTTCCATTGCGGTGAACCCGAGATCAACTGATTCTTGTGTTGGAGGATGTATGTAAGGCGGTTGTCAAAGTCGTAGATTGGCGATGCATCCTGGTAAAAGAATGTTACATCGTTCTGAGCGGCAGGCGTTTTCGCGCAGTCGATAGCAGGAAGTTTGTATTTGGAAACGTATGTGTCTGTGTCCAAGATGCGTCAGTGGCCGTAAAAGCTTTGGTCCAATTTGAAGAAGACCATACCATTTCCCCAACAACCCAACTGGTAGCGGTCATGCATAGCGATAACTAGTTTGATGCCTCGTTCACGCGCTTCAAGCATGAGCTGATCAATAGCACGTAGCTGGGTGTCATCGTATGTGCCGACCTGTTGTGGCTCGATGTCGGGCATGTTGACGGAGCCGGTATCTTTGTTGTTTTGAAGTGTGTGAGAGATGAAGATACGCAACGTCTTGAGCTTGGCATCTTTGACTGCGTCAAGGACAGCCAAGCGATCGGATCTGTGAACAGTCAGTCGAAGCCGAAGAAATCCTGAAGGATCCGTACTTTTGATAGGCATGAAGAAAGTAGGAGTTGACTCCAGCCCAGCTCGAGGATATGTCTCTTTCTTCGAGTGGTTGCGCCGCCGAGATAGATGCGCTCATGGCGAGCGGAAGCAGATATTTGAGAAGCTGCATGATAAACGTGTTCGAGATGAGGCTGCTCTGATGACCGTCAATGTACGAGGGCTTCACTCCTACTTATGCTTCCTAGCCTTATATCTTTGACCTAGTGTCTGTAACATCGGGCTCGCGACCTTCCCTCTCGAACGTTGCGCATGCGTCTGCAACCTTCTGTTTGCGACCTGCCATCTCCGATCTTGCAATGTTCGGACGCTCCGATTCTGCTTTCTCCACACTATGTCGAACGTCAATGTTGTAGTGAGGATACACTTCAAGACTAAGTCCAAAAAAGGATTTTGCAAACACGGAGCGGCAGGGACCGTATGAACCAGAGTTAGTACATCACAGCAGCGACATCTAGTCCGCACTGATCCGCTAGCCTTTAATTACCGGAGCCTGGTCGCCCGTGCCGTGTTTGGACTAGAGTATATATAAGGCTCACTCGTGTTCTAAAACAATCCCTAGCAACCTTTATAGTGACATTCCTAGTTCGAACTTGCGCAAACTGTGGGTGGACATTGGACCGGAGTTGTATGATCGACATTGGAGGGGTAACTAACGGTTCTCTGACAACCGCGGTTATTTGGCTGTTGGATCTAGATTTAGCACCGAAGGCTTACCGCCCGCCCGCGCAGATCGGAGTAGCTTGTAGCATTGCATCTGGATACTCTTGTGCCCCGGAAGCCACGGCGGATTTGAACAACAATACGTTTTGCCATGCGCCTGTTCCCATAATGGACTCTGGTCCTTGTATGACCCATTCCCTAGGTGGCTGCAGCTGCGCATGAACGCCAAAAGGCGCCATGACTTTCAGCGTGCCGTGACCCTCCGCTTCATCAATCTTGATTTCTACGCCGATACTACCAGCGACGGTCGCAAGGGTGCAATTGATCCTCTCTAGACCGGCAAAGACTGGTGCGATGCGAAACGACGTCCAGCCTGGCTCGGTAGGCTGAAGCCCTGCTAAATATCGAGGCAGAAGTGACACTGGCCACGTCGACCAGCCATGCATCAACGACGTGTCGTGACCGTGCGGCGTTCCGTCTGTCTTCATGGCTTCCCAATGTCCTCCAGAGTAGTTTGGATTTGATGTGTCAGCCATCGGTCCCCAGACGCGCTCGATGAGCCTCCGCGCTTCAAGACCTTGATGTCGTGAAAACAATGCCTCAACTGCGAACCCTGTTGCGTACGGACTGACAATGTCCGCTACACTCCAATGAGCAAGGCCCCGGAAGGCACGAGGGAGCTGCGATTGTGGGTCAATCAAATGCTCAAGATCGTTCGCATGACTAGGAAGCAGCCCCATAGTCACGGCATGGGCTTTGTTATCTTGACAGATACCGTCGCTTGGTAGATCTTCATTCAGGCGATAGACACCGGTGGAAGCATCGTAGAAGCGTTTCAGTACCTCCACCTTAAGCTTCTTGGCTTGCGATAGATATTTTTGCTTGGCTTCTGGGTCATCGGACATCACCGACATGGCTTGCAGGGCCTCGTAATATGCATTATTCAGTGGACTCGAGGGACCGAAAATCGGGCCGCCAAGTGGGAACCAATGCACTGCAGGCGGTCAGCTTGCTGGTTCGAGAGATCTCATCCAGACTCACTTGACAGAGGCGGAGGAGCTACTACTACCCCTGCGCTGAGGTACTCCGCTGTGTAAGCCATGAGATGTTCTAGACGCTGGAAACATCGCGTTTTCGTCCTTACGTCACCCGTATGTAGCCAGTGATCCTTGATTGCAACAACGAGTAGCAACGCGTAAGACAGGGAATAGAAGGCATATGTTGGAGGCTCCTCGTTCCCTTCGTGAACGGGCGCCTGGATGGGACAGAGGTTGCCGAGATATCCCTCGCTGGTTTGGTGGCTGGTCAGGAGCTCAATACTGCCTGCTATTGCGTCGAACGTCATAGTAGAGTGAGCAATTGATCGACCCATGACATAAAGGTCTCCACCGAAACAAGCGCGGTCTCTTTTTGCACCATCGATCGTACAAGCGAGCCCATTCGTTCCAACCTGGAAGTCATCCAATGTTCGGCTTTGGTCATGAGGCAACATGGTATTCTGGTATAGACTCTCGCCCCCACCACTGAGCACATTGAGGTGGCGATACACAGCTACCCACTTACACGGCCCGCCAAAGGCGATAGATCCCGTGTTATTCGCGCTTCCGCTAAGGATGGGTTTGATGTTCAGGCCCTCGATGAATGCAAGTCGTCGGCCTTGTACGGAAACAACCATGGTATCGCCGCGCGTGACCGTTTCGACTTCGAGCCAGGCGTTCAGGTCCAGATCGCCAATGTACCAGCGGCCTTTCTCAGCAACAGGAAAGACGGTCGGTTCCGTGGACAGACCTTCGCATGCATATAATTCCCTTGTGGCCGTGTCCAAACAGAAAATCAGCCCATTTGCCACCATGTGAACGGCCCAGCTTGCGCCTCCATGTTCGATATAAACCTGGAAACGAATAGTTTTATCCGCCCATCTTGTGCCGAATCGGCACGGTGCCCAGTGCTGGCCGCGGACCCTGGTTCCCTCCAGCAGTAACCTCCCATGGGGCAGATGTCTCGCCCTTGGAGACTGTGCACATATCTTGCTGCCCCGTTACTGTCTGCAAGGTACCGATGTGCGACCGAGGAGCAAGCGCTACTGCCTAGACTAAACACTCGGAGCTCACATCTTCTATTGCTCTCGATCATAGCAGACGTATTCCATCATCAAGACGCGCTTGCGCTACTACGGACGTACAACGAGAGTAAAGCATGTTCGTCAGGACCTTTCCACACGGGTGATGACGGAACTCGTCTGTTTCATACGCTTGAGCTATGGAGGGAATCTTACCAAGAAAGATATCATATTCGTCATGATGCAAAGTCACAGCGCGGAGACCACAGCTCTACAATCGCATATCATCTCGCGCGGTTGTGCCTGGTCTTTCCCATCTCGGAGATACAAGATTGCTTCGGAAGATCCGGACTCTTAGACGCCAAGGCAGCAATGTGTAGGTTGTTGTCCTGAACTCTCTAGCATCCAAAGAAAACAATCCAAGCTATTGAAGACGCATCAACATGTATAGGTGTTATGATGTCTAATGAAGGAAGGGACGACCCCTACGACATCATTGGCCTCTTCCTGTGTCACGTCATATTGTGGTCGCTCGCACATGCAACCTCACTAGACAGGAAATTGCAGATTGGGGATTTACTAACTAGGCTCTAGCCTATTACATTAAGAGTGTAATAAGAAACTTACGTTAAACTACTGACCTTGAATATATTGAATGTTAATTCACGTAGTATTATATACTAGAAAGACTAAGCTTTTCGCGTAGCACGCTTCTTATACGCGGATTAGTACGCGGTGTAGTCTTGATACGGCCCGTCTCGCGCCAAACCAAGAAATTCTCGGCGATCCCGAACCCGTAGCATCGGTAGAACGACCGCAACGTAAGCTCTAGTAACCACGACCACCGTTTCAAAGATACATCACGATGTAGCTAGACTGCGGAGTCGGGGAATTACTCGTGTGCAATATCCACTCCTCCACCCCTCCCTCCACTCTTCTCTTCCCCACCCCTCTATTCCTCGAATTCCATACTCCACCCCTCCATGTCGCTAGTCTCGTTCGCAACTTCAAAACGCTCCTCGTGCGATCGGTGTCGCAAGCAAAAACTACGATGTCCAACGAAAGAAGATGCCACTCAATCCTGCGCTCGGTGTCTCCGGGCTGGCGCGCCTTGTGTGATGAGTTACACACGACCGCGAGGCCGATCGCAGAAAGATGCCATTGCGCAAGATGATGAGGACACGCGGAAGGCTACAAACTCGGCACTTCCTATGCCAAACAGTCTCATGTCAAGCGGATCGGAAAATATGGCTGAGGATGCGAATGCGCAAAGCTGGTCACTGCTCAACGAATACGAGTTCTTTCCTTCACTGCCTTCTAGCTACGATGCCGAGCAGACTCAGACTCACGACGAGAGCGCAGCGAGCCTCCACTACTCATCGCTGTATCGCGAGCTCGGGATTGACATCCACATTGAGACGCCGCATCTCTTGCACGACGCATTCCCCAAGGCAGGCGCAGAATTTCCATCACCAGAAACCGCGGCGTCCGATGTTTACGCGGCCAGTAGTCCGACGCCGGATTTGGGACGCCAACTGGACTGCGAAATGCGACTTGCGCAGCTCAATCTGGATCTTTGCCGACAGCTGAAAGCGCAGATTCTTTGTACGACGCGGTGTGCGGAGGATGGCACGGAGAATCGCACTTCGAACACGTCGTGCGCCTTAAGGGACGTCCTCCGAAGCACGGAAAGCTACATACATGTTCTTCAGAGCTTAGTTGCATCCAGCGATAACGGAGAGAGCCTAGGACCGCTTCCTCCATCCCGGACAACATCATCTCCTCTTACATTTCCCTGCATGTTGAACCTCACGTCGTGCTTCTTCCACATCGTGGATCTCTTCAGCGCGTTTCTGGAGAACCTCGCCAGGGAGATTGACACGCACAATCTCGGCTCCCCGTCAGGAAAGTTCCATATCCTGCCAGAGCTGAAGCTCGCTGGTCTGCCGATTCACGAAGCCAGTCTTCAGATCAAGATCCTTGTCCTCGCAATCTCGCATCACTTCGAGACCATGGAGCGGCTTTTGAGCTTACCGGCCGAGCTACGCGTGTCGCTCCAACCGGACATCGGCACCCGCGGGCTGTTGCCTTCGCACTGGGTAACGACGATGCTAAGTGCGAAAGAAGGACTGTTTGGGATGAACAGTTGTGGGTTGTCTAATTACGTGCAGTCTATACAAACGTCGAGAAGAAATATTTCTAGGCTGCAGAAAACATTCTAATACACATTCTTAACGACCTTGTTCAATATTGCCTGTTTTAGTGCCGGACATCAGGTGTACATGTGCAATAACTAGGCTTAGACTAGTAGATAGGTTAAGGTTAAGGTTAAGTTAGAGTCAAGTTTAATATGTTACACAGGGTTTCGGCTATACTTTTCTAGGCTCAGTCCGTACTAAGGCGAGGTAGACTAAAGCGTAGTCTGTAAGGTAATGTATAGAGGTTTAAGAGGAAAAGAGTTATCGACGTTAACTAGTAGGTGAAACAATATTAATTCTATAAACGATAGAATAACTAGTTAAAAATCTGTGTAAGAGATAAACTATCTAAGTTAACTACAACGAGTGTACTAATAAAATCCATCTATCCTAAATACCCATTGCTATCCGTTCCTGCTATCGGGCATGTCCCTTGTTACTCAGGGTTTGTATGAAGGCGTAACTGTAGGCTATAGTGCTTGCTTCACGCTACAAAGGATAGTGAGAGATAGCTAATATATCAATACTACGGACGTAGGTAGTTAGGAAAATAATTCTTATATCTTCCCTCTTGAGCGAGGCGCACCTTATAAGCAGGCTCGGCGCATCTTCTTCGTTCGGGAAAAGCAAGCGTCTATCGTCCATCTCTTCAGCACAAGGTACTTGCATCTGTCCTTGTTACATTATTGCGTTCACATCCGCATCGCTAAGCTCGACATAGACGGCCCTCTGCATCAGTGCTCCAATCTTCAGACCCAGGCGAAGCATACGCATAGAACACCGATTTTGGATCCCATGCCCGCTTCACCTCTTTCAATCGCTCATAGTTTGTACCGAAAAAGGCAGTTTGCCACTTCTCGGCATCACCCGGTGGATACACAAGCGGGTCTGCTTCATTGAGATAAGCGCCCGAGCCGACGGTTGCTGCCTCGATCGCTGGATGGATGACAGCGGCAAGATCCTGGCGGCGCGCTACCATGGTGGCTTCAGGGATGGTCCAGTCGTAGATGGAGAATTCTAGGCAAATGGCCATGGCATCGCGCCAGTAGGGTACAACGGCATTTTTCGGATGTGCGACATGCGTTGTATTGACGTTCACGCCTAGGCAGCCGATCTGCCAGTTTGCGCTTGGGTCAAATGCGACACTCGATAGCATTGCCGAAGTGAGATTTTCGGGGCTTTCGGACAGATCCCGAGGAATGAGCCGACTGTTGAAGAGCTGCGAGACCACGTATGGGCCATAAGGAAGAGGCCCATCGGTTGCATTGTAGTGCTGGAGGTACGACGGGGCAGCATACGTGGCGAAGTTGTAGGGGATCCGCAGTGCATCGAGTTGCTTTAGGTACGGGGTATATAAGTCGGCCATTTCCGCTGCTGATCTACCCGGCGCCGTGGTGTTGTGAACCAAGAAGTTGCTAGCAAATAGGTTGAAGGATGGAGATGCGCCGGCATCGACGAGGCTGGGGACGAATCTCCACCAAGCATTTATTGCGGAGATGTAAGAACCGTTGCTTGGGCTGGCGGTAGCGTTGAAGCTTAGTGTCGCGGCGCCGATGAGGCTGTCGACGTGTACCTTGGCCGTCATGCTCAGAACCACGGCAAGGTTACCTCCTCCACCACCAGAAAGCGCCCAATAGAGATCCTCGTTCTCGACAGGGCTTGCAGTAAGATGTCTCCCATCTGCAGTGACGACTTCCCACTCCAGGACGTTGTCAGCCGCTAGGCCATGCACACTATTCAGCAGACTGTGACCGCCCCCGGACGAGTATCCTCCCGCGTAACCTACCGTCGGGCAATCTCCGGAAACTAGGCGGTATCCAAACTGAGATGCATAGAGAAGAGCTTCCCCACCAGTGACACCAGCCCCAACCTTGATAGCAGGGCCAGTATACGCACTGCTGGTATAGTTCAGAATCTCTTTGGATTCCAGATTATGGGTCCAGAGCGACAAACCGCCCGTTCCGGTAGACTTTCCGAGGTAATCGTGACCAGTGTTTTTGATGACCAAACGCACATTGTGGGCTTGCGTAAAGTTGACGGCAGCAACAACGTCGGTGGGGCCATGAACGGGAATGGCGTAGCTGACGTAATTACCTAGCGTACAAGGCTGATCGATGTGATAGAATGGACTGCAGGATGTGTTCTGATACCAGGGATTCATTATCTCTGCCGCGTTATCCAAGCTGTGTGGTACGTTAGCACGCTCTGGCATTAGGGTTTAGCGGACAACGGGCGGGTGACGCACAATGCCTTGGGATAGTCCCAACTCTCTTTGAGCGCTGCGCATTCAGCCTCGTTTTCTGATATGTCGCCATAACCTCCCGGCCGACATACTGCCGCTTGAGGAACAACTTGCATCAAACGCCCATCGACGGTGTCGTTCAGCTGGCTCCACACCTGTCGGGATGGCCAAGCATTGTCACCGGGAATGGCTTTGCAACTAGAGTTCACCTCCTGTCCTGGTCGGCCTAAGAGCGCGGCTGCATAAACCCCAGGCGCTAACAGAAGCACCATGGTAGCGGAAGGAAACATTGGGAACAACGAGGGATGGTAACAATGAGAGACCATCCAAAACCTTGTCTTCAATGCAGGACATTGAAACCTCTCCCTGCTGAACTTTATGTACAACCAGGCCGTTCGCTTGAGCACCCCTTTACGCTCGTATCTTCTCGCGGCCGTGCAAATCCCATTATTATCACGTCTGCTATTGGTTGATCAACTGAGAAAGGCTGAGTTGCGACAGTGGCTGTGAACGTTTTCGGTAATGAGAAGATTCGGAGTCGGCTTGAGTTGCCTATTGAGACATGGTCAAAGTTATGCCGAAAACAGATGCAGAATGCTGACGCAGATCGATTACCATATTATCGTCAGCAGTCTGACCAAAGAATGTCGCGCGTCGCTGTATTGACGGTGTGAACAATGGAATTGTCAAGAGGTGAGAGCCGGGTAAGCAGATGCGAGAACTCGTCCCTACCCTCGTTCCTGGTAATGGCACAGTAGTGCGAGGCATATTGGCGGATTGCGCCGAGCTGAACTAGAACGGAGCTACTTCGCAAACAATACGGAGCCGACAGGGATTCTGTCGAGAAATTCGGCGTCAACTTCTGAATTTGAAAAAGAGTGCATTCTACCAAGAGTAGAGTACTCACATCCTCTCCATTGTCAATGAAATTGCTAACAAGATAAAAATATACCCAACATTCATCTGTTTTCTACATCCAACTAGTCGGCAATCGTCTCTTGTACCAACTTCGCGACTGACACCATGCCGCCAGCGAAAGCACCAAGCCATACTAAGAGGCCTGAAGTGGGCTCGCAGCCAATGTCGAGCATGTGGACGCAAATGTTCCCACCAAAGCCGACGTATACGGAGGAACATGCGCCCGATCTTAGTGGAAAGGTATGCGGAAAGAATGGCTGACTCGAGCACCGTTTGAATGGTACAGAGACGAGTGATAACACCGACCACAGGTATATATTGTCACCGGCGCCAGTTCAGGCGTAGGGAAAGAGACTGCAAGAATACTGTATACGAAAAATGCCAGGGTGTACATGGCAGTGCGGGCTGGGACGAAGGCATCCACAGCCATGGCAGATGTTCGGGCAGCGGCGCCCAAGTCTTCGGGCACTCTTGCTATTCTACCGCTGGATTTGGCAGACCTGAATGCGGTGAAGAAGGCAGCAGAAGAGTTTGTCTCGCAGGAAAGCAGCCTCCACGGGCTCATCAACAATGCGGGTGTGCAGGCCCTCGATGACACTAATGGCGAAGCCCGCACAGCGCAGGGTCACGAAGTGCACATGGGAGTCAATGTGCTGGCGCCGTTCCTGTTCACCCGCTTACTCAGAGGGGTGCTGGCAGAGACAGCGCGCCGGGAACGGCCTGGTACCGTGCGCATCGTGTGGGTGTCTTCAATGGGCACCGAGACGATCGGAGAAAAAGGACGTGGGCTTTCCGCTGACTACGTTGACTACTGGCCACTCATGTCGCCGCTCGAACGTTATGGGTTGAGCAAGGCTGGTAACTGGCTGCACGGAGTCGAATGTGCCAAGCGGTATGCAGACGACGGCGTTTTGAGTTTTCCCATCAACCCAGGACACTTGAGGTCAGATCTGTATCGGGAAGGCGGAACACTACTCAAATTTGCATTGCGGCCTGTGCTGTTCCCGCCTACGTATGGAGCTTACGTCGAGCTGTTCGCCGCCTTATCGCCTTCGTTAACCACAAAAGATTCTGGAGCTTGGAGTAAGTACCTGCGAGATCTTGGCACTCTACAAATCGCTGACATTCTGTGTTCTCTAACCCAGTTGTTCCATGGGGTAGGCTGTATCCCATCCGTAGCGATTTGATTGATGCGACCAAAAGTGAAGCTGAGGGAGGCAATGGTCATGCAAAGGCGTTTTGGGATTGGAGCGAGGAGCAGGTCAAGGCGTTCTTTTAGACGTGATTTTACAACTATACCATACTATTCAATGTATTCAAGATGTTTCAGCTGAGTGGAGTAAAACACAGGTCCAAGTTCCCAATGTGCCACGACATGCAGTCATGAACACGACCGAGGAAGGAGGCATAGTCAAAATCGGGTGCAAAGGAGACACTGTAGCGTGACAGAGTCTCAGCGAGAACAAGGCGCATCTCCATGGAGGCGAGCTGTCGACCTAGACAGCTGTGGTGGCCCACAGAAAAGGGTGCGTAACCCGACGCGTCTTTTACAAGGCCAGGCTCCGAGTGCCAGCGTTCGGGCCGAAAGTCGGCGGCGTCTGTGTAGAGGGCTTCAGAGCGGCCGATGGCATACTGCGATGAGAAGACTGTCATGTCGCCCGGAATGAAGGTGTCAGCTACAGTGATGCCTTCTGGTGGGGTAGTGCGCATGATGGTCGAGGCAGGAGGGTGCAGGCGCAGCGTTTCGCTAATGATGGCGTTCAGATGTGGGGCATTGTCACGGAGTCGGTGGTCGGGGTACGGGCCGCTGGCGGGCCGAAGCGGTTGCAGCTCTTTCCGCACAAGGAGCACGTGATGGGGGTGCTTGGCGAGGTAGAACATGGCGAATGCTAGAGTGGCTGCAACGGTGTCGCTGCCAGCGATGACTATGAAACGACAGTCATTGCGAAGCGCCGATAGGTCGCGATGGGCGGGTGGCTGCTGCTCGTAGTGGGCGATCATGGGAGCCATAAGGCTTGGCCGCTCGGCGCGCTCGACGTCGGTCATCAGCATGAGGCGGTCGAGATGATGGTAGCAAAAGGCTAGGAATCCCGTCGTTGCTTCCGTGGGCACGAGAGACTGGGCAATGTCGACAAGCAGGCGCATCAACCACATGGGCAGTCGACGACCCATGATGGCCATGCCCTGGACGAGCTGTTCGACAGCAGCATGCGTCGTGGCACTGTGTAGCATGCCAAAGTCGCTTCCAAGGCCTAGATCGCCCATGGCATCGAATGCAAATGCCTCTGTCAGTCGGGCTGCATCAATGGCCTTGCCATGGGCTTGTGAAAGACGCGCAAGCAGTTGTTGCACATAGACGGCCACGCGGGGCTCGTAGGACCGAAGCGCCTTCTCCCCAAACCCTTTACTCCAGAGCCGGCGACGGGCAGCATGAAGGCTAACATCGCGAGTAGCGATGCCGCGATTGGGCTGCTCAAAATCGTACATAGCAGCCTTTCGACAGCGAGTGCCAGGCCCGTGGATGGCTGCAACAGCCTGCGGGTGGGTGAGCATCAGCGTCGAGGAGCCGACGCGAACGAAGTCGCCATATGCCGTGCTCAGCTGTTCGCTGAGCCGGTGCATATCATGGCCGCCTAGCTGCAATGACAGCCATAGGTCGCTGAGGCGCGCTGCAAAGGGGCCGGGGAAGCGATTGAGTGGGTGGAGGAGCAGGCGGTATGTCAGCAAACTCGCATAGACGCCGACAAGGAAGCATGCCCATAGGGCCAGTGCCCAGCCCAGACATGCTTGCCACTCTCCCAGACTGGGCGCCGATCCCTCCGACCTCCACGTGTGCGCCTCCGATCTCTCCACCCCCGTAACCTTCCCCTCCACCATCCTCCTCATCATCGCATACCATACCTTCGCGCCATATCGCTTCAGCACCGCTGCAGTGCTCACGACGGCAGCACTGCCTGTCAGCCATCGCGCCCCGCTGCCATGATGTTCTCCTCTGCTAAAGTAGCTGACGTGTGCAGTCACGCCTGCCGCCGCCGCCGTTGCCCCGTGTGCCAGCTGTAACTGCATCGTCGAGAAAGATGGGTACAATGAGTGAAATAAACAACGTACAAGTGAAGTCCGCAGGAAACTACCACTTCTGCTACTCTACTTATCCCCCCGTCACGTCTGCGCCCCAAAGCTCTTCGGACATTCGCCTTCGGTTTCCTAAACAGGCAGACGATGACCCCAAAGGAGCCATAGATACCTTATAGCTTACATGCTCCAATCTTCCCGACGTAATGCACACTACACCTCCCTCTTCGCCCATGATGCTCCCCACAAACGGCCAGACTGCCGTCGTTCAATCCAAAACACAACCCACTCCACCTCGTCTTCCACTCGTCGTCGCTCATGGCCGCCCTTTGCCGCCTTTGCCCTCACCTCACCACGTGCGTGTACGCGTCCTGGCAGTTGGCCTTAATCCTACCGACCACAAGATGGTGACACATTTCTTCATGCAGAACAATACCACCGGGTGTGACTTTTGTGGTATTATCGTGGAAGCCGGATCGGAGTCGATGCTCGGTCCTGGTCTCCGAGTATGCGGCGCTGATTTTCCCTATCGACCTAGCAACCCCTACAACGGTGCATTTGCAGAGTACGCCATAGCTGACGCACGCCATCTGTTGCGCATCCCGGATTCTGTCTCTGACCTCCAGGCCGCTGCCATAGGCGCTATTGGCTGGGGCACCGCTGCCTTAGCCATGTCTGACCCCACCGCTTTGAACCTGCCGGGGTTGCCCTCGAAACCAGATGCAAGGAATCTCCCCGTCCTGGTTTATGGAGGTGCCACCGCAACGGGCATCATGGCGTGTCAGATGTTGAAGCGGTGAGTAGCATGTCTCTTCAATCATCGTATTACATTCGCTCCATTGCAAGGGTCGCATCAGAAAAGCAAGGGAGTCTGCTGACATTTCCGCCTAAATAGATCTGGCTACGCCCCAATCGCAGTTTGCTCGCCTCAGTCTGCATCCTTCTGCATTAGTCTCGGCGCCGTTGGCACGGCGTCGTACACCTCACCTACATGCGTCCAAGACATCAAGGCACTTGCAAATGGGCAGAATATTAAACATGCCCTTGATTGTATAACTGATCCCGAGTCTACAGCGGTATGCCTGGCGTCCCTCGCACGTATTGGGGCCCGCTATGCCTGCCTTGAAGCCGTGCCAGATGCCTGGCTTACTCGCCGATCAGTCGCGGTCAAGGTCGTGATGGGCTTTGAGGGCCAGAACTTCGACGTGGACCTTGACCATCCTGTCTACTCGCGCAAGGCAAATCCAGTCTTACATGCTGTCGCTGCCGAGTGGGCCGCTGAGTTGCAACCGTTGCTAGATACCGGACACATCAAGACGCAGTCCATCCAAGAGATTGAAGGCCGTTTCGAAGGCGTCATCAAGGCATTGGAAATGCTACAAGACGGACATGTCAAAGGCAAAAAGCTAGTCGTGACAATTTCTTCATAGAAACGTTGAATCAAGTTACGCATATCAAAAGCTGGCACACTGATCTCACGAGGCCTACATATTGTGGTTGGTCTTATTTCTGTCGATGCATGTATTTCTTTCGTGCCAAGGATCTTGTCGAGTACTGGAAAGAGTGAAGGGAATCGCCGAAGAAAGTCGCTGTCGGAGGAGAGGCGTGCTATCAATGAGCAAAGCAGAATGCTGTCGATTGATCATAGACTTTTGTCTTGTTTTGGGCAACTACAACGATGACTAGCGCAAGGATGAGATGGAGCAGCCCCGTTCACTTGGGATATTGACAGCTCGTGGGTTTAGGAGGATGAAAAACCAGTCTACCCGCCTTTCACGACCACGCGTGCTCACCCTATTACGCTCTCTTTCGCAACTGGTGTCAAGCGCACAAACAGCCCCGGTTTGTCCCACACCAAGTACGCCTTCTGATTATCCATCCAACCTTTACTCTGCTCCGTGCCTTGGATGTCAAAGTTCCACAAGAATCGAGCGAGGATGTAACGCATCTCCGCGTACGCCAAGCTGAACGAACATTAGCATAACTGTGTCTCGCTTCTAGGACAAGATGAGATACGGAGACTCACTTCATGGCGATGCAAGCACGCGGGCCGTAAGAAAACGGGTGGAACCCCTCGCGACGGTCCTGGTCAAACTCGGCCGGGCGCTCGCCATCTGGTAACCAGCGCTCGGGATGGAATTCATCAGCATGCTTCCAATATGCTTCACTGCGGTACAAGACGCGGTGTGGAATGCCGAGAATGGTCTGCATGGGTCACGTGGACCGGAGGTCAGATACATTTCCTGAAAGCATCTAATAAACCGGGCCAGAGAACTTACGTTTCCAGGAATGTATTCGCCAAGGATGGTGTTGCCACCAGCGGGAGTCGTGCGCCACATCGTATTTGGGCCTGGAGGATAGTACCTCATCGCTTCTTCGATGAAGGCGCCCGTGTACGTCAGTTGCGCGACGCTCCGCATATTGATGTCTTCCTCGGTCGGGAAAGTTGCATGCAGCTCTTCGACGATACGTTGTTTGACGTCAGGCCTGATCGTCAGAATGAACGCCATACCCGTGAGGCTGCTGGAAGTGGTCTCTGCGCCGCCACCGGTAAGAAGTATGGCGTTCTTGAAAATCTCCTCGTTGGTCATGTAAAGGGTGTTGCTCTGCTTCGACGTCATGATCTCCATGAAGTCATGGCGCGGTGTTGTTAGTGACAATCTGCGCTCAACAACTTGGCGTAGGAGAACGACGTGTCGGTTAAAATCGCGATACAACTGAAGAGTCGTCTTGACAGGCAGAAAGAGGTAGAAGAAGGGGATGCGCTTGCACAGCAAGATTATGTGCGTGACGTAAATGTTCGCAAAGACGAGCTGAAGCCATGGGTGCAACATGGCGTTTTCCAAACACCCAAAGGGTTCACCAAACGATAAGTCGCCGATCAGGTCGAAGGTGCAGTAGGTGAACCACTCGAGCATGTCGACCGTCGCTTTTCCTTGATCGCAGATGTTGTGCAGCTTAGAAAGGAACAAGTCGACATGAGTTTTGATCAGAGGCTCTTGCTTGCACATGGCGCTGTAGGTGAAGCCCGGTGCCATGACGCGGCGCATGCGGCCATGATCACCCAAACTGGCGCCGACCATATCGTGGGCATCCGGGCTGCAGTACCACGTTGGTTTTGGATTCTCTTTGCGCTTGGCCGGCACGTAACGACCATATATGTCCTCCCATGCCTCTGGGGTAGCATACGATAATTCCTTCGGTCCAATACGGACGACAGGGCCGTACGTGGCGTGCAACTGGCGGATCTTGGTATGCCATTTGCCTGTCATATACCAGAATCCATAGGGAATTGAGGACGCAGCAAAGAGTTTGGGCCCAGGATACTTCTTGAGTGGATGGAAAAAGATGTTCCGTATAGGGCGGAAAATGAAGATGTAGCCCATAAGCTTGCATGGATGGTCAGACGGGTATTTGGTGGACACTTTTGCTACTACGTACAAGTGTGGTTGTGATGAATATCGTGGATCGCCAATCCGAGCCAGCCACTGCCGTTGCAAACTTCTGGAGGCCGAGCATGATGCTGACCTTGAGAGACTCACCACGAAAACGAAAAGAGGTGGTATCAGAAGTGAGAAGTTAATGGTTTCGGAGATGCAACGATAGTAACAATATCTACAGCTAATCCTGCGTTAATAATGAGCCAGGGTCGCAGCCATGTGTAGCTGATTGCGTTTCGAATGCGGTCGGACCTCGGAGCCGAATGTAAGCAGACACGTCTTGTGGAGCAACGAGTCGGATTCGATATTGACCAATCCTACTTTGTCGGCACTGCCGGAGTCGGCATGAATTGCTGGAATAAGGAACTGCTGCCGCACATGAATCTTGCCGAACCAAAAGACTAACCCGCAGCTGGATGGACCGGTTCGTATGGCTCGCAGCTCTTGGCCTTCTGCATGTAGGTCTGTCACGATTGAGGCTCTTGGGGAACAAGGGTAGAACTGCAAACCTCCACAACGCCGAGTAGGAGTACGACACCATCGGGCGTACTACTATGTCTACACAGAATCCGTAAAGGTAGAGATCGTCAAACCATGGACTAATCAGGTGAATTACTCCTACTTGACACGACTACATATCCGGTACCAGAGTCCAATTCAACACGTCTTCATCGATGTCCTAAGCACTAGAACTCTCTCAACACAACCACTTTTTCAGCAACTTCAACTTTGCTATCCTCTTCCATCACGCCCTTTGGTTACAGTTCCCCTGCTGTTCAAGTCATTCCTCATGTCACCAAATACCCCCATGAACGAGCCCATAGCTATCATCGGTAGCGGCTGTCGATTTGCAGGTGGAGCAAGCTCCCCTTCTAAGCTATGGGATCTCCTCCGCGACCCTAAAGACATACGCAGCAACATCACCGATAAGAGGTTCAACGCCGAGGGCTTCTATCACCCCGATGGCACACACCATGGACACATGAATGTTATGCAGTCATATCTCCTCGACGAAGATACGCGCGTCTTTGACGCCGAATTCTTCGGCATCAATCCCGTCGAGGCCAGGGCCATGGATCCACAGCAGAGACTGCTCCTTGAAGTTGTTTACGAGTCGATTGAATCAGCTGGCCTGAGTCTCGACCGAATGAGAGGAAGCGACACTGCTGTCTTCGCTGGTCTCATGTGCGGCGACTATGAGGCCATGATGCTTCGAGATCTGGACCAGGCGCCTACGCATTTCGCCACAGGAACTTCGCGTGCAGTCATGTCAAATCGCGTGTCCTACTTCTTTGATTGGCGCGGCCCGTCGGTGACGATTGACACAGCGTGCTCGTCAAGTCTGGTCGCTGTTCATCAGGCTATCCAGACACTTCGGTCGGGGGACAGTCACACAGCGGTTGCATGTGGTTCCAATCTTATATTTGGTCCGGAAATGTATGTCATTGAAAGCAAGCTGAAGATGCTTTCACCCGATAGTCTCAGTCGGATGTGGGACAAGGATGCTAATGGTTATGCGCGAGGTGAAGGCGTAACTGCCGTCGTTCTCAAAACGCTCAGCCAAGCTCTTGCAGACAACGATAGAATCGAAGCTGTCGTCAGAGAGACGGGTGTGAACTCGGATGGAGCAACACCTGGAATCACAATGCCAAGCGCTAACGCGCAACGGGATTTAATACATAGCGTTTACAAGAAGGCTGGTCTCAACCCTCTGTCTGCGGAAGATCGACCTCAGTTCATTGAAGCGCACGGTACCGGAACACCGGCTGGAGGTAAGTTCTCTCCATCATCCCGCGTTCATGGAAAGTGCGTTTGCTGACTCAATTATGTTCTTAGACCCCATCGAAGCTGAAGCTCTCAGCATCGCATTCTTCAGCAACACGGAGAAGTCGAGCAGTCCGATCAACACTGGATCTATAAAGACTGTGATCGGCCATACAGAAGGTTCAGCTGGTATCGCAGCACTGTTGAAGGTCACGCAAGCCATGCAGAACTCAACTATACCGCCCAACCTGTGGTTCCAACAACTCAACCCCAAGTTGGAGCCATTCTACGGCAACCTTCAGATCCCTACTAAAGGTATCGCGTGGCCGGATCGTCCTGGGCAACGTCCTAAGCGTGCTAGTATCAACAACTTCGGTTTTGGAGGTACCAACGCACATGCCATTGTGGAGAGCTATGAGCTAGAGCAACAAAAGACGGTCGATGGAACAAGTGCTGCCACAGTATCAACGCCATTTGTCTTTTCAGCTGCCTCGACGGAGTCTCTCCACTCTAATCTTGCCGCGTACGCGAGCTATTTGGACGCCAACCCCAAGACTAGCGCACGCGATCTTGCGTACACATTACGCGAGCGCAGATCTGTGCTTCCTTTCCGCATCGCCTTCCCAGACACGACTGTAGAGGGCCTGAAGTTCAGCATCACAACCCGGCTAGCCGAGTCTGGCAATGGAAGTCTGGGTGTACGCACATGGGCGGCGGGTAATGGTGGACACTCAAGGCTCCTGGGAGTCTTCACAGGACAAGGAGCGCAATACGCTAGGATGGGTGCAGAGCTAGTCGCTCAGACAGTTCTTGCGCGACAGACTCTCGAGAAGCTGGAAGGCTATCTTTCTGAACTTCCAGATGGTGACCGGCCGAGTTGGTCTCTTAAGGCTGAGCTGCTTGCCGATGCCTCGGTGTCTCGCGTTGGAGAAGCAGCCATCTCGCAGCCTCTTTGCACAGCAGTTCAGATCATCTTGGTCGACATCCTGCGCTCGGCTAATGTGCAGTTTGACACCGTTGTCGGCCACTCCAGTGGCGAGATAGCAGCAGCATATGCAGCCGGATATCTCAGCGCGCGTGACGCCCTTCTTGTCGCCTACTTCAGAGGTCTCCATTGCAAGCTCGCCACCAGTCCTAACGGAAATATCAAGGGGGCTATGCTTGCCGCTGGCACTTCTTTGGAGGATGCGATGGAGTTGTGTGAGGATGAAGAGTTCTTGGGCCGC